TAATCCCAGCAGCTCCACTTCCCATCCAGCTCCCTGCTTGTGGCCTGGGAAAGCAGTCGAGAACGGCCCAAAGCCTTGGGACCCTGCACCCGTGTGGGAGACCCGGAGGAAGTTCCTGGCTCCTGAATTCAGATTGACGCAGCACTGGCCGTTGCTGTCACTTGGGGGGTGAATCAACAGACGGAAGATCTTCCTCTCTATCTCTCCTCCTCTCTGTATATCTGACTTTGCAGTAAGAATAGGCAAATCTTTTTTTAAAAAAATTCTGGGAATCTGGGTGCCAGGTTGAGCTTCGGCTGCTCCACTTTCAATCCAGCTCCTTGCTAATAGCCTAGGAAAGCAATAGGGGATGTCCCAAGTGCTTGGGCCCCTGCACCCACGAAAACCCAAAAGCAGCTCCTGGCTCCTGGCTTCACACTGGCCCAGCCCTACCTGCTTCAACCAGTTAGGGGAGTGAACTAGTACATGGAAGGTTCCCTCCCTCTCTCCTTGTTTGCAACTCTGCCTTCCAAATAAATAAATCCTTCCCAAAGGAAAAAGAATGTACCAGCTTTGATCATTAAAAAGCTGTGACTTGATTCTTGGAGCTTGCAAGTATTGTTCTGTGAGTATAGTACACTTTTTAAAGACTGGGTATGCACAGTCCGGGAGTAAAGTGTTTTTGCCTGTTAGTTCCCAAAGCTGCCCCCACCAGGTCCCTACGGACTTCACCAAGGGGCTTGACAAAGTCCAGAAGGTCTCCGGGGGGGAGTGCAGGCACCTGCCCACGCGACCGGCTGGCCAGTTCTGGAGTGGACCGACACGGTTGACCCGGCTGCAGGGTCCGGACCGCCGCTTCCCTTAGCTGTGGTCCGCAGCCCGCAGGCGCGCCCTGCCAGCCTACCTGGTAGAGGGCAGAGCCCGAGTCCAGCTGCGTGCCCATCGGGGCCACCGCGTCCCCGTGGTAGGCGCGCGACCCGGGAACAGCGGCGCGCGCGCAGGGCCGCAGGGCGGCCCTCAGGAAGGCCCACATGGCGGCGGGCAGCACGACGGGGGTGCAGAACGAGAGCAGCTGCCCGCGCAGGACAAGCCGGAGACGAGGGGCCCTTCCCGGTCCTTCCCTGGCGGGCAGACACAGCCCGGTGCCCAGGCGCAGTGCGCATCCCGGAAGCGCCGCCTCAGCCCAGGCCTCGCCCAGGCCCGATTGGTCAGCGCCGCGTGCCGCGCCCCCTGCTGCAGCCAATAGGGAAGAGAGGCTCCTCCAGGCCCGTACTCTGGGCGGAAGTACTCTTCCGGGATGACCGGATGCCCCAGTTGGCGTTCGAGGGGTGGAAATGGGCAGGGAAAGGAGACAGGGGAAGAAGGGTGGGAGGACCACGGGATGCAGGAGTGCACGGTCCATGCAGGACACACGTTCAAGGAACCGGAGGCAGAGTGCCCGGGGGGGAAGCCTCGTGTAGGTCGAAGGGAGAGAGGCAGTGGCCCCCAGAATCACCAGGCGTGACTCCCCAGGTGGACGCACGGGCTGGCACGGCCGTGTGCTTGGATGATGTGAGAGCCTTAAAAATCACACCTGTAGAAGGGAAAGTCACAATGATTTGTATGTAGTGCTTGTTTTCATTAATATTCGCTGTGTTCTTAAAAAAAAAAAAAAGAAAAGAAACAAAAAACTCCCTGCTTGTGGCCTGGGGAAGCAGTCAAGGAAGGCCCAAAGCCTTGGGACGCTGCACCCACGTGGGGGACCTGGGGGAGGCTCCTGGCTCCTGGCTTTGGATCAGCACAGCTGCGACCCTTGCAGACACTTGAGGAGTGGACCATTAGATGGAAGACCTTCCTCTCTGTCTCGCTTCTCTGTATATCTGACTTTCCAGTAAAAATAATTTTTTTTTAACTAAGTTACAGAAAGACACACACACTCAGAAAGCGAACCATCCGCTGGTTTATTCCGCAAATGGCTGCAATGGGTAGCCCCGGGGTTGGACAGAAGCCCATGTGGGTAGCAGGGGTCCAGGAACTTGGGCCATCTTCTGCTTTTTCTCTGGCCATTAGCAGGAAGCTGGATAGAAAGCAGAGCAGCCAGGACTAGCTCCTCTCCTTGCCCACGTCCACACTCTCCCTCCCTCTGGTGCTCTTTCAAATAAATAAATTTCATTTAAAACAACAAAACCTTTCTCATCCTGAAGGGCAGAATGACTTAAGCCAGAAGGATAAGGGGTTAGTACCATGTCCAATCTAACGAAATAACAAGGAGTGAGACAGCCCAGGCCATATATTAACAAAACAAAATTGAATAGATACACACTTTTTCCCAGCAATGGAACCAAATATAAACAGGATACCAGTAAACAAAGTCTGCATGATTATAATAAAACCCAATTTTTAAGACTTCTATATGTCATAACGCCCCCTAAAAGGGGGCAGACAAAATGGGGACAATGCAGCCCATGTGAGTAGCTCTTTGATCGTCTGACAAAATCCAAGGCCAAGTTCTTGCGTGTCTCCCATCAGGACACTCATCACAGACATCTCTCTTGACTAAACTTTTTTTGCCAGCCGAGATCCTATCAATGTCCACTTTGCAGGACTAAGATTTCCCAATTGTCTTTTTCTATAGAGAAAATAAACTATGTGATGGGGCGGGGGGTGTGGGAATAAAACACAGGGCTCATGTGCCTAGGAGGACATTAAAAGCAGGCAGTTCTGTAGATGCCAATGCTGCAGCGAGAATGTTTGTTCTTCATTCTTTCCCTGGAGAAGAGCGAAGCTTCCATCACAGCAAACACACAAGAATAAAAATTAATTCCTGCAGGTGTATTTAAACAGAAGGAAGGAAGAGTACACCTGAAAACAGTAAGTGATCCTGCTTAACTGAGCACAAATAACCGTTCAAAACAGACACAACCAAAGTATTATAAAATAACTTTTATTTACATAATGTATACCTATGGAACATAACTTTTCTTTAGAACAAGAAAATTTACAAATGACAGATACTGCATCTATTTGTCAAAAACTTCTTCAGGCGAGACAGAATGCAAGGTCCTTTCTCTACCAAGCAAGGTGGTACACAGAGGACACGGAAGTTTATACCTGGGCCCCAGTCACTTACCAACCACTGGGCTCTAAAGCCACCATGCCCATCACTTGCTGAGACCTAAGTGTTCCGGAAGAACAAGCAAGATAAACAGCTGTAATTGTATCTCCTTTGAGATTTATAAAATAAATTCTTTGCAATATCTTTACATGAAATCAGACTTAGCATACATGTGTCCTTCCATCGTACAAGGCAAATACACTGATTCTGTTTCTTTTCTTCCAAGACTCATTTTAAGAATAACTAGGATAATTTAGCTGGCCAATTTGATTCTCTAATACAAGGAATGCCCTGTGTGTTCACTACCCAGTAAGAAAGTCTATCTTCCATAAAAATAGCGGACTCTGGATGAACAGGGACATGTGCACACAGTTTAAAAATAAACATTACACAGGGACGGTAATCATGGCAACCTAACATCCAACTCAGTACTAACAGACAGAAGGAAATCCTTTCAGAATGAGATTTTTTTTTTTTTTTTAGAACTTACAAAAGCAAGTTATAAAACAGGACTGTGGTTTACTCCATGATTTTTGTGACATATTAATCGCACAGAATAAATACATGTACATCCATGGAGAATGTCCATTCATACTAACACATCCTCCTTTGCGACAAAAGTTATTGTCAATTTCACTCTAAGGCTATGAGTAAAAACTCTGTTGACAGCGTTTCTGCAGATGAGCCATACTGTCATACTCGCTGAGCCCACGCACTGACCAAGCACCTCGAAAACCAGCTACTAGGTTTGTTTTTTTTTTTTAAAACACAGAAGATTTTAAAAACTCTTTCAATTAAAAAATCTAATCATTTCATAATGCAATGAGCAGATCTGACTTATTCAGGCACAAATCGTGACTTCAATGACAACCAGGACACAGTGAGGTCAATACCAGAGAGGTTAGATCAGACTCGGAGCCCACTCCGGCCACTGCCCTTCACCCACGCCCTGCCCCAGACAGCGAGCCCGCACACCCCGAACGAATCTGCAGGAAATGCTGCCAACTCCTAATGAATGCCTGACTGACTCCTGAACCAATGTTACCGACCCAAGACGTCTTTCAATGAAACCGCAACTGGTCTGCTCTTGGAATAGTTTTGACTTGAATCACTAAGATCCGTTTGGGCAGGTAACAGCCAAGGGTCTACTGTATTTGATAATCTGTAAATCATCAAATTTCAAAATTAAAAATCTTTAAATTCATATTGTGATAATCACTGATTTCCTACTGTGACATTAGTTTCTATTTTTAACATCAAAATTAAGTTGTGTACTCCTAAGTATTCCAGCAACAGAATTTTATGGGGAAAAAAAAAAAACTATCAAGAATTTTTTTTTTAAAAAAAAAAGGAGTGTGTGTGTATATATATGTGTAGGAAATTGCTCTGATAAATCAAGTTTTCCTCACCCATGAAAATCCTGAGATTACCCAAGAAATAAAAATAAACCAAAAAAAAAAAAAAAAATTCACAGTATAAAGTTAATATACTAAATAGAAAAAAAGTATCCATTCCAGTTGTTATCACTTTAAATATCTTTAAAATTAGAGAGGAAAAGACAACAGGCATAATTTGCTCATGTCTCCCTTACGCACAATCGGAGGGGTGGATATAATTAAGACTGACTAGCATCATAAATAAAAAATTTAAAAATAAATAAGCTCTCTGATGTGTCATTTTTATAAATAATAACTTTAAATATTAGTTCTCCAATTAGGACTAATGTTATATCACCACGAATTAGAAAAATACATATTTTTCAGTCAGCCAAACAGCTGACAACAGCACAGTTTTCATCTTACCACACTAGAGTGGAGCTACGCAATCTGCTTGCGGATAGTCCGAGGCAAACGCAAAGACCTCATCACGCTCTCAAAAAACAGACACAGGAAATTAAAAAAAAAAAAAATCAAAAACCCCAAACTTCAGAAAAGAAGTTCACTAAGCTAAACAGGACCACCCCACAGCCAGGGGCTCTGAGATCTCCACGTGACGCTCCGGAACCGGGGGGCTCGGCATGTGAACACGAGGGGCGCGTCTGTCGGAGAAAGCTCAGTCGGAAGGAAGGGGCCTCAAGCGATCCTTTCCAGCGATTACAAAAGCTTCCAGCCAAGCTCAGCAAACAGGCAAAAGCAATCTAAACCAAAAACAGTGATTTTTCTCTCTCTGGAAACTGCTCTGTGGATGTAATTCAGTCCGTAAATATCAGCCTTTTTCAAAAGAAACAAGGCCCAAGGCTGTCTCATTCTGCTTCATCCACCTCAATGAAGATATCATTGAAGAAATACTCGGAGACGGTGGTCGGCTCCTCAGCAGGCGCCGCGTGCTGCCCGCTCTGACATTCCCCTCTCCGGGGGGCTTCATCACAAGACACCTAAGGAGACAGTGAAAATTAGAATACAATGCAACATTCACGCACTGCCAACGATGAGCCACCTGCACCTCAACTGCTTCCAAAGCAATACGGCAATTCTGACTTCTGAACAAATTCATCCAGTTTATTTCCATACTGTTAAAATCAAGAAAAGAATCCTAAACATAGTGAGAGTGCTACTAACACGACCTTTGTAGCATTCCTTACAGTAACAGATCATCACTCAACCGAAACAACGCAAGAGACCTTACCAAAAAGGAACACGCCAATAAAAAATTAAGACAGCATGGTACTGGCACAGAAATGCACACCTTATGGGCAAAAAGCAAGAGGTGCAATCGTCCCAAAATATGTGGAATTTTAGCATCAAACAAAAGAAGCGAAAGAAAAACTGGATTATTCAATGAATAACGAGGCATGCCTTCTGATGCCGCTTCCCTCCAGGAGGGCAGCAGCCATGGCGCAAGCCCGCAGGCCCTGCCAGTCACACCGAGCCCTGCAGCTCTGGGCTCCTGGCTTCCAGCTGCCGCACTCACTCAGAGTGAAGCCGCAGATGGAAGATTTCTCTCACACATACACACATACTGCCTTTCCAAAAAAAGAGAAATCTTTAAAAAAATAATAATAATGATGAAAATGAAAACTCATAAAATCTTGGTCTCACAGACTAATTCTAGGGACTATTTTTGAGAAACTCTGAGGTGACTTGCAAGGCCTGCTCCTCGCCGAGGTCACGGATCACACCAGGATCTTTCCGGTCTCTGACACAGGTGGGCACTTCTCCATCACAATACTTGACTGTGGACAGCTTCAAAAATGCACAAAAATGATACATACAAACAACCCAGCTTTCACAGTTCCTGAAACCCTTGCAGGTGTCAGGGTAGGTCTAAGGTAAATAAAACACAGCACTGCTTCATTCTGTCTCCACAAGGCAGAAATGCCTCGAGCTGAAAGGAATGAATGAATTCTGTGTCGTGTATAGGGCTAGTTCAGTCCGACAGCATCCTTCACTTCCTAATCCAGTACCTTACCCTCCCAGCTGGGGGATTATGGGGAAGAGACAGACCCAGTTGCTCTGGAATCATTTCAGATACCTAAGCCACCATTACAGTGCTCCCTCCAGTTAGGCGGGAAGTGCGGTCCATCTGACGCACACCCTGGGGAAGGGATCACGCACCTGCACCTGGGCCGCTGACTCGCCAGGATTCTCAGGCTGGGACCCAGCGTCGGCGTTCGGGGCTGGAAGTGTGTCACGGGACTCCCACCTGGTCTCCTGAGGCTGGGACTCAGCATCCACGCTTGGAGCTGGAAGCGCATCCCAGGACTCCTGCCTGGTCTCCTGAGGCTGACCTCTGGCATCCACGCTTGGAGATGGAAGCGCATCACGCAATTCCTGCCTGGTCTCCTGAGGCTGGGACCCAACATTGGCGTTCGGAGCTAGCAGCGTGTCACAGGACTCCTGCCTGGTCTCTTGATGCTGGGCCCCGGTGTAGACGCTCAGAGCTGGAAGCGCGTCATGGGGTTCCTGCCTGGTCTCTTGATGCTGGGCCCCGGTGTAGACGCTCGGAGCTGGAAATGTGTCACAGAGTTCCCGCCTGGTCTCTTGATGCTGGGCCCCGGTGTAGATGCTCGGAGCTGGCAGTGCGTCACAGGGTTCCTGCCTGGTCTCTCGATGCTGGGCCCTGGCGTTGAGGCTCGGAGCTGGCAGCGCGTCACAGGGTTCCTGCCTGGTCTCTTGATGCTGGGCCCCGGCACTGACGCTCGGAGCTGGCAGCGCGTCACAGGGTTCCTGCCTGGTCTCTCGATGCTGGGCCCCAGCACTGATGCTCAGAGCTGGCAGAGCGTCACAGGACTCCTGACTGGTCTCCTGGATCTCACTTGGTGGGTCAGACCTCTTTACACTCTGTCTTGCTGCAGGGATCAGAGGTTTCAGGCGCTTCTTTCTGTGGACTTGAGCGGGCTCATCAGACCCCAGACTGGTTTTTTTTGAACATATTAAAGATAAAAATCCCAGGGGTTTTCTGTGAGGTCTGAAAATGGAAAATAGAAAACATTAGTCAAACATAACCTAAGGAGATATGTTTTTTTTCCTCTGAATGCCAAGTAGCTTCTGTATTCTCTGTTTAAAAATTATCATACTCTGTATCAAGACACAAAGAGATGATAGATTTCACTTCTAAAGCTCAATATTAAATATTTGTATCTTTTTCCATTCTAATCCTACATAACCGAAAAGCAAAAACTAAAACTCAAGTTATTTGAAGCGCGTCACACTTCTATGATTAGCCAGGCTATGTGATTTTATTCTTGTGCTGTGTGAGCAGATCTGGAGCCTAGAAAGATGGGACCAGGGTGTATCTGTTTTTGAAAAGGTGTGCTAGAGGGCCCGGCGCGGTGGCGCAAGTGGTTAAAGGTCCTCTCCTTGCACGCCCGGGATCCCATATGGGCGCCGGTTCTAATCCCGGCAGCCCCACTTCCCTTCCAGCTCCCTGCCTGTGGCCTGGGAAAGCAGTCGAGGATGGCCCAAAGCTTTGGGACCCTGCACCCGCGTGGGAGACCCGGAAGAGGCTCCTGGCTTCGGATCGGCATAGTATCGGCCCGTTGCGCTCACTTGGGGAGTGAATCATCGGACGGAAGATCTTCCTCTCTGTCTCTCCTCTCTGTATATCCGCCTTTCCAATGAAAAAATAATAAAAATAAAATCTTTAAAAAAAAAAAAAAAAAGAAAAAGAAAAGGTGTGCTAGAAAAACAGACAGCCTGTTACAAGCCAGAACCCAAGGGAAGGACAGGGGCAAGGAGACTCTCATCCAGAAAAAATGCGACTTTCAAAGAGTCCCAGTTTGTACTTTTTTTTTTTTCTTTCTCTCAAAATGGTTAAGAGGAGGTTAAACCCTTTATGAGGAGCCGCAAAGTACTGCTTAGGGTCAGCGCTGCAACAGAGCAGCTGAAGCTGCCCTCTGCAGTGCCAGAACCTTATAAGCACCATTTCACAGCCTCGCTGGTCCACCTCCAATCCAGCTCCTGGTGAGCAGCTCAGGAAGGAAGCAGAAAACAGCCCAAAGGCTGAGTGAGGCCCTAGCAGCTCCGTGGGAGAGGTGGAGAAAGCTCCTGCCTTCAGCCTAAACCAACCCATCAGGATGCTTCCTGCCCCTTGCCTTCAGCATACTGCCCAAGACGCACAATACTGCTATGCTTCACTATCTGGAATTTTAATAACCAAGTAATTTATTAAATACACCTGCCTGCATTACAGTCCTTTCTCATCACTTTCCTTGCGGGAGGTTATTATACGTCCTCCTCTACTTCAACTCCCATATCCCCCTTCGATGCTGCTGCTAAGCTGGAAGTTATCAACAGTCCAAAAACTCACTTGGTGACAATGAGGAAAACAAAGTGGGAGGAACTCGTTTTAGACTTAAATTCCAGTTATTCTTGCAAGGGGAAAACCATGGTTTATTTCATTGCTATGCCAAGTCATCTTTTTTTTTTTTTAAATGGCCTGGCGCGATGTCCTAGTGGCTAAAGTCCTCGCCTTGCATGCCCGGGATTCCATATGGGCAACAGTTCTAATCCCAGCAACTCCACTTGCCATCCAACTCCATGCCTGTGGCCTGGGAAAGCAGTCGAGGACGGCCCAAAGCCTTGGGACCCTGCACCCACGTGGGAAGACCTGCAGGAAGAGGTTCCTGGCTCCGGATCGGCACAGCAATGGCCGTTGTAGTCACTTGGGGAGTGAATCATGGAACAGTCTGGTTTCTGGAATGAACATTCAGCCAAAGCATTTCGACCCCCCCGTAGAAGCTTCCTCCCTTTCCATTGCCAATGGAGGACTATGTTTCTAGAAAAGGACCCTTGGGGCTTGACTTCACCTTCACAGATACACCTATGTTGTAGTCGCTGCCTACAGTGCATGTTCGTAACTGAGAAGGGGGGAGGAAGCTGCTTCTACTGAAGGTTTTCTCCTGGTACCTGGACAGGGGCGGTTTCGTGGCGGGCATCTTGTCCTCCATCCACGGGGACGCACAGGCAGCATCTGTTCTTTCTTCCTGGGTCACCTCAACCCGAGCACACTGAGGCACACTTTTCTCGCCATGTGGGCTGGTGATTTCATTGACAGTTCCAGGCGCCAGACTTTGGCAAGCTGACTCCAGGTGTTCCTTTGCAGGGTCTGGATGCACTGAGCTTCCCAGGGAGGGGGAACCAGCTCGACCCTTACAGGACTCCCCTTAAAAAAACAAAGGCAAACAGCACACACAGGGAAATACCATATTCAGTTTAATTGCAGTATTTGAAGGAAAAAAGCAAGCCATTCTATAACAAACCTACCGTAAAAAGCTAAAGCTGAATGATAATTGAGTTACTGGAACTATTTAAAATAGCACAACTTGCTAGATTTGGCAACAGCTCTGCATTCAGATACAAAGCTCAAACCACAACTTGCCTAGAAAACTTTTGTTTACAAATATTCCTTGAAAAACAATAACAACCAAAAGCAAAAAACAAATATTCCTTGAACTTGATGATATTCTAAAAATCTAGGACTGAGAAGACAGTAACCACCAATCCAAAGCAGAGGGGCAAGGCCACGGGCACAGAAGGCATATGAACCACAGAGGCCCAAACAGTTAAACACGTCTTCCACAGCAAGGAGTGGGAACCAGAACAGTATTTAATTAGCACAAGACAGAGAAATTTCTTGTTAAATAAAAAACTTCATTTTCCCTTAAAATAGTTGCTTTTTTTAAGGTCTATTGCCAAAGAGTTCCAGCACCCACTAAAACAACCCAATTCCAGACAGCATGGAACAGACTCGTTGACAATGCTGGGCACTGTGACCCGCTAATGCCTCTACAGGACAGGAAGAGAACAGAAAGGGCAGCCACACACGAGCCTCCTGGGCCAAGCTGGGAGAGCCAAGGTGGGCCCGTGAGGACCACCGAGGTTACGGAACCTTCCCACTGCCAACACTCTTGGATGCCAAGAGCAGCAGCGTGGCTGCACGGGTCAGCAATGGCTATAGACACGAACGATGAGATTAACAGAGACTGCCGTAAAAGCACAAATGAAGACAAATGCATACAGTACAGGATACACATGTCTAGCTGTTTTACTTCTAAGAGAAATGGCCCCTAGAAGGTTTAATATCCCGGAGAGATTTTTCAATTCCTATAAAAAAGAAAAACTCAAACTGTCTTTTGAGCCTCTGTAGGTAACTTAAGCCTGAAAAGATCCCTGGTTTTAAATGAACTCTCAGGTATAGCTAAGCACTGATTTAAACAATTTTATTCACAAGTTTCTAAGTCCTAAAAGGCAGTCAATGAACTTTTAAAAGAACATCTCTGTAGCCCCTATGGTTCCCTAATAATTACAGTGTGAAAGCAAGACGGACTTCCAAGAATAAAGGAATCACCCAGGGGAAAATGCATCAGATATATCCAGAAACACTCGGCAAAATGCAATGTTAAAATTTACTTCACTTACCTGTTTCATCCAAAACATTTATTAATTCCGTTGAGCATACCTGTTTTGAGAAAATTTATAAGTCATTAGAAATCCACTTACAAAGTAAAATTACAGTTCCTTCCTTCTTTAAGTAAATAAAGCATATCAGGGGCCTGGCACCATAACCTAATGGCTAAAGCCCTTACCTTGCATGCGCCGGCATCCTTTATGTGCACCGGTTCAGGCTGTGGCGCACCACTTCCCATCCAGCTCCCTGCATATGGCATGGAAAAGCAGGCGAGGATGGCCCAAAGCCTTGGCACCCTGCACCCATGTGGGAGAGATCTAGAAGACGTTCCTGGCTCCTGGCCTAGAATCGGCTCAACTTTGGCCATTGTAGCCATTTGGAGAGTGAATCGGTGCATGCAAACAGAGGACTTTAGCCACTAGGCTGCCGTGCCAGGCCCTCGCAGCTGCTTTTGATGCCTGTACCGCATAGAAGAGTGTCAGTTAGCTGTAGGCATCTCCCATTCAGCTGCCCGCTGCCACATCCTAGGAGGCGGGTGACGGCGTCCTAGGTGTGCAGACACTGCCAGCCATGTGGGAGGCTCCTGGCTTCAGCCTGGCCGAGCCCTGGCTGTTGTCGGCATTTGTGGAGTGAACCAGCAGACGGAAGGTGTCTTTGCCTCTGTCTCTTCCTGCTTCTATGCCTTACAAGTAGCTGAAAATAAATATTTTCTTAAAATATGGTCTTACTCCCTACCAAAATATTCTAATCAAGTCAACAGTATTAACTAGAAATTTTACCTTAAATCTCAAAGATGTATAATCCCCAGAAGACACACATGAAAGGACTGATATTCGATTACGGAAAACAAAAACATTTTGTGTGCCTTTCTAAATAAACTGTGTATGCAATCTTTCTCTTTTTTTCTTCTTCTTCTTCAAGACTTTCTTATTTTTATTTGAAACGCAGGTTTACAGACAGACAAGAGAGAGGTATTTTCCATCCCTGCTTCTCTCCCACAATGGTTAAGGCTGTGCTGGTCCAGAGCCAGGCGCTTCTTCTGGGTCTCCCACGTGGGTACAAGCGCCCAAGTGCTTGGGCCATCTTCCACTGCTTGCCCAGGCACATTAGCAGGGAGCCTGGATTGTGAGTAGAGCAGCCAGGACTAGAGTCAGTGCCCATGTTGGCTGCCCGCATTACAGCTAAAGGCTTAACCTGCCATGCCATGGCGCTGGTTCCAAGCATTCTAAATTACATTCAGCAGAAGTGTTTACTGTTAAGGAAGATGAGGGAGTGGTTTTGAGCCAAGTGGCCAGGATGCCCATGGCTGGCATCAGAGCAACTGGCTTCATTTCCCAGCTTCAGTTTCCAACCAGCACACAGCCTGGCACGCAGGGGTGATGGCTCAAACACGCGGGTCCCTGTCAGCCACGTGGGAGATCAGGACTGAATCTCCAGTTCCCATTCACGGCTCCCGGCGTCCACCTGGCCCCAGCAGCAGAGGGTCCCTCGGGGAGGAAGCAGCAGATGGACAATCCATCCGCGATGCATTGGTCTGCCTTTCTCACTCTAAGCCTTTCAAATAAATAAATAACTAAACACAAAAACTAAAGCACAATATGCTTAAGAGAAAAGAAGTGTAGCCAAAAGGTAAATGACACAAGAGGGACAAAACATGTAGGTAATCACAGACACCCCCAAGAATACAAACACTTGGAAATGCATAAAAACAAAAAACTAACCCAGCTGAAACTGGGTAAAGAACACCAAAACTCATTTCACAGAGAAGAAAATGTAAAAGGCTTTTTTTTGGATGATCTTTACATAGTTGCTTAGGGCTCAAAGGGTCAAGACTTACAGGAAAGAGGGTAAGACCATTGTTTCCACATTGTCTTTCCCTCCTGTATCTGGGGGAAGGTGAGAGACAAAGGGAGAAGCCACTCCCAGCCCTGGGAACCATCCCAGGGTCCCCAGTGGCTCTTAAGTATATGAAAAGATGTTTAATCTCAGCCACAACAGAAATCACAATTAGCTGGGATGACATTTCATTATTATTATCCCTTAAGATCCATAATTACTTGGTTTTTTGGTTTGTTTATTTGAAAACCAGATCCCCCATGTGCTAGCATACTCCAATGGCTGCCAAGCTTGGGGACGGGCCAGGCCACATCAGGATCCTGGGGGCTGTTGGGGTCCCTCCCACATGCTTCTGCTATCACCCACTACATTCCCATCCACACAGCAGGGGGCTGGACACAAAGTAGGGCAGCTCTGATAAACTCAGCACCCCGAACAGATAAGCAAAGACCACTGCTCTGCATCCACTATCATCCTAGGACCAATGGTCTCCAATTCTCCCTTTGAGAATGGAGATTCCAAATCGACTGTTGCAAGAACTTTAGACACATGGTCTCATATTTCCCTCAGGCAGTGAGAAATCCTTTTGAAAAGATTTATTTATTTGGGAAAAAAAAAAAATACATAAAGAGGGAGAAATATATATGTATGGGAGTGCCTAGGCTCAATTCTCTTCATGTGCTGGTTCACTCCCCAGATGGCCACAACAGCCAAAGCTGGAAGCCAGGAGTTTCTTCCAGGTCTCCCAGGTGGGTGGCAGGTGCCCAAGGACTTGGGCAATTTTCTGCTGCTTTCCCAGGCACAACAGCATTGAATTGGAAGTGAAGCAGCAGTGGCTGAAATCAGGGCCTAGGGCGATGGCTCAGTTGCCTAACCCTCCCCTTTTCAAGCACTAGGATCATGCAGGTGCCAGATCATGTCCCAGCTGCTCCAATTCACATCCACTTTCCTATTATGACTTGGGAAAGCAGTCGAGGACGGCCCAAAAGCCTTGAGACACTGCACCCATGTAGGAGACCCAGAAGCAGCGCTTGGCGCTTGGCTCTTGGCTTTGGATCAGGTCAGCTCCAGCTGTTGCAGCCACTTGGGGAGTGAACCAGCAGCTGAAAATCACTCCCTCTGTCTCCCTTCTGTGCAATTCTGCCTTCCATATAAATAAATAAGGCAATCTAAAGCCAGTTTTGCCTGGATTATTTTTTAATTTAAAGCAATTATGCTCATTCCATTTAGGTTTCATAGGTTTGTTATGGGTTTCATTGGTTTTAAATAATTTTATTTTATTTGAAAAGCATAAAGAGAAAGAAAGATCTTCCATCTGCTGGTTCACCCCTTAAATTCCCTCAACAGCTGGAGTTGGGCCAGGCTGACGTCAGGAGCCTGGAAGTTCAGGTAGCTCTCCCGAGTGAACGCCGGAGACCCAGACAATTCAGCCAGCACTGCTGTCCGGGCATGCGCATCAGCAGGACATGACCATGAGGAGAGGAGCTGGACTTTATCCCAGGATTCTGTTTCTGATGCAGTTACACCAAGCAGTGATGTAGCCGCTGAACCAAAGGCTTATGGCTGGATAAGCTATGGAGCAAAATGTCAGAACTACGTATCTATCTCAAAGTTCAAAGAGAATGAAGGAAAACAGAACCAGGATCTGCTGCAGTACGGCGATGCTAATTCGGCAGTGATTCGATCTTACCCCAGAGGCGTATTCTTGATGAAGAATTCTTGAAGTGAGTGAACTCTTTTTGGCAGGGGGAGCCTGATCGCTCTCCTCAAGGCTGCAATGAAACCTCTTTCTAGTGGTGAGATCCAAATTAGCAGGAGACTTCTCAGAACCATCTCTCCCAGAAACTGGTAAACACATGGCACCTTGATGAAGTGACGCTACCGGTAAATTCACACTGCACAGAAAATAAAAAATACTAAATCAATAAATTAGAAGTTAACTTACTAAGAATAAGACATAAATCATTACAACGAAAATTCAAAAGAAATTTTCAAATTTCCTAATTCATATATACACGGCCATAGTCGTAGAGCACATTCACAAATGCTGGTTATAAAGTTTCATTCCTATTGAAAGGCTCACAGCCTATTCCATAAGACTGAGTTAAATCTGAGGCACACAGTGTTGTCCATGCCTGTAAAATTAAATAAACCTAAAATGTCTCATCCTGAGGTGAAGGGCTTCAATTTCTAGGGTTACCTGATAGATAGTTAAGTATCATAGGCAATGGTGGTTAAAATGTGTAACACATCTACAACAAGGAATTAAGACACAAGCGTCAGGAATGTCCAAGAACATCTATTTCAATTTTGTATGCTTAAATATGCTTAACACACAGACATTTATTTCTCCGAAGTATCATTTTATGATCCAGACTACTCACATTTTAGACTTCAAGATACCTTAAAATAACACACAAGTTTGATATCCCAGGTATTATGCCTCAAATAAATGGTATCCTTTAAAAACATTGGAAGCAGTTGTCTCACCCACTTCCCCCATTCCTCAACGCTCCTCCCCATCAATCATGGTCCACATGGACATGCACTCCTCTCAACTATGTAAATATCATCAAAAATAAAATGACTTTACTATTAACAGGTATAAAACCACCTACATTGCATTTCCTTTGTTTTTATACAATTACTAATTATGATAACAGAATAATGACAAATAATATTAGTTAGCACCTTGTTCCACTGCCACTGTTCTGCTCACACAGACCCTTTCTGCCACCCAGAACAAGTCACTCATTACCTCCCGTCAGCCCTTTCTTCAGAGCTCGCTGACTTGACCAAGATGGGTGCTGGCAGCAAGGAGGCTGGCACTGATTGGGCAGTGGTGTCAGTAAATTCTGCGGCTGCGCTGGTTGGGATTTCCACCAGAGTCAGAATGAATGCCTGCTCGTCTTCTTGACGGATGTCAGCAGCCATCAAGCCTAGCGGAGTTACAAAGTTAACAACGTTATGCTGAGTCATGGAATAACACAAATCATTCATCTCTAAAAAATAATTTTATGACAACCTATCACCAAAACTAAAAAAACCACATCACATATTCACACCCCTTACAAAGTGGTTTCACAAAAAATAATGATGGTGGGTGAGTTAGTGTGCCACTTCACAAGTTAAGTCACCACCTGAGCGGCATTGCACATCAGAGTGACGGCTCACCTCCGGGCTTTTCTGCCTTTGATCCAGCTCCTGCTATTGCGCTGGGAAAGGCAGCATACAATGGCTCAAGTCCCTGGGCCCCTGCCATCCATACGGGACCCCCAAATGGAATTTAAGCCTGCCGTCAACTTAAAAATGCTGTTCTGCATTTCTGCCTAGTTAGATGAGGTGGTAAGTCACACCAGCAGGCACCCTGACACGCATCATACCTGTTAAATCTTGAGAGCTGATGACATTCCCCTGGTGGACTTCTGCAACATTAGCTGGTGTACACTGCTATAAAAATGCAAATGAAGGATGAGGTTAGCCAGATCTTACTTTCACAAAGTTTCCTGGACAATTTGACACAGCAAAGGAATTCTTCCAATTCCAACAGCTGGGCCCAGCGCTATAGCATAATGGTTAAGGTCCTCTCCTTGAACATGCTGGGATCCCATATGGGCGCCGGTTCTAATCCCGGCAGCTCCACTTCCCATCCAGTTCCCTGCCTGTGGCCTGGGAAGGCAGTCAAGGACGGCCCAAAGCCTTGGGACCCTGTACCCACGTGGGAGACCCAGAAGAGGCTCCTGGCTTCAGATCGGCATAGCATCGGCTGTTGCACTCACTTGGGGAGTGAATCATCAGACCAAACATCTTCCTCTCTGTCTCTCCTCCTCTCTTTATATTATATGTCTAACTTTACAATAAAAATAAATAAATCTTAAAAAAACAAAGTGCTATGGTGTGGCGGGTCAGGATTACACCTACAGCATGGCATCTGGCACAGGCACTGGTTTGAGTCCTGCTGCTGCACTTCCGATCTAGCTCTCTGCTTATGATCTGGGAAAACAACAGAGGGCAGTCCAAGTCCTCAGGTCTCTACACACAGATGGGAGGCACAGAAGCTTCTAGTTTCTGGCTTTGGACCAGCCACATCTGGCTGCTGCGGCCAAATGGGGGGTGAACGCTGCATGAAAGATCTCTCCAACTATGCATTTCAAATAATAAATAAATAAATTCTGAGAAACTCATACTGGGGGCCCGGCGGCATGGCCTCACGGCTAAAGTCCTCGCCTTAGAAGCGCTCAGATCCCATATGGGCGCTGGTTCTAATCCTGGCAGCCCCGCTTCCCATCCAGCTCCCTGCTTGTGGCCTGGGAAAGCAGTCGAGGACGACCCAATGCTTTGGGACCCTGCACCCGTGCGGGAAATCTGGAAGAGGTTCCTGGCTCCTGGCTTCGGATTGGCGCAGTACCGTTGTGCTCACTTGGGGAGTGAATCATCGGATGGAAGATCTTCCTCTCTGTCTCTCCTCCTCTCTGTATATCTGACTTTGTAATGAAAATAAAATAAATCTTAAAAAAAAAAAAAAGAAGAAGAAACCCATACTGGAAATCTCTAAGACAACAACTGAAATGTGAGTGAAAACGTTAGATCACATCACATTCATAAATCGACTGTGAGCAACACTGAGTGGCAACAAAAGCATCGCATCTCTGCAAGGAGAGGCCCCTCCCTGAGAGGGCGTACTGGGGTGAATGCTTCTCCTTGCAGCTTCCTTTCAGAGATCTAGAGATCTAGAGATGGAGAATAAGGCAGTGGGAAAGCTAGCAAAGCCAAGCGTTCACAGCGAATGAATTCAAGCGAAGGCATCGGAGAGTTCTTCTCTCACACTGCCAAGTGCCGGCAGCGCAGGACAGTGCAGCTGCCGGGCAGCATGTGCAAAGGAGGGCCCGGGCCTCGCAGTGGCCTCAGGCCCTGACGCCAGCCTCGTGCTCATGTGCATCCTGGTGCCCCGCTCACCCACCTGGGAGACCTCAGCTGAGAGCCCTGAGCATCACCTCCGGCACCGGGGAGGGGACCAGGCGATGGGAGCGCCGGCCGAAGGGCTCACGCTCTCTCTCCAGTGAATCAGCAGATGAGGTACTTCACAGCAAAAAATAAACGTTAGCTGAGAGTTGAGGGTTTTATAACTTTGGATACCCTGAAACTCCCGAGAGGCTTTAAAAGCAATTTTATGATCTGTTGACAATCATTTCTTTTCTTTTTATTTCCTTTTTTTTTTTTAACTTTATCACTAAGCATTTCCTTCCTACTTCTTCTTTAAGATCAAGGCTTTTCTTGCCTGGGGGATTAGAAAAAAAAAAAAACTAATGCCTAAAGCCCATGCCCAGATGTCCAATTAACTGGACTCAGTTGAGGATGACTCCATAGAGTCTGACACAAATTTTTATCACAATACCTATCAAACTTCATGTAACCACGAGCCTGCTCATCCGCTTCCAAAACACCCGTAACCTTGGTACCTGAGCAGGTATACACGTCCCAGTAACAGCTCAACGAACACCTGTGCAGTGGGTGAACTGGGACTCCAGGTATGGGCAACAAGTTCATTCTTGATGTATAAAACACAGGCTTTTCCTTTCCAAGTTTGTAACAGGGTATTAGCTCTTTTTATCTGTAAGGCCTCAACACTGGCAACATGCACCATTAAAATTCTACCTCAGTCACTCTAGCAAAGTTAAAGAGAAGGGGTCAGTGCTGTGGCACAGCAGCTTAAACCACTGCTTCCCACATCAACATTGTATTTCAGGGATTTTTTTTTTCAGACTGTGTTTATTTGGCACCTGGTGTGGTAACCTAGTGGCTAAAGGATACCATTGGAATGCCCATTCATGTCCCAGATGCTCCACTTCCCATCCACATCCTTGCTTTGGCCTGGGATAGCAGTAGAGGATGGCCCAAAGCCTTGGGACCCTGCACCCACGTGGGAGACCTGGAGGAGGCTCCTGGTTTCAGACTGGCTCAGCTCAGGCTATTGTGGCTACTTGGGGTGTGAATCAGCAGATGGAAGCCCTTTCTCTCCATCTCTCCTTCACTCTGCAAATCTGCCTTTCCAATAAAAATAAATAAATCTGGTTTGTTTGTTTTTATTGCAAAGGCAGTTTTACAAAAAGAGAATGAGAAACAGAAATAAAGATCTTCCATCCCAGCTGAGCCGATGTGAAGCCAGGAGCCAGGAGCTTCTTCCAGGTTTCCCATGAGGGTGCAGGTTCCCAGGATTTGGGCCATCCTCGACTGCTTTTCCAGGCCAAAGCAAAGTTGCAGATGGGAAGTGCAGCAGCCGGGACATCAACGAATGTCTGTATGGTATCCTGCCAGATGCAAGGCAAGGATTTAGCCACTAGGGTATCGTACCAGGACCCTCAGGGGATGTTAAGAATCCAAGCCACTCCACTTCCCATCCAGCCAACTGCTAACGTGCCTGGGAAGCCAGTGGATGATGGCTCAAGTCTATGGGTCCCTACCACCCATGGACGAGACCAGGATGGAGGTCCACCCTCCAGGCTTCAACCTGGTGCAAACCCAGGTGTTGCAGTCATTTGGGCGGAAGGTATATAGGCTGGAGGAACTCTACATCTCCTCTCTATTGCTCTTCCTTTCAAATACGTAATCTTTAAAACACACAAAGAAAGAAAACAGAACCACACTGGTAGAATTTGGAGGCAGAGAATAGCACTATGCAAATTCCAGAGACTGGAGGGGCAGTGGAACTATGCATGCATTGCTTACACCGTAGTGTATGCCAATTAAACTTGAGCTTTGTGAAATGAGGTAAAGACACCCCCACACCCCAGTTCTAGCTGACATCATCACCTGTGGCACTTGAAGGGTGAGCACACCACCTCCTGCAGACTCCTGCCTCAGGAGCCCCTCACCAGAGATCTGGCTGAGAGCGAGCATGGGCACAGCTGGCTCCAAGGAGGAAACGAGTGGAGCAACAGGTGGCACCAGCACCACTTCTGAACCTTCCTCTTCCTCTGCATTTCTGAAAGAGAGCTGTATTAAGTTATCTGGAATGGGGCAACATAAACCAGAGAATTTCTTTTGAGCTAAGCACATTAAAGATCATCTAATTCAATAGCTTTGCAAACAGTTTGAATGTGCTTAATGCAACAAATGCCTTTTACCATCAGATTCCTACATTTACATCTTCTGTCTAGAGCATATAAGCCATATATACAGAACATAATATATAAAGCATATACACAGAACCCCAAACCCAGAATCCCGGCCCTCCTTTACCTTTCAGCTACGTGTGCTTCCTGGGCAACACCCGTCTCACTGCCAGCGCAGGCGCATTCCACCCTGCTCTGCTGCTCACGCCCTGCTACTGTCACTGGTCCAAGGCTTCTAGCTTCCACCTCTGCTGTTTTGGAAGCACTTTCTTCTGTTTCTTTAACATAAAACACATGTAAGATATATATCAAAGTGTTACTGCTAATCTCCTAAATCTCTGTTAACTCAAAACCCATCTTAGTCACACAGCAGGAGGCTGAACCTGGTCAATGGGATTTTCCAACAGTAAAGGATGCTAATGAGCTCTGCGTTACCCATATTCCACTCCTGGCTGCCACAGCAGCAGTGCCCCCCGTTACAGCAACAGCACTGTAACGAGAAGGACATACACAAATGAGCATTCTAAGTGGGTACAAGGTCTTGCCAGCCCCTCTTAGGGCAAAACCCAGGAGGAACCCAGAAGTGTCACAAAGAGGAACGCTAATTTTTATTTTAAAAAGGTTCTGTGAGCTGACACACTCAGAGTTCCTGGATGTTGCAACCTAACTGCACATGCTCACTGCACCACAGGCATTGCAGAAGAGAGGAAATTCCAGAAACAGAAAACTCCTGAACAGGGACGTGAGGTTAGCTCTCCAGGCAGCGTGGAGCTGGCACTGCCTTTCAAACCCTTAATACCACCCAAGGGTGCTGAGTCCTGGAACAGGGAAGTGGAAGCGTGGGAATCCAGAGCCATGCACTCAGCTCAGAAACAATGACGTCATTAAAAACCAAGAGTGCTATGTGATCACATGGCAAATACCTCCCCAATCTATTTGGCTTTAAGAACAGAAGGTGTTAATACCTAAAAAGTTGTTATAGCTCAATAAAAAGGCAGTCCAATTTGAAAACAAGCACACACCTGAACAAACATTTCTCTAAAGATACAGAAGCAAGCACATGAAGATATTCAACACTGTCAACCAGAGGGGAACGCAATCAGAAGGCGTAACGAACCAACACTTCACACCAAGACAGCTACAACCACACAGACAGATGGTGACGAGTGTCTGAAGGGAGGCAGGGAAAGGGATGCTTACAAAGACAGTTGGGTGAAAATATAAAGTAGTGCACTCCCTGTTGGAAGCAATCTGGCAGTTCCTCAAAAGGCTAACCACAGAATAATACAGGATTTTGTACACACACATACACATGCTCTCCCACTTAGAACACTTCCAGGGCAGGCAGGGAAGCCGAGTTCACGGATGCATGGATCCAAGCCCAGCTGTGCTGCCAGCTCCAGCTTCCTGCTGATATACCCCAGGGAGGGAGCAGGAGGGGACCCCAGAAACTGAGTCCCCAACACCTAGGAGGGAGACCCAGACTGAGTTACTGAATCGCAGCGTTGGCTTGGGTCAGCCGTGCTGATGTGGGCACTTGGAGAATGGACCAAGGAGTTCAAGATTTCTGTCTCTAGTTCTCGAAGTCTCAGATCAGTAAGCACATTTTGAGTTTTTAAAAGTCTGTTTCTTAGCTGTTTGCCAATCAAAGTGAGAGTAAAAAGCTGAGAGACATTCCATGTCTTTCAGGCAGTGGCTGTATTTTTTGCTATGTTTTGTGTATGTGCCTAAGGGATGTGTTTATGCACACACTCACACACAGGAAAGACTGATCAAATTACACAAAAATGGTTCTCATTACTGAAACCAGATAGCACATTTATGATATTTATTTCTTATGTAATTTTACTTTTCTCTATGTTAAGCATAATGTTAAAGATAGATCATTTTTAAATCTGAGTACTAAAGTGAATAGTTAATGTCACTTCTGGTGTCAAAGTCACACTGTAATTTGCAGTAGAGCAATAAAACTTACCAATCTGAGACTCTGTTACTACCTCTTGGGTTACACACAAACTGGCATCTTCCTTAAGCAACCTGTTGGTCCGTGAAGCTTGCTTAAGATTGGGTTTCGGCCTGGCAAATCTGCTTCTCATTCTCAAATTACTGGTCATTTTAGATACTGCACTCCTAGATACAAAGAAAGAGGCAGAGAAAGTAACCAACCTTGCAGGACCTCTCTGTCTAGTACTTACACCATAACTGTCACCTGTCAGCATTTATACTGCCTACACCTGTTCATTATTTTTTTTTTAAGATTTATTCATTTTTATTGGAAAGTCAGATATACAGAGAGGAGGAGAGACAGAGAGGAAGATCTTCCATCCACTGTTTCACTCCCCAAGTGAGCGCAATGGCCAGTGCTGCGCCGATCTGGAGCCAGGAGCCAGGAACTTCCTCCAGGTCTCCCACACGGGTGCAGGGTCCCAAGGCTTTGGGCCGTCATCCACTGCTTTCCCAGGCCACAAGCAGGGAGCTGGATGGAAAGTGGAGCCGCCAGGATTAAAACCAGCGCCCATATGGGATCCCGGGGCGTTCAAGGTGAGAACTTTAGCTGCTAGATCATCACACTGGACCCACAAGTTCAGTTCTTAATGCTCAAAGTATAAAGTAGTCATTTTACTAGAGGTCCTGAAAAGACCATCTGGACCAAGTCTAAGAAACAAACACTACATTTACTTTAACTTCACTGAAACTCCAAAGACATAAGAAACAACTCAGGCCTCTGCTGAACCTCTGGCCTGCAGGACATACAAGGTCGACAAAAATCGGTCTGTCAACTGCATAAAGGCCTTCAGATTCAATAAATCTACACCAGGCTAAGTTTTCTTTTTTTTAAGTTGATAACATTTTTTTAAATCTTTTTTTATTTTGTGAAAGGCAAACTTAAAGGCAAAAGCGAGAAAGATCTTCCACCTGCTATTTTACACCCAAGTTGCTGCAATGGCCAGCACTTGGCCAGACAAAGACCAGGAACCCAGAGGCTCCTCTAGGTATCAGACATGCTGCAGGGACGCAAACACTTAGGCCATCTTCTACTGCTTTTCTGAAGCCATTAAGTAGAACAAACTGGTCTCAAAATGCCCAAATGGGATGCTGGTGTTACAGACAGCAACTTGCCCCCGTAGGTCGCAATGCCAGCCCTGATAAATACATCTTAAGGAAAAAGTTATTTCAAAGGCAGAGTCAGAGATAGAAAGGGAGCTTCCACCCTCTGGTTCCTGCTCCAAAGCCAGCCGTGCTAGGGCCAGGCAGCAGCTAGGAGCCTGGAACATCTTTACGGTCTGCCACCTGGGTTCAGAACCAAACTCTTGAACCATTCCTATTGCTCTCCCAGGCCCATTAGCAGGAAGCTGGTTCAGAAGTGAGGCAGCTGGGACTGGAACCTGAGGCGTCACAGGGAACACCTTAACAGACCCCCAGGTGATAAGTTTGCATGGCCCAAGAACATGTTATAAATATCCAAATGACCCTTGGCAAAAAAAAAGATTCCCCACTCCCGCAATACATGCTGCTACAATTTTATAGGTGAACCATTAAACCATTAAAATAAAAACCAATCAATTCTTTCTTAAAAGGGTAAGAAGCCACCATTACCTATCTTATATTTATAAAATAAGAATTATTCAAAGCTATTCAGTGAAATGATGATGGCTTTTTAACTGCATGTACTAATTAGATATTAAAATAAACCTGGTTGGTGTGGCAGTTCCCTTGACTTTTTCCACTAGACCAACTTCTTCTCTCGTACTTTGCTCCTCCAACACAATCTTGTTTTCTTCAAGCGATTCAAGAGCTGTACTGGTGACAGGTGAAGCAAGACCCCGACACTCAGCAACGACTCCGACATTGACATCATCTGGACTAAAGGGAGCATGGCTCTTATCCTCCAAATGAGCATCAGCAAGCACACACACACCTACTGAAAGAAAAGTCAAAAAGGAAGGAGAATTAAACTGATTCACTATCAACAGGTGTCCAAACAACACTTCTAACACTAATTGTAAATTTCTATAAAGTTTGCACTTTTTGGCTCCACATTTGAATTTATGATCTTATATGTATCTCATGACCTTTTTGAAGCTTAATTCTTACAGTCTGGAAGCTCAAGACTATTATATCATTCAACTGAGTCCTTCTGTTTCTTTCAGGAAGAGTAACTCCAGATGGATTTCAAGACTGTGCTTATTAATGATTTTCTAAAAACCTGTATTTTATGTTCTAGAGATGCGTCATGGCCTCTACCATAATCTTCTGCATCTGAGAAAGAAGTGCTAAATGTACAGATTATGAACCAGAGGCTTTCCCGGTAAATACATGGTTAGGAAAGAAAAGACTAACAGTCAAAATGAAGCGCAGGCCAGCCATTACCAGTCAAAACTGTTATTAAAAAAAAAAACAGAATTACCATGACTTTCCATTTCACGTAATTAAAGATCCCAAGAAGCAAAGGCCACAGCTTCTGGGTTTAGCCCACTATTTAAAAGCCCGACTGGCCTATCTCTTGGCTTGATCCAACAACCTTGCTGACTGTGACTGGCCTTCTAGATTGGCTCCTGAGGAAGACAACCCCAGCAACAAGAGTTACAGAGTTAAAGTACTCACTAAGCTTGGCCAACCAACAGAAGCACAGCATCCACTGCTACTGCATCATCCATCTCAAGATGGCTGCCACTACACCTTAAGGAGCTGAGTAAAACACTGGATGGATCAATATGTGGATGCCATCTTTTCTGGAAAAAGTCAAGTCTTGTTTGCCACTTCAACAGCGAAAGGCTTGTAACTCACTCACTATGGGTCTAATTTCTAAAGAGTCAGATTTTTCAGGTAGGAATTAGGTTTCCCTCTTACCATCCCCCTGTTCGGCACCGATCTCCGATTGCAGCACTAGATCTCCCATTGTAAGCAAAGCTATGGCAGCTTCAGCACTTCCGTCATTGGTAGCTAGTGAGGAAACACGAGAACATGAAGACAGAACCGTCACCCAGGAAATGTTTACTAAAAAAAGATTGTTTAATTCAGGTGTTTTTCTTCTAGTAACAGTTTCTAAAATCTTCCATACCATCATTTCTGTTCCATTACTTCCTTATTAGGGCAGTGAACTGCTCAGGTTGTATACAAGTAAAGAAATCATACAATGTTGGCATTAAATTCAAAGTAAACACTCTCATCTTGGTACATCCAGAGGGAATGCTGAACCAACCTTTGTTTATTAAACATCTGACTTTGAAACAGGCATCTAGCACAGTGGCTGAGCCATAACCTGGGATGGCCACATCCTGTTCTGGAATGCCTGGGTTACAGAACCAGCTCCACTGCAAACTCCAGCTTCCTGCTAACGCACACACTGGTAGGCAGCGGTGATGACCCAAGTATCTAGGTTCCTGCCACTCACTCAGAGATCCAGACCGGACCCCAGTCTCAGTCTCACTGTTGCGGGCAGGAGGAAAGTAAGCCAGTGGATTGGTGACCTCTCTCTTTACATTCTTCCAAATAAATTTAAATTAAAACAAAAAAACCCTATCTTTGAACTTGCCTTCTAAATTTACAGTCTAAAAATCAAAGTTTCTCTCAGCTGTAGGCAACTGCCTAGGTGGCATTCTACCCTGGCAAGTGTTACACTGCTGTGACAAAAGCAGCCAACAGCTGGCAGGCACACCGGGCTTGGCTACTGCCAAATCCGTGTTAACTATACCAGTGTGCCAACACAATTGCCTATTCTATTTTTTTTTAAAGATATGTGGAGAAAGCAGGGGATGCCAGGCTGGGTGCTGCCCCAGACCCATGCCACAAGCTGTAACACAGTAGAAAGGCTGCAGATTGCACACGACTAGGGGTCTGGGGACATGCTGGAGTGGGGTTACTGAAGGCACGTTTGACAGGGGAGGAGTGACTTCTGGGGGCTTCCACATACCAGGCCACTAAACTCAGAGATACATTGAGAGAGCACAGACTAGGTAGTTTAGAGGGGGAAATTGGTGGGCATGTTTGGGTCAAGCCAGGACACCAGCCAACATGGGAGACCTGGGCTGAGCTAAATGACATCACCCGCCATCTGCTGAAACATGTAAAGGCTGGGGCTAGGGGCATGCCTGGCTGAGCTGGGCAGTAGTACCCACCTGCAGATCTCAAAGCAGAGGGTGGCCCACATCAGCCTGGGCCACAGCATCCATCAGAACATGAAAGAACCAGATCTGGGGACAGATTCTATAGGGGACTTATGGGCTCAGCTCTGTGGACTGCATGAGAACTAGGGGTGGTAACAGGCCAAGCCAGGCCAGGCTGTAGCACCCGCTGGAACATACAAAGGACAGGACCAAGGGCAGACCACACCAAGCAGGACCACCGAACCCACCTGAAAGCAGGAGATCTGGGTCTGGGGAAAGGCCATGAGGGGAACTTGGGAACTCCATTGCTAGGCTGCAGCGTCCCCTGTTGAGTGAGGCAGCCAGGGCTGGGGGCAGGCCAGGCTGGGATGGGCCCCAACACCTACCAGTTCAAGTGAGTGCCAGGACCTTGAAACATTCTTCCCCACACTGGGTCTCTAAGGCATCATGAAATGACCATTCCCATCCCCAGATACTGATGCGACTGACAGCAAGGAGCAACCCCCTCTTCTTCCCTCCGAACCTCCCCACCCTTATACAAACAGGAGAAAAACAAAGGGAAATAAAGGAAGAACTGAACCATGTGTCCCAACCACCTACTTCTAGATCTCAACCCTTCCCTACCATAATCTAAGGCCCACATTGGCCGTGCATCCCTCTCAACAAAGTCAACAACATTAAAAATAAACTTAAACTTAAAACATCAGAGTTTTTAACAGACACTGTACTAACAACAGGAATCATTTTGTCCAATTTTTCAGTAAATTGATTCACTTACTATCACCATCACTAGATCACTGTGCTAGATTTAAAAAGGAGTTTTAGGAGTTTACTTGTTAACAATTACCTGGCTCATCTTGGGTATGTACACTGCTGGTCACTTCCTATGAGAGGAAAAGATAAGCATCATGTTAAGCCTCTTCCCAAATACGTTTTGCATCTTAAAGAGCACTGCCCTTGGGAGACCTGCAGCCTGTGCTGGAGCTACTCCAATCCCAATTTAGGACCCTGCTCATTGCCTGTGAGAGCAGCTGATGTCGGGCCCTGCTACCCAAAGAGGAAGCCCAGGTGAAGTGTCTGGCTCCTGACTCTGACCCGGCCTGGCCTGGCCCCAGCTGTTGAAGGCATCTGGAGAGTGAACCAGCAAACAGAAAGTCTATCAGTCTCTCCGTGTTTCAAATAGAGGAAAATAAACAGACACCTTTTTAAAAAGCACTGTATTTGGAGCTGGCGTTGTGATGCAGTGCCCATAACGCCTACCTGCAACACCAGCACTCCGTAAGGCACCAGTCCAACTCCCTGCTAACATTCCTGCAAAGCAAGAGCAAGAGGGCCCAAGTGCTTGGCCCCTGTGCCCACCGACATGGAAGAGCTGCAAGAAGCTCCTGGCTAGCCCGACCTTGATCACTGCGACTAACTGGGGAGCAGATCAGTAATGGAGGATTTTGCCCTCTCCTACCCCACCTTACAAAACAAATAAATCTAAAAAAAAAAAAAAAAAGCAGTGCTTTCTGTGCTTTCTGGTTATAACAGTGGGCATATTTTCCGCTTAGTTACAACATTTATAAAATTTCTTGAACAATCGAAATAAAAGCCAAATTATTTATCTCATTCCTAACTTTACCTTTTTCTTCTATTACAAACACATTTTAATTATGACCATACTATTATGTCCATGTAGCATCCTTATTTTACTTTTCACAACAAAGAAAATCCTTCATCTCTAGTCATAATTTTTAGTTTTTACACAATGAAAACCAAGGCCTGAAGACTACTGCAATTCTTATACCATTAAACTTAAAACTTCATTTAATAAAGAAAGAAGCGATAGAACTTGGGGGCTAGAGCTGTGGTGCAGCACGTTAAGTGGCCACATGCGACAGTGGTGTCCCTCCCACATAGGCACTGGATCTTATCCAGATGACAGCACTTTTTAACCCAGCTCCCTGCTAACAGCCTGGGCAAAGCAGCAGAAGACGGCCCAAGTGCTCAGGCCCCTGGAAACACGTGGGAGATCCACATTAAGTGCCTGGCTCCTGCCTTACACTTGGCTGGCTCAGACATGGCCAGTGCAGTCCCTTGGGGAATGGTTCAGTAGATGAAAAATAGCCCCTTCCCTTCTGTAACTCTTTCAGTTAAATAAAACTTCAAAAAAAAAAATCGTTACAGGACTAACAAGCCCGAGGCAACCTAAGGAGCTCCAGAGAGCAGGGTTCCAAGGAAACCAGTGAAGTTAATTAAAAACAACAACAAACAGACACCTGGGGATGGGCCCTCAGCCACCCACCTCCTGAACTGCTCCCTGGAGCACCCACAGCCCACCCTGGAGTTCCTGAGCTCAGGGCCTGGCTCTGCCTCCAACTTCCGCTTCCTGCTAATGCACACTCCGGGAGGTGGCAGGTGTTTGGGTCCCTGCTACCCGCCTGTCTCACATTCCTGACTCTGGCTTAGTCCAGCTTTGTCACTGAAGGAATCTGGGGAGAGAAACACTGGATGGACACATCCCTGGCTTTACCTTCAAGTTTTTAAAAAGAAAAGACTCTGCAACATCATTTCAAGTCTCTAGAAATGGCCCAAAGGGCAAGAAGCAAATGAAGAAGCATCCCTTCTAGGGCCAGCAATGTGGTGCAGTGGGTTAGGCTGCCGTCTGCACGTGGGAGCCAGCTCATGTCCCAGGTGTCGCACTTCCAACCTACATTTCGGCTAATGTAGCTGGGAAGCATGGGAGATCTAATGGCCTGGGGAGGTAGCTGAGGATGGCCCAAGTTCATGGGCTCCTGCATCCACGTAGGAGTCTCCAAGGAAGCTCCTAGCTCCCCAACTATGGAGCAGTCCAGCTCCGGTGAGAGAATCACTGGGGAGAATTACTGGGGAGTAATTCTGACTTGGAAGTGAAATAAACAATTTTTTTAAGTACTCCAACACTTTTTATGATAAAAAAATTTCTGTTCATCATTTACAAAAAATATGAAAGAAAACACACACACAAAAAAAGCAACTGAATTTAAGTAATTTACATTTGATAAGTTTCATGCAATAGAATTTTAACGTAAAACTAAGGATATTAAGAGGTCATACACTGGAAACAAACAAAAGAAACCAATGCCTACCAAATCAAATGTATATGATTATTCATACGTAGATGAATAATTTTTACTGCTCACATGAACAACTCCACACATGAAAGAAGCCAGCTACAAAGTGTTTGTATAAGTCTCCAGGCATTTGAAAGCAAATGGAAATTAAAAAAAAGAAGTCATTGAATTGAAGGCTTACAAGTGATGATGCATTCCCATTTTCTTCTTGTTTCATTTCCTGAGCTGTCACATCTGTGTTTGGGAGCTGAGGTTCAACAACCACGATGCATTCCATGTCTGGAACATTCACGGTAATCTCAAACTGCCAAAATAAAGCTTTATTATTTAATTATGGCATCCCATTGCCAGCAAAACAAAGCTTCATTTTCCACACAGGTGAAGCCAACCATTAAAATGAAGAAATAATCAACTCACACATGATTAAGAAATTCTTAACGTTCCATGAAAGCAATTCGGCAATCCTAAAACATTTGAAGTTTTTGAAAGTTCTGTGACAATTAAAACCTGCAAATAAGTTTCTCTCCCGAGTGCCTATCATATCATTTTCCACACATTCCATTCTGGCCCCTTCGGTCTGCTAACGTTTCTGGCGTATTTTGCAAAAGCTGAAATGCTGTGGGTATAAAGATACCGAATCTGGTAAGACAAAGCTTGGTCCCACCCTCAACAAAGTCACCACCCAAGAGAAAGAGACACGTAATCAACTAATTCTATACAGCTCTACCTGCTAAAGCAGGGATAAGCTGAAGATGCTTAAAAAGACATATCAACCCATTCCTGCACTGCGCTCATCCTAAGCCACAACCCCAAAGCCTGCACGATTCCTAACCCTTGCAACAGCCATGTAAAATACGAGGCTCATTAATCTGACAAAAGCTTTATCAGCTGAGCCTCAGATACACACAACACAGTCTGGCTTTTATTCACCTACTAAGAGTATAAAACGTTGCATGATTCAGCAGAAAACATGAGCAAAGAGTTCATACAAGACTCTGCTTCGAGACACCACAGTGATACTCAGTATGTTCTCGGCTCACTCAGAAGCAAGGACAAGAGAAAGACCTTGGTAATGCCTGATGACTGGAATGAATTAAAAAGGACCAAGTGATCTGAGAAGATAACTAGTTTTCTGAAAACCTAACCTTAAAGAATCATACAGAGGTAGTGCCTTCTAAAAAGTTGCTTTATTCAAATACAATTCATCCATTGAAAGTGCTAAATTTACTGTATTTAGGAATAACACAGATATGTGCAACTGGCACAATTTTATGGCATTTTCCTCACTTTAAAAAGAATCCCCACACCCATTAGCTATCACTCCCCCAATGCCATAAGGCCAACCCCAAAATCTAGGTCTTGACTTTTGTTTATAAATGTAACTACAGATTCAGGCAATCTGCTCATTACTTAAACGGCCTTCTTTCCCATTCTTTCTTTCATCAAGTTGAACTGGGATATCACAAGAATGCAGATATGAAATCCGGTCCTCTCCCAGTCATCAGAACAGGCAGGGAAAGAGAACAATGGCTGCTAGCAAGGATGCTGGGACACTGACACCCTTACATGGTGTCTGTACGCATTACCATGTGATCCTCTAATTCCCACTGAAGACACAACTCCAAAGGGACTTAGAGCAGGGATTCAAAGTGGTATCCCTATAGCCGTGTCCACAGCATTACTTTCAATAACCAAAGGAGCAGAAGCTACCCAAGTGTCCACTGCTAGACAGATGACTCAGTAAAATGTTACACACAAACGAACAGTAGCTACTCTTAAAAAAAAGAGGGGGGAAGGGGGCACCCCAAATTATACGACACAAACCTTGAAAACATTATGCTAACTGCAATGCGCCAGTCAAAATGAACAAATACTAAGTGAGTCCACTTGGATGAAGCTGCTAGACCAGCCAGATTCAGAAAGACAAAAAGGAAACAGGACTGGTCAAAGGTGGGGCAATGGGAATTAAAGCTTATTGGGTAGACTTCCATTGTGCGAGACAAGGATTCTGTGAATGGATGGTGATGATGGCAGCATAACAAAGTGAATGTACTTAACGCCATTGAAATGTGCACTGGAAAATGGCCAAGATGCTAAATCCTACACAATAGATACTTTACTACAACATTTTCCCCCTACTTCCTCTTTTTTACTGGAAGGCAATTTACAGAGCGAAAGAGAGGGAGAGATACAGAAAGATAGTCCGTCTCCTGGCTTATTTTCCCAAATTGCTAGCTCAGTTGGAGCTGTGCCGAGCTAAAGGCAGGAGGCAGAAGCTTCTGAGCTTCCTACATGAGTGCAGGGCCAAGGATTTGGTCCAAGTTCTATAGCTTTCTCAGGAGCATGGCAGGGAGTCGGATCAGAAACAGCTCCCAGTACTGAAACCGATGCCTTAGGGGATGCTAGTGTCACAGACATAATGTCAACCACTACCACAATTTTTTTCCAATACAGGGGCAGGGTGGAGGGCAGGGGCAGAGGAGGGAGGGCCTTTCCACCTTCACTAACTACCAGAACTCAGCCTGAGCCCACAAAAAGGATGAACAGAAAGTAGACTAAGGGGCCACCACATACAAACACACACAGAGCTCTGTCATTGTTCACTGGTGCCGACGGCCTCGCTGGGCCTGCGTCGGAAGGGCTGAGTCATCAAGGGAGGTCACCTTAACCCACCGCTACTGATTCTTCATGTTCTCCACTGGGCTCGAAACAAATTATATTTAGTACAAGTTATTTTGAGAAGCAACTCTTCAAATCTTAATAACCAGTAACAGAAGATATCAGAGAAAGAGGAGGGGAAAAAAGCAAGGGAGATACAAGTGCTAAGGAGTCAAGAAAAACCAAGTACCTCTTCCATCGTTTCCTCAATCTGAGCAGAAACAGGCTCGGGAGACCTGAGACCCAAGGGCACAAACACGGGAGCCTTGTTGACTTCCTCCGGGGCGAGATGGCAGGGCTCTTCCTCGGTGAAGTCAAAATCCTCAGCATCATCTTCCTCTTCTTCGTGACCAGCCCGCAGAGTCACCAGTGTGGACCGGGATGTCTTGGGCTCCCTCTTGGAGGTCCTACCCCGGATTCGCTTGCATCCGCGTCCTCTGCTGACATTTGGCTTGATGTTCCTTTGCATTCTCCTTTTGTTATGACCCATCTTACTCTCAGAGCCAGAAGAGACGGCAAGCGTTCGATCAGAAGCAGTCTTACAGTGATCGGATTCATTGGTCAGTTGTGGACAGCTAAATGATCAAAAAGACAACACGGTCACATATGCACAAAAATAATTGTAAACTTTTTACTTCTTTACTTTACTTGAAGGAGACAGAGCTTGTCTGCTGGTTGTTCCCCAAATGCTCACAGCAGCCAGCTCTGGGCTAACTTGAAGCCGGGAACCCGTAACTCAACGCCAGGTCTTCATGTAGGCGAAAAGGCCCCTAACACGTGGGCCTCAGCTGCCGCCTGCCAGGGTGCACGTCAGCAGGAAAAGGAACGGAGCACAGACTCGCCAGGACCAGGTGCAGGCACGCCAACGCTGAATTAACGCTACATCAAATACCTCCACCACAAGGAATTTTAATGAAAACCAAAAAAGGTAATTCCTTTTCCAGTCATTCAAAGAAAACACCTACCACCCATTCTTTTAAAGCCTTATGCTATGAGGCGAGTAAACAAATTAACAAGTAGCTATCAGTTCTTCAAACAAAGTGAACGCTTAGTTATATAATCATAAACTTTTCATGGTGAATTTTTAATTCTAGGCTACGTTTTCACTATGAAATGGAAGTGGAGATGAAATAAACAGCTGAGTCCGACGCTAAAGTCCTTGCCTTACATGTGCTGGGATCCCATATGGGCACCGGTTCTAATCCCAGCAGCTCCACTTCCCACCCAGCTCCCTGCTTATGGCCTGGGAAAGCAGTCGAGGATGGCCCAAAGCCTTGGGATCCTACACCTGTGTGGGAGACCTGGAGGTGGTTCGTGGCTCCTGGCTCCAGATCAGCACAGCACCGGCCGTTGCAGTCACTTAGGGAGTCAATCATCGGACGGAAGATCTTCCTCTATCTCTCCTCCTCTCTGTATATCTGACTTTGTAATGAAAATAAATAAATCTTTTTAAAAATTTAAATAAATAAATATTAAGAGAAAAGCACTACTGAAAACTCCAAGGAAAAGGGATGTGGGCAGGCACTGTGGCACAGTGAGTAAAGCCGCCGCCTGCAGCGCCAACATCTAACAGGGGCCCTCCAAGAGCAGGCTGCTCCTCTCCCGATCCGTCTCCTGCTGATGTGCCAGGGAAGGCAGCAGCCCATGACCTCAATGTGTGGGTTCCTACACCCAGGGGAGGCTCCTCACTCAGCTCTGGTCTGACCCAGCCCAGGTCCTTGCAGTCAATTCAGGAGTTAATCAGATGATGAATTCAGTCCCTCTCTCTCTCTCTCTTTGCCTCCCTCACTCTTCCTGTGTAACTGTTTCCAATAAAGAAATAAACTTTAAAGAAAGGAGAAAAAGGGAAGAAAGACATGGAACCTACAAATACTGAATATGGAATCACAAAGTGATACTGATTTATATTACTGGATAAACAAATTAGACTTAAAAGCAAAAAAAGGCAGGAGGCAGAGAATCTCTGGGAGTTTGGAGAGCTCAGGCTCCTCCCAGCTTATCAGAGAGCCACGCAGGCAGGGCCCACTCCCGTCCCCAGCCCCAGCTGAAGGAGCACGCTCGTTACCTTGGCAGCATGATTCACACCACCTTATCAGGCTTCTGCTTGTCCCTGACGGACAACACAGAAACTGTAACCCTAGGGAAGAAAAACAATCTTCCTAGGGATTAAACAAACAGGCTGTAATAAAAAAGTATGAGAAATAGGAAAGAAATAGACTTGTGATGAAAATCAACCCCCGCCTGTAGTAACAAATTATCGTTTCAGTCTGCCACTGAATTAAAGCAAGACGTCTACAAGGAGAGATGACTTCTCTGTCTTGGATCCCAAGCATGAGGTAAACTGAGCATTACCTCGCTGGCGTCCTGAGAGGCTGGCTCTCAGCAACGGGGTGCGGGCAGCCATCTCCGCCAGCTCCCAGCCGAGTATCCCGCTCAGCCACACTGGACTGCGCAGCACTTGTGTCGTCCTTTCTCGTGCAAACCTCCAGAGATGTCAGGAACTCGGCCTTCTCCTCAAATTTAAGCAGAAATCACTAACATTACTATGGAAACAAGCTCTGTGTAAACATACGGCTTGGTAGTTTGACCTACACCACTAAGCTTTTATCCACATCCACAACTGATTGACTTCTACATTCTTATACTGCTGTAAATTCATCCCTTTCCATGAAAATAGTTACAATACAATAATCACGACAGCATTTTATTATCATTTTCCTTCGTGATCCTAACAAAACAGAGCTGGCCGACAAGCAGCAGCTTCCCCCAGCTTACCTTGGGAAGCAGCCGGTGGTCGGCCGCTCCAAGCTGCTGGGCTCCAAGCTGCTGGGCACCAAGCTGCTGGGCTCCAAGCTGCTGGGCACAAGGCTGCTGGGCACCAAGCTGCTGGGCACAAGGCTGCTGGGTACCAGGCTGCTGGGCTCCGAGCTGCTGGGCTCCAAGCTGCTGGACACAAGGCTGCTGGACACAAGGCTGCTGGGCACAAGGCTGCTGGGCTCCAAGCTGCTGGGCTCCGAGCTGCTGGGCTCCAAGCTGCTGGGCACAAGGCTGCTGGGCTCCAAGCTGCTGGTCTCCAAGCTGCTGGGCACAAGGCTGCTGAGCTCCAAGCTGCTGGGCTCTGAGTTGCTGGGCACAAGGCTGCTGGACTCCAAGCTGCTGGGCACAAGGCTGCTGAGCTCCAAGCTGCTGAGCTCCGAGTTGCTGGGCACAAGGCTGCTGGACTCCAAGCTGCTGGGCACAAGGCTGCTGGGTACCAGGCTGCTGGGCTCCAGGCTGCTGGGCTCCAAGCTGCTGGTCTCCAAGCTGCTGGAAACCAGGCTGCTGGGCACAAGGCTGCTGGGTACCAGGCTGCTGGGCTCCGAGTTGCTGGGCACCAGGCTGCTGGGCTCCAGGCTGCTGGGCTCCAAGCTGTTGGTCTCCAAGCTGCTGGGCACAAGGCTGCTGGGCTCCAAGCTGCTGGGCTCCAAGCTGCTGGGCACAAGGCTGCTGAGCTCCAAGCTGCTGGGCTCTGAGTTGCTGGGCACAAGGCTGCTGGACTCCAAGCTGCTGGGCACAAGGCTGCTGGGCACCAGGCTGCTGGGCTCCAGGCTGCTGGGCTCCGAGTTGCTGGGCACAAGGCTGCTGGGCTCCAAGCTGCTGGGCACCAGGCTGCTGGGCATCAGGCTGCTGGGCACCGTCTTCGGGGCTGCTCGCCTCACGCTGTTCGGTTGTGTCTTTTTCCACCTCTGGCTCCTCTTTCTCACACTGTGCTGCTCCCAAATCCGGCTGAGTTGTTTGGAATTTCTCTTTTATCAATTGTTCAGGACTAGGAACATACAGCTTATTTTCATGTCTAGAATGAAGCACAAATCATGTTGAAGAACAAAAATTCTGAAGGGATTCTGATCCCTTGTTGATGCAACAGCTGTTAAATCAAACAATTCCGGATACAAACCAATTCTATGCTCAAACGACTATAGGGAAATTGGCTATAAAACCAAGCATGTAAAATGAAACGACACATTACTGATATGAAAGAAAGAACATAAAAGCTTTTACAGCTTCCATTTTCTACAGAGCCCAGGGAACTGTGATAAAATTACATTAATCTCTTTTGTTTTTGGCTTACTTTCAGTCACTTATTTGGCATGTAGCTTCATGCTGCTTTAAGTAAGTTTCAAAAAATAAAACTAGATAACTCAAGAATGCTAAGTACCTAAAGAATTTCATAACTGCGCTTTGAAACAAATGCCATGAACTCAGCTTCAAAACACACACAGTGGCCACAAGCTGTCCTGGACCAAGGGCAGCCTTCAGGACGAGCCGTCTCCCACCCGATGCCCGGCAACTCAGGGCAGCTCTGCGGACAGCCCGGGCCACAGGTCTTCAAGGTGGCCCTCCGCCTGCCCAAGCAGACTCTTCCAGAGGAGCCCTAGTTTCCTGGAAAATATTTCTAACAGCTGGCAAGGAACTCAACTAAGAAGTTTAAGCACTAATAGAAACTTGGATATTCATTAAAAAAGAAAAAAAATCTGGGGTTTCTACTTTGAGTTATTTGAAAGATATGTATTAAAAAAACTAATCCTACAGGATGTTTTAAAATAAATTACCTGAAAGAGGAAAGTGGATGGTAGTGAAGAAGTGCACAGGAAGTTCTAAGCTATGACACTGACTAATATATTGCAGTACAGGCTAATGTATTTGGGCAAACAAATTTAACTACAAACTGTTTACAGTCAAATGCGCTTCTGCAAAGTTATTTAAGAATAAAATATATACGTAAGCCCAAGCTGCCATTGAGCTCAAAAGGGACAACAAAATGTAGGGACATTAAAAGTTAATTATATTCACAGTATTTAGCGATGATTCCTCTAGTCACGGCACAGCTGACAGCTGCAACAGGCTCTGAGGATTTAAAACAGGGGAAGAAGCAGGAGTGGGGATGGACTGCCCTACAGGAAGTTCAAGAGTTAAATCTTCCTCATTAAGAAAAACAAAGGCTGAGCATAAAAATGCTTCTTTTAGGAGACAATACCTGCGTAACTGCAGGAATCTGCTAGTCTGAAAGTCATAAATCCTAAGAACTAAAGTTTAGTAACGAAACTTCTGATTTCACTTTGAGACAGTCATTTAAATCTTCTATTTGCCTGACAATAAATTAAAACATTGGAAGAGGCTGAGCCCAAAGGTCCCTAGCGTTTTAAAGCCCATTCGGTAAAACTCACAGCGGCCCTGCAAAATCGACCCTCGCTGCCTCTTGCCCAGGCACTCCTCCGCCCCAGCTGCTCTGCTGCCCACGGGCCGCCTCCCTGCTCCTCCGTCAGGCCAGGCCTACACCTGCCTGGAGATCTGCACAGGGCTGTGCCTTCGCACCTGCAGAGCCCCTCGACTCGCTCCTTTACCTCCTTCAGGTCTTCTCATCAGTGGCACCCTTTCAACGAAGCATGCTCTGCTCACTGCTAATTAAAAATTACACCAATCACAATACTCCCTCCCCCTCATGTTTCTGCACTAAATCATTTCTTAGTTATTCAACTTATTTCTCATTTATATTCTGTTCTCCAAATTAGAATATAACTTTCACAATAAGAATTTTTTGTCTGTCTATTATCAGCACCTAAGATAGATACAAGCGTCTTGAATGAATTTTAGTGACAAAATTCTCTAGTTTTATTAAGACCACAAAGGCACTGAATTATACGTGAAAACTGGAGGTGGATGTTTGGCAGAGCAGTCAGGACATCTCTTGAGATGTCACTGTTCCATTTCAGAGTGGGTAAGGGTTGTTTGGGTTTAGCTGCAGCATCAGCTGGCAGAAGCTGGCACTGGGGGCTAGTTCAGTCAAGTCAAACCACAGAACTATCTGGAGAGTGCATAATCCGGGAGGGGGAGAGGCCTGGGAGGGAAATAGTGGGCTCATCCCTCTTGGGTTACCACTTCTACAGCAGGGCACGAAAACCAGGACAGGGGCTGGGGTGGAATGGGATGTGGGACAGACTGGACTAGTCTGCTACACATACTGGCAAACCAAGGCAGGAGATGGGTCTGGTGGGGGTTATTTTGGGTTGCTCTGACTAGGCTGCAGCTCCCACTGGTTTATGCGAGGGCCGAGTATGTGCTGGGCAGAGCCAGGCTGGACTGCAACACCCATTGGTTCCAGTGGAAGTCGGGGCTGAAAACAGAATCAACCCAGCGATCGCAACCACCAGCTGTTTGGGGCCATGGACTGAGCCCTGTAGCTGTGCAATTCTTACAGTATTTGAAGAGGTAAATTTAAAATAGTTTCAAAATGATCAACTTACACTTTCACTACATCTTCAAGATGCTAAGTAGCATAAAATCAACCATGCAAAATTTCAACATGTCTCTTCGAAAAATTTTGCGCTTTTCTCAGAAACAGCACACTCACCTCATCTCTTCAGCTAGAATATTTATTTGGTTAACTTGAACATTTTCTGGAAGAACCACATCATGACCTTCATTTTCATAAATTCTGCATTCTGAAACTTTGCAGGACACAGCTTCAATTTCAGCTCCAATTTGTGAATTTGCCTACAAAGATAAAACCATATTACTTTCTTTTAAGGTTTTTGTTTTGTTTTGTTTTGTTTTGTTTTTTTTTTTTTTTTTTTAAAGATTTATTTTTATTATTTTTTCATTGGAAAGGCAGATATACAGAGAGGAGAGACAGAGAGGAAGATCTTCCGTCCGATGATTCACTCCCCAAGTGAGCGCAACGGGCCGATACTATGCCGATCCGAAGCCAGGAGCCTCTTCCGGGTCTCCCACGCGGGTGCAGGTTCCCAAAGCTTTGGGCCGTCCTCTGCTGCTTTCCCAGGCCACAGGCAGGGAGCTGGAAGGGAAGCGGGGCTGCCGGGATTAGAACCGGCGCCCATATGGGATCCCGGGCGGCAAGGTGAGGACCTTTAACCACTTGCGCCACCGCGCCGGGCCCATTTTGTTTTGTTTTTAATGAAAGGCAGAATGAAGGCGAGAGAGAGAAGCAGGGTAGGCGTAAGCACCGCTAGTTTATTACCCCAGATGTCTGCAGCAGGCGGCACAGGGCTGGCCGAGCGAGGAGCATGCAGACACGGCAAGTGTGCCGTCAGTGGGCGGGATGCACTAGCACGAGACTGGACAGAACGCAGAATAACCAGGACTCCCACTGCCCTCAAAGTGCAGGCGCAAGCCAACACGCAACAATCGCACCCCAGTTCTGTCACCTTTTTAATAGCAGAAAATACTTTCTAAATTATTTCAATCACTAAAAAGGGTATTTAGTTTCTTAAAATTAAGAACCAAACGGAGCATTCAACATGCATGCTCTGTTGCCAAAACAATATTACTTAAAGAAAGAGAAAGTTTGAAAGATTATTGAAGAAACGCACATGCTGCTTTAAGAGCACAAGTTATTCACTGCAAAATAAAAAGTAACTTCACTGCTTTTTTTTTAAATGCTTTGGAATCAAATAGAGATCTTAATCATTTTAAATCTAGACTTTGTCCTGATAAAGTACTAAAAAAAAAAAAAAACTGGACATTTTAAAATATGTGTCCATATGTATTTAGATATATAGAGCGAGACAAAAAAAATTATTATGGAGAGGAAAAGACAGAGCGAGAAGTGAGTTCACAGGGAGAAAGACCAAGAGTGAGATGCCCCCCGCCCCCACCTGCTGTCACACTCCTCAAATGCCTGGTGATGGCCAGCTTGCGGATGCACTGGCCCACGCTGAAGCCAAAAGCCAGCAACTGATTTCAGGGCTCCCATGAGTGGACAGGATACAGGAGCCCAGCTTCCTAACTGACCATAACAACCTCCTCAGTAGGAGGCTGGAATCAGCAACCAGGGCTGAAATTACTCGGTCACTCCAATACGTAAGGTAAGGCTAGCTGCCCTGGCCTGCCCTGCACCTTGCAGGTGTCAACACTACAACGTGGACAGGTGTTCTACTACGAAAAGAATATATCACCAAGAAATTGATTCTACTGTCAAGGCAGTATAGCATTATAAACCAAAAAAATATTTTCCTCCAGATTTTTTTTTTTAAGATTTATTTATTTTTATTGCAAAGTCAGATATATAGAGAGGAGGAGAGACAGAGAGGAAGATCCTCTGTCCACTGGTTCACTCCCAAATTGGCCACAATGGCTGGAGCTGAGCCAATCTGAAGCCAAGAGCCAGGAACCTCCTCTGGGTCTACCACGCGGGTGCAGGTTCCCAAGGCTTTGGGCCGTCCTTGACTGTTTTCCCAGCCACAAGTAGGGAGCTGGATGGGAAACGGGACCGTCAGGATTAGAACCGGCACCCATAAGGAATCCCAGCTGGTGCACGGTGAAGACCCTAGCTACTAGGCTACCGTGCCAGGCCCTAATATAGCATTTTGTATATGGCTGAACATTTGTATATGACTGAACATTTCTTAATAAATAACTTCAACAGTTCAGGAAAAAATTATTTTAACTTGCAAAACACAGAACAACAAATCTGAAACAAAACTAGATACATTATATATTCACTGAGTGGAGTAAGTGTCAGATAACTACATTTCAAATCAAATCTGAGTGATCACTTGAGATTTCACTAAAACTCACCACACACAGGGACCTAAACTCACCACACACAGGGACCTAAACTCACCACACACAGGGACTTCTCGTTAGCTTTATCATTTTTTAATACTGCTGTTTCTTGCTGAATCGCACTTCTGGCTTCACCTTTTTGGATCTCTCTTTGTGCAGCCTTTCTTAAATTTGGTCTGGGTCTCTGAAGTCGGCCCCTTATTGGTTGAACAGTTTGGGTAACACTTTCCTTTGTTTCTTGCTGAATAGCATTTTTACTCTGGATTCTAAACAGGTAGACAGAGAGAAGTCATTTGACTACAGAAAGTTGAGAACCGCAATGAAAATAAAATTTGCATCTTCTGTAATAAACTTTCCACGAACATATATCTTAGTTCATTAAGAAATGTTTAACTCTCAGGAGGTAACGGTAACAGATCTCACACTCAGTGTAGACTAAAGCTACAGGGGCAGGAAGTAGAATGTGGATCGCCAGCGAAGCAAAGTAAAGAATGCAAAACCTAACGCTCAGTGGCTAGAGGCTCGGCTACAAGGATGGAGACAGCTGTAGAGACGGATGGCGGTTAACAACTGCACAACAATGGAAGTATACGTAAAGCCACTGGCCTAAACATTCCAAAATGTGTGAAATAGTAAATATCACGTGATGTTTATTTAAACATTCTTTCAAATAAATACAGAACTTAATTATATGCTTTTGTAAATGAAGTGCCTTGCATAAAACATAACACAGCCAATAATGAGATAAGATAGCAAGCATTAAAAGATTTCAAACTCATAAAAATAAATCTTAAGAAAAAGATCTGAAACTCAGTTTGGTTTTTCATGCCTAACACATCAAGAAAAACAAAGCAAGTATTACATTCACTCTTAAAATACATCGATACTTTTTAATGAAATGAAGAACTATGACACAGAAGTATCTTGGTGACTTAGATATTCGAAGAAGCATCACTGCTTACCCACTGGAAGTGATGGCATCATGTGGCTGGATTTCTGCTGACTGAGCGCTCTCTGCAGGCTCGGAGGAGGCTGGAGGCGCCAGGCCCTTTGCAGGCTCTGACCAGGGCAGCCTTGCACTGGCATCCTTTTCTTTTGATGTCATGAGGGAAGCCACAGCCTAGAAGGCAGGAGAAAAATATCCATCCAGCGTTGGTAAAAAGAAAAAGGAAATAAAAACTTTCATGTGCTATTAGAATAAACTGATCTAGACTTTGCAGAGGGCACCATGGTAGTGGTAGCTACCAGAATACTACATTACTAGTGTTTTTCTTTCTACAAATGTGCTTTCTCAGGATCCTCCAGCACAGGAGACTCCGCAGTCCAGCTGCTGTGGATGCGAGCATCCCAGAGTGGGTCCACACAGCTCCCAGTACAACTGGGGCTCAGACACAGCTCCTGCACAGGCCTGCTCCTGCACAGAATCACGGGCAGGGTCCAGCGGGAGCTCCTGGCTGCAGCCCAACTACGATGGGCATCAGGAAGTAAACCAGCAGATGAAAAACCACTCTCTTCCTCTCCATTACTCTCTCAAGTTAATACAGAGAATCTTTATTGCAACACACATGCACACACTAAACACCTATGCAGAAATGTAAAGACAAAGATGCTTATTGTGGCAATTTAAAAGATTCCCCCAAAAGGGGAGAAAAAAAACCAAGAAAATTGGAGAAAAGACAAATCAGTAGAAGACAGATAACTTCAGTTGTTCACAATGCATTACTATCCAGCCTTTAAATAAACTTCATACTAATCCAAAGATGTTCACAATTTTGTTCTAAATGGAAATCCACGACAAAAGACAATGCCATTTTTGTAAAATTAGAAAAATATTCGTACTGTTTTATCATCTGTAAATGTACACGTGGAAAAGTATGGGTGCATATATCCCAAACTGGTATCATTATCCTGGACTCGCAACTTTAAGAACATGTACTTTTCTAAATTGACATTTTTATAATCAGAAAAATAAATAATTTATATTTCATAAATTTATCTGTTATAAGCATTGGTACAGAGTAAAGGATACAGTTATTTCCAGACACAAAATGAGAACTGCAATTCTAAAAAGTACTTTTTAGGTAAAAGATACTCATAAATTGAGCAATTACATTTCACTTCTGCTATGGTCCAAATTAATGAGGTATATCTCTACTTAACTCATATGTGTCTTCCAACTTTTCCTCTCTCATTTGTAACAGAATAAAATAAAGAAGGACTGTTATTGTCTCTCTTTGTTTTAACCACAGAGGCTCATACTACCAAGATCATATTGTTATGTTCACACAAGCCAGGCCTTGAACCGGAGCCAAGACCTTACCCCGACACACCAAGACTCTGACACAAACAGTGAGGGACAAAGGGGCATTTGACGCACCGGAATAGCACTGCACAAGATAAAAATTATTTGGTTCAATGTAATCCAGGCAGTTTTGGTGGGCTGATCACACACGCACACACACAAAGTGCCCATCTTACACAGCACTCACGTGTTGGCAAGGGGGGCTGCGAGCTTGCTGACCGTCCCGCGGTGCCGCACCGGCCTCCGCTGTGCCAGTCTCGGATCCCTCCCCAGGTACACACTTGGCTGCCTCCGCAGCCTCTCTCTTTAACACTGCTCTCGCGAGGTTTGGTTTGGGCCTCTTGAATCGACTTCTCACAAAGGATGCCGGTTTAACTTCGAGTGGCTTCTGCTCTTGAGGAAGAGAGATGCTTTTGGAACAAGGATTACCAAACGTTAGAATGAACTGCAGGGCGCTGGGAGGAGCATCTTGGACAATCTTAGAGAAACGACAGTCAACGTTTGCTTCTACAGAAAAACAAACAAAACTATCTGGTATATTCTAAAGAAACATGAGTTACAACCCAGTCACAAGCCTTGGAATCACACTTTGGGCCAAGGAAAATGGTAGTCTGTCAAATTTGTACTGACTTGGGAGCAGGTGTTAAACCCAGTTCTGATGTGCGGGTAATTCTTACCACCCCGTCAGGCTGACCCCACTTCTCTCCTCCAGTGATCAAGATGATGGACACTCCCCTGTACAGGCTCTGCTTTGAAAGCTCACTTAGCTTGACACAATCCACAAGCACAACTGTGCAAGCTCTTCCTTGACAAGCACACAGAGGCACACACACACCTTAAGGTGGCATCTGAAAATTGCTTCACAGCATCTGGAGGGTGCAGCTCCCGCTTGTCTTTTTCAGTAACGTCGGCAGAAATCTGTGAGCGGGTCTCCAAGTCAGGGAAGTGACTCGATCCTTCCTTCCCGGAACTTCTGTTTTCTTCCGCAGCCATTGAGCACATCTCCGACAGTCCTTCACTGCCAGCGCTCTAGCACGGTTACCGGAAATTACACATCAGCACACAGACAGATACAGGTCTCAGAGCATGCCAGACAACAGACTCCAAACAAAAGATGACTAGACACTAAATACTCTCCTTTGAAGCTTGAAGAGCTTGTTTTTTCATTTTTTAATAAAATAAAACTTACTACAAGTTAAATCTAGAATGCAGGAAAATCTTCCTTTGATAGATTCATCACCATTTTCCAAACCACAAATGCCATTATCTATGAAAACACTTAAAGGAAAAAAGTTCAAGAACATTCTAATGGCATGAATTTCAAGAAAAAAGACCTATTTTTTTTTTCATTGAAAAGGCAAATATACAGAGAGGAGGAGAGACAGAGAGAAAGATCTCCTGTCCAATGATTCACTCCCCAAGTGACTGGACGGCCAGAGCTGTGCCAATCCAAAGCCAGGAGCCAGGAACCTCTTCCGGGTCTCCCCACGTGGTGCAGGGTCCGGCTTTGGGCCGTCCTCGACTGCTTTCCCAGGTCACAAGCAGGGAGCTGGATAGGAAGCGGGACTGCTGGGATTAGAACCAGCAACCACATGGGATCCTGGCGTATTCAAGGCAAGAAGATTAGCTGCTATACCATGCCAGGCCCGAAACTAGCAACTTTTAACAAAAATTTATTTGAATAGCAAAGTGGCACCGAGGCGATGTGACAGCCCGAGTCAGTCAGGGCCAGGGTTCAATAACAAAGTGAACAAGCGCTGCATGGGACCTATCAGGCTGCTGCGTCCCATCCCAAAGTGCCAGGATTCAACACCCAGCTCCGGCTCCCAACAGCAGCCTCCTGCGATGCGGACTGAGGGAGGCGGTGGGAGTGGCTCCAGGCACTGCATGCCTGTCCCACACATGGGAGACCTAGGGTGAGTTCCTAGCTCCCACATTCATACATGGCCTGGCAATGCCACTTGAGAAATGAAACACTGGACAAGAGTTCGTTCTTTCTCTTGCCTTTCACAAGGATTTTATTTTTAAAGATTTATTTCTTTTTACTGGAAAGTCAGATTTACAGAAAGAAGGAGAGAAGGAAAAGATCTTCCACTACTGGTTCACTCCCAAGTGGCTGTAACAGCTGAAGCTGAGTAAATCCGAACCGAGGAGCCAGGAGCTTCTTCCAGGTCTCCCATGTGGGTCCTGGGTCCAAAGGCTTTGAGTCATCGACTGCCTTCCCAGGCCACAGGCAGGGGGCTGGATGGAAGTGGAGCAGCTGAGACACAAACCAACGCTCATATGGGATCCTGGCACATGTAAGGCAAGAACTTCAGTGGCTAAGCTACCACACTGGTCCCTCAACTGAATCTTTTAAAATATTAATTTTTTTTAAGTTAAAAAAAAAGTGAAGTAGAATAGGGAAAAAGATAAAGCAAAAGCAGATACTGATATGACCAAAAGCATAATTAACATGATTGCAGCTAATGGTGTAATTCAGTTCAATTTCCAGCATTCAGTTCAAATTCTTCCATCTTTTTTTAATGGAGAAATGATTTTATTAAACTACACTGCGGCCTTCATCCATGCTTTTTAGGATGATGCGTCCTCCAGCTTTTTAGCTAAAAAAGTTAACTTCAAAATGACACTAAGAGTAACTTGAGGGGAGAGAAGGACCTGGAGTTGTGGTGAAGCATGTTGTCAGATTGCTGGTCCCAGTCAAGCTGCTCTGCTTAAAAGTCAGAGTCCTGCCAATGAGCCAAGGAAGGCAGCAGCAGATGAGGCCCTGCCACCCACAGGAGAGACCACGACGGGGCGACTGCCTCCCGGCTGTGACTGTACCCAGCCTTGGTTGTTGCAGAAATGAAGGAAGTGAAAAAAAAAAAAAAAATAGGGCCCAGCACGGCAGCTTAGCAAAGTTCTTACCTAGCACATGCCAGGATAACTTATGAGCGCTGGTTGTGTTCCGGCTGCTCCACTTTGCTTCCAGCTCCCTGCCTGTGGCCCGGGAAAGCAGTCGAGGTCGGCCCAAAGCTTTGGGAACCTGCACCCGCGTGGGAGACTCGGAAGAAGCTCCTCGTTTCAGAATGGCTCAGCTCTGGCCATTGTGGCCACTTGGGGAGTGAGGCAGTGGACAGAGGATCTCTGTCTCTCTTCCTCTCTGTGTATCTGACTTTCTAAAAAAAATCCTTAAAAACAAAGTCTTGGGCCCAGCGCGGTGGCGCAGTGGTTAAGGTCCTCGCCTTGCACGCCCGGGATCCCATATGGGCTCCGGTTCTATCCCGGCAGCCCCGCTTCCCATCCAGCTCCCTGCCTGTGGCCCGGGAAAGCAGTCGAGGACGGCCCAAGGCTTTGGGACCCTGCACCCGTGTGGGAGACCCGGAAGATTCTCCTGGCTTCGGATCGGCACAGCATCAGCCGTTGTGGTCACTTGGGGAGTGAATCATCGGACGGAAGATCTTCCTCTCTGTCTCTCCTCTCTGTATATCTGCCTTTCCAATTAAAAATAATAATAAAAATAAATCTTCAAAAAAAAAAAGTCTTTCTTCATTTCTCTAACTCTCCCTCAATGCTCTGTCTTTCAAATTAACAGATTTTTTTACAGGTTGGTGGTGCTGTCTCATAGTGATGAGAGCGCCACTTGGGATGCTGACGTGACGTATCAGAGCAATGGCTCTGCTTCCCACTGCAGCTTCCTGCACACGCACACTCAGGAGACATATTTCAAGCGCCTGGGCCCTGCTCCCGTGTGCAGACATCTGAGACCAGAACCAACGCACGGAACGTCTCTCCTTGTCTTTCATACAAACAGAAATGAGTAATAAATTTAAAAAAATTCTTAATTGCTTTTCCATAATTAAAAAGTTTCATAAGATTTAAAAAAAAAAAAAAGAGTACAGTTTCTGCACAATCCTAAGACAGAAATTTAAGGCTCGGAAGAAAGAGGGGAGCAGAAGGCATGCTGAACGCACTGGTGAGACTCCTGGCATGATTTTACAGGCTTTCTTTGTAGACTCCCGAGAGCTATGTCGAGGACAGGACATACCTCTGGCCCTGGGGGAGGCACGGTGGCTCTCCGGTCGGCACTGCTGCTCCGTAGAGAATCCAACTCAGCTTCTCCTGCGGGGCTCGTCTCCTCGGGCTTCTCCTCCCCAGCTCCCTCAGGAACAACCATGTCCTCGGAGGGTCTCTCCTCCAAGGGCCCTGCTCCTCCAGTCCGCTCCCACGTCGCCCCTGCGTGCTGGGCAGCAGTTAGCCCTCCTGGTACCTCTTCTGATAGGGGAATGTCTTTTTTCCCATTTTCTTCCAAATGAAACTCCATTTCCTCACTGGCCTCCAGCAGTACATTTTCCCGTTGGGAAACTTCTCCAACTCCTTCTGGATCTGTTTCCATGTCACCTGTAGCTGTGATCCCCTCAGGGGCCTTGGTCTGTGTGGACAACTCTGTTCCTTCCAGAACTTCCTCTGTTTCCTCCATGGCGTCAGTCATCTCTGGTAACATCTCACTCGGGGGCCCTTCTCTTTCAATGCGTTTCAAATCTGCCTCCGTGTCAACTGTCACTGTGAGCTCCTCTGGGGTGTCTTCCTGTGGGGGTCCGTCTCCCGTGTGGGCATCCCGCACAGCCGTGCCTGCGCCCTCGGACACCTCCTCCCTGAGCGAAGTCTCTCCTGCAGTCATTTCTGAGTGCACTTCCATCTCTACAATGACGTCATCCACTTCTGGCATTTTCTCCCTTGGAGAGATGATGCTTCCTCCAGCTTCTCCTGTATGTGACTCCAGTCCCTTCGCAGCAGAGACCTCCACCAGTACCTCCCCGCTTGGCAAGCTGTCTGGTCTCACAGTTTCTCTCAAAGATGCTGTCATGTCCTCAGAGACAAGAATCTCCTCGGGGACCACTTTGTTTGAACAAATTCCTCTTCTTGCAGCTCCTCTCACTATATTTGGCTTGGCTTTCTGAAATCTAGTCCTTTGACTGGGAACTTGTTTGAGTATATCGGTTTCATTATTCTCTTGAACGCTGTTTCAAAAGAAGATACATAAATTTAAAAAATGGTCAATTGAAGACATGCTGATGGAGTAGTTACTACAGAAATATCAGAAGCACTCAAGTTAAAAAAAAGATGGGCCTGACACAATGATTCGATTAGCTAATTCCCCCCCTTGTAAGCGCCGAGATGCCATATGGGTGCCGGTTAATGCCACGTCGTCCCGGTTGCAGCCCAACTCCCCGCTTACAGCCTGGGATAACAGTGGAGAACGGTGACAGTGACTGAGCCCCATACCCACGTGGGGGACCCGGAAGAGCGTCTAGCTTCACACAGGCTCAGCTTCACCAGATGGGGGAGTGACCCAGCAAATGGGAGACCTCTCTCTGTCTCCCCTTTTCTAACTTTCAAATAAATTTAAACACACACACACACACACACACACACACACATTTACAACAACCACCACCCAAACCAAAACAACAAAATCCAGTACTAAAACTTCGTATAACATTTTTAAACAGCTACAATCAGCACCCTGGCATTACCTTGGAGAGGCACTGCCAGCCTTGGGCTCATCTGACGGTATCTCCCCAGAACCGTCTTTCCTCTCAGGCCCGGATGTGACGTCTCCACACTCCACACTCTCACGTGACTGATCTTCCACTTGTTGAGAAATCTTGAGAACAAACACAATAATTTTTCAGCTTCGCAATAAAACATAACTTAAAAGAATTCAATGAAAACTGTTCGATTTAAAATGAGGAAATGGCCAAAACTTTAAAATTGTGCAGCAAATTCGAAAGCCACATTACAGCCCCCAGCTCCGACGCTCTCTGAAAGCCCCTGTCCCTCTCTTCCCAATCAGGACTGAGTCAGCCTCCTCTGTCACATGGAGGGCAGCCTCCCCATGGAGCCCAACATCCTGAACCTCGACTGGGAACTATCCGATGGGAACTATCCTACAAAATACCACACCTGACTGAGAAATCGAAATCAGGCCAACACTCGCCCTTTTCTCAAACACTATGTCAATAACCTTTGTACCAGGAATCATATTTCAGGGGGGAAAATTTTAGTATTTTATTTTGTTAAAGCCCAGGTTAAAATTCACATATTCAGTAATCTTTTTAAATGGAAACTGTGGGCCCAGCATGGTAGCCTAGTGACTAAAGTACTCATCTTAAACTTGCACTGGGATCCCATATGGACGCCAGTTCTAATCAGGGCAGCTCCACTTCACATCCAGCTCCCTGCTTGTGTCCTGGGAAAGCAGTCTAGCACGGCCCAAAGCCTTGGGACCCTGCACCCGTGTGGGAGACCTAGAGGAGGATCCGGGCTCCTGGCTTCGGACTGGCGTAGCACTGACTGTTGCGTTCACATTGGACAGAATGTCTCTTCTGTCTCTTCTGTCTATGTACCTAACTTTACAATAAAAATAAATAAATCTTTTTTAAAAAAACAAAAAAGTAATCTTTTCAAATGGAAACTGTAACTAAAGTGTGCAATGAGAGGTAAAAGAAAACGTGAGGTCAGGTTGAGCAGATCATCCATTAGACTCTAAACTGTGCTAACTGGCAAAACTCGTACCTATGGCACTTGGACTACAAACTTACTGAATGATGCACATGAAACAGCAGCAACCTTGTTCTAAAACGGCTTCGCTTAAGGTTTAGGACCTCCAGCAGCTGCGGTAGAATAGGGAACTTACGCCACCATCAACACAGGGTGCAGCCTGAGTCTCTTCTGCAGCAGCTCCAAGATTTTCTTGTGATATCTGAGGCTTCCGTTCAGGCACGTTAGCAACATTCGGCTTTGGTCTTTGCAGGCGGCCCCGCGTGAGTCGTGCAGGTTTCAAGGCTTTGGGTGCACTGGCTTCCTGAAGACAAGCTTTCTCATCCAGCCTAAAACAACCACAAAAGAACGAAGTCAACGTTTATTCTGCAGTTACAAACTTCTCTTTTATGGAAAACACTGGGACATAAAGTCAGTTAAAAAACGTCCTCAAGAATACCTGCGAACACTCCTATCTGTATTTTCGGGGGCAGACATAATACAGAAAGACTGACTAAGCAAAATATTTTAAAATCAATTCTTCTTTACAAAATTGGTAAACCTTATGTGATGAGCTCACGGTATTAACTCCTCACCAGGACTGCTGGACAACTCGTAACTCCAGGGCTTAGCACCAACTGCAGGCTGAATACAATACCTACTGAGCAGATTCACATGGAACAAGGCTTTCCCACACCTCCACTTCAGTGTAAATTTTCCCACTTAGGGACAGGTGCCATGGTCCCACAGAGTCACGCTCCACACTGTGGCAGCAGCATCCCATACTGGTAACTGAGTCCCCGCTGCTCCGCTTCTGTTCCAACTCCCTGCTATCGGGAAAAGCAGTGAAGGTGGCCCAAGGTCTTAGACTCCTGAACCACATGGGAGACCCAAAGGAGGCTCCTGGCTTTGAATTGGCTCAGCTTTAGCTGCAGCCATTTGGGGAGTAAACCAGTGGATGTCTTTTTCTGTCTCCCCTTCTCTGTGTAACTCTGCCTTTAAAATAAAAGAAAATTTTTAATCAGTCACAGAGAATTCTTTTTTGCAAAGTGACCAGGTGAACGTGAACATGGAAAGACAGAAAGGAAAAGCACCTCTGGAAGAGGGCTAGGAGGCAAGACACCTCATTACAGAGGGAGAAAAAATGTAAAAACCACTGAGAGAAATTATCTAATTGCTAACTCAATGAACTCATCATTTATAACTACAACGATAAGGACAGAATGAAATATAAAATTGTTTCAACAGGGCCCAGCATTACAGCCTAGTGACTAAAGTCCTCGCCTTTAACATACCAGGATTCCATATGGGCACCAGTTCTAATTCCGGCAGCCCCGCTTCCCATCCAGCTCCCTGCTTGTGGCCTGGGAAAGTAGTTGAGGACGGCCCAGAGTCTTGGGACCCTGCACCCATGTGGGAGACCTGGAGGAAGCTCCTGGCTCCTGCCTCCTGGCTTTGGATTGGCTCAGCTCCAGCCATTGCGGCTACTTTGGGAGTGAAGATTCGGACAGAAGATATTCCTGTCTCTCCTCCTCTCTGTATATCTGACTTTCCAATAAAAATAAGTAAATCTTTAAAAAAAAAAAAATGTTTCAACATTCTACACTTGAAAATGGATCAAAGCACATTATCAGCCGAAAACACAACCCAGGCCCCACTATGCAGCCAATAGGTTGGACAGACAAGGCTGAGGCTCCCACTGGCGCTCAGCGCATGCATACATACCGAGAGGCAGGCTCGGCCGGCAGGCTCTCGCTCTCAGGGCGCTCCATCCCATCCCCGTCACACATCGGCATTGTGGCCTTTTCCACGTGACTCTGTGAATTTAATTTTTATACTTTACTAACCATAAAAATTGCTTAGACTTTAAAACGAACAAATGAAAACCATCTAGTTTCATTTCTAAATTGCTAGTTGGATTTTCCTAAAACTCCACATATGCAAGTCATATAAAATGGATAACCTGATATACTGTTAGAAATCTTTTTCCCAATATACAGTCTTTAAAATGTCCATATCATTTGGAAGACTATTCTAAGAAAATAATCAGAAAAAGATTTAAGTATCAACTAGGATCTCCACAGAACATTATATAAAATGTCAGATATTGCAAATACATAAGAACTACATTAATGAATAAACAGCTAAATAAATTACATTCAACAGACAGAATATGACAAGAAGTTCCTAAAAACACTGTTGTTTAGTGACACGGAGAAATATTTAGGAAATGTTTAGCATGAAAGAAAAAACACAAAAAGAATTGCCAGGGTTAGCGCTGTGGGACAGCAAATAAAGCGAGGTGCTGTGCCGCCAGCATGCCTACGGACAAAGGCCCAGGTGCAGCCGCGGCCTGCCACGCACGCTTCTCGCGACTGTGGAAGGCAGCAAAGACGGCACCACGTCCTTGGCCACCAGTCTGGACCTAAGAGAGCCAGAGGATGGGCCTGGCCCTTGGCTTCAGGTCAGCCCTGCACCAGCCACTGAAGCCACTGAGGCAGTGAACCAGCAGAGAGAAGCTCGCTCTCTCTCTCTCTCTCTCACTTGGTCTTTCAAATAAAGAAATAAATCATTTTAAAAAAACAAATCACACTGGCCGATTTTGTAGAAGATAACTGGCATAAATGTGAACAAATTTACTGTATCAGGATAATAAAATTATAAGCACTTTTTGCTTTAATTTTTAAATTGAATCTGCATTTATTTTACATGAGAATAGAGTAAAATATTCTAAAAAACTTTTAACAAAAATAATTTTCAGATACAAAAAAAAAAAAACCCAGAAAAATTTACGTATACTACAATGTAAATAGAGTTTTTCCTTTAAACTGTAAGTTTGACAATGCATAACGATAAGAGTCATGGATGTATTTAAAATATTTTGACCCAAGAAATAAGTGAGCTCTGAAAAGCCAGACAATTTTATTCCCCAATGTTTTGGAAAGATTTTTCAATTCTTTAATTTTAACTTCCATACATTCTCTTGATCCCTACCGTATCAACAGAAGTTTCAGAAGGTGAACTCTTCCTCTCAGCACCTGTTTCGGCTTGTGGAAGAACAGCCTTCTTCCCAAGTGCCCTGGACAGACTGGGTTTAGGTCTCTGAAGCCGACCTCTCACTCCCGGTTTAACATTTTCCGTCTGTTCCGTATTCCTGAAAAGTATGTGTAAATTACAATTAATGCAATGAATTTCTGAAATAGCCCACTCAGAACCACACAGAAACGGGGAAAGGGACTGCCTTATTTATCAAAGGTTAAAACACATGATTTAGTATTAGTCATTACAACTCATCTCAACATGAGGTTAATAACACAGAAACACAATTTTAACATACAATAAGGGAAAAATCTCAAAACAGTGAGCAAAACATGAAATACAAAACATTTTTAAAATATTAAAGAAAAGTTTAAAACAGAGTTGAAGAGGGCGCGGCAGGGTAGCCTAGTGCCTGAAGTCCTCGCACTGAATGGGCCGAGATTCCATATGGCAACTGGTTCTAATCGTGGCAGTCCCGCTTCCATCCAGCTCCCTGCTTGTGGCCTGGGAAAGCAGTCAATGAAGGCCTAAAACCTGGGGACCCTGCACCATGTGGCAAACTCGGAAGAAGCTCCTGGCTCCTGGCTGCAGAATGGTTCAGCTCCAGCTACTGCGGCCAACTGGGGAGTGAACCAGTGGATGGAAGATCTTTCTATCTTTCTCCTTCTTTCTGTAAATCTCCCTTTCCAATAAATAAATAGTACATCTTTTAAAAAGTATATATATGTATATATTTAACCAGTATCTGCATAGTGGAAGACGTACACACCTCCTTAAAGTCAATGCCCAAAGCCTATTACGCTGACAAAATGGGTGAACAGTAACTCCAGTGAAGTACAAGTGAAATGCAGTAAATGCAGTTAAAATCCAGCAAGTATGTGGAGAGGGAATTAAAAGTAAGGCTACTTTGTTGCAAAAAACTTTTTTAAATCTGTACATAGTTTTTTATAATACAGATTTTCTGTAAGGTTTTTGAAGTATCCTGGTATCCCAAATTATTTTCAAATTTCATCACGTTAGTACTTTGCTAACAAAAACTCTTGGCATTACTACACATCAGATATGGAAGAGAAGAAAACTTTAATGTCATATTCCTAACAGATCACAGCATAATTCTATGTTAAATGGTTTACATGACAAGCTAACACCTACACGGAACATTAGCACATCCAAGAACCTTACGAAACTTCCGGAAACCAACAAAATCCAACCGTGGTAAAACACTTACGCGGATTCACTCTTTGTGCCAACATCTGTTTCTTCTGCACACCCAGCCTCGGCATCATTCGGCGCACACACTGCTGAAGCTTCGACTCCTGACGAAGGGAAGCCTGAAGGTTGGCCTGCCGCCGGCAGGGCCCCTGGGTGACCACTGTGGGCAGAAAAACACGGACGGGCGAAGATTCCTAGTAAATACACTGTCTATGCAGTAACCTGAAGGACGTTAGAAATGCACATAATCAAGGGAGATGATTCTTAGTATAGAATAATCAAAGCTCTCAGCTAACTGATTCCTCTCGCATCAGGTTACAGAAAACCTGTCACTGTAGAGAGAGTAGCAATCCCAAATTAACACATGTGTGAAAGGATCAGGAGTCTCAAAATGAACACTATGTTATGAATTGGGGTTTACAAACAGAATGAACCGTTACGGCTTCAGTCTTCACACAACCATGCTGATCCAAAGACATGCAACATGCACAAACACTGCAAGTTGCAGTTAACACCACACCCTGCAAATGGCGAAATACGAAGTACTTCAATTAACAATACCGCCGAGGCCCGAGGACCAACATTCCCTGCTAACATTTCAACACACATTTAGCCTGACGCTTCTCTCTCCTACTGGGTGTTAATATTTTTGTGAGTTAACAATTCCCATTATATTCTACCTGTCTTCATATGTAGTTTTTTAGCTATATATCACATACAAAAATTCCCAATCATTTTCGGCTGTTTTACATTCTTCATAGAGCCTTATTAAAGGCAGTATTTGATTTCGCGATGGGCAAACCTACTAATTTTATATTTTAAGGTCTGCGCTCAGGCAGCCATGAGGCACAGTATATGAGGCTGCAGCATTCCATCCCAGGATGCTGGATTCAGTCTCAGCCACTCCGTGCTCCTCCCAGCGTTCTGCTAAGGAACCTGGGGATCAACAGCTTAGAGCACAGCCGAGAGATGGGACACAGCTCTGAGCTCCTGGCTTCAGACTGATTCCTACCTGGCTCAGGGTGGAACTGCACAGCAAGCCAGCAGTTTCATTATTTTCTGTCTCCACTTGCGTCACTTCTCTCAAATAAATACTTAAAAAAAAAAAACTAGGGACCGGCACGGGAGCCTGGGGGCTAAAGTTCTCACCTTGCTTGTGCCGGGATCCCTATGGGCATCAGCTCTAATCCTGGCAGCCCTGCTTCCCATCCAGCTCCCTGCTTGTGGCCTGGGAAAGCAGCTGAGGACAGTCAAAAGCCTGGGGACCCTGCACCATGTGGGAGACCCGGAAGAAGCTCCTGGCTCCTGGCTTCGGATCCGGCCTATGCAGCCGCTTGGGGAATAAATCGACAGATGAAAGATCTTCCTCTCTGTTTCTCCTCCTCTCTATATATCTAACTTTCCAATAAAAATAAAATAAATATTTAATAAATAAATAAATAAGGCTCGGTGCGATAGCCTAGTGGTTAAAGTCCTCGCCTTGAACGCGCCAGGATCCCATATGGGCACCTCAATCCCGGCAGCTCCACTTCCCATCTAGCTCCCTGCTTATGGCCTGGGATAGCAGTTGAGGACAGCCCAAAGCCTTGGGATCCTGCATCCACTTGGGAGACCCAGAAGAGGCTCCTGGCTCCTGGCTTCAGATCAGCACAGCACCAGCCACTGTGGTCACTCGGGGAGTGAATCAGCAGATGAAAGATATTTCTCTTTGTCTCTTCTCCTCTCTGTATATCTGACTTTGTAATAAAAATAAATAAGTCTTTAAAATAAGTAAATAAATAACTACATAGATATCTCCAAGCTGTGGGCAACTGCCTACGTTGCATTGTACTTAAGCAAGCATTACACTGCTGGGTAATGCTTTAAAAGCAGCGAGTAGCTGGCAGGCATGCTGGGCCTGCTTAATGCCAAATCTGTGTTAACCATACCAGTGTGCCAACACAGTCACCTGGCCTATTCAATTTTTTTTTTTCCTTCTGAAGATATGTGGGAGGGATGCTGGGTCCATGAGCACCGGGGGCGAGGGTTCCAATGGTGCCAGGTTGCCTGCTCTGGTCCTTAGCCCGCCTATGCAGTGGGTGCAAGCTCTGTTGAGCCCCACTGAGAGGGGTCTGCCAGGACCCAGACAACACAACAACGGTGCCAGGTAAAGCATGCTGACCACACCACAGTGAGCCTATGGAAGCTTGCTTTGTGGGCTTGCAAGGGTTCTGGGGGATGGCACAGGTGAGGGTCTGTGGGGACAGTGAATGTGTCAGAACTGGGCCTCCTCAGTGGAAAAGGCAGAGCCATGGATGGCAGGCCCAGATGCACACAAAGGATATGGCAAGGCACCGGGGCCTGCAGAGGACATATGACACCATAGCAGAGGAAGGAAGATAGGACAGATTGGACAACTCCCCCAACCAAGCACTGATAGCAAATATCTGGGTGGAGGGAGACTCTAAGGTAGCTTAACCAGCCAATGGACGTTGGAAGAATTTCCTCATCCTTGGATCAGTGAGATCCACAGTATCTCAGACCGATCAACACCACCCAAGCAGAACCCTCAGAACATGCTCCACATGGGGGACCCTGAGCTGCTGCGCCATCTGCAGGGGGGACCAGTAGATGGAAGACGTCTCCTCTCTGTCACTCTGTCTTACAAACAAATAAATGAATCATTCGGGGGAGAAAAAAAGACTAGTGAAGCTGCAGAAACGACCTGGATGGAAGGCTGGCGTCCGGGTCCTCTGGGGCTTCCTGACCGGAGACTGGGCATATGCTGGCATCCACGCTCTGCACACAGGATGACTCTTGCTTCTCACCGCACACAGCCTCCGTTTCTGCAGGCTCGAGCGACAAGCTCTTACCTGTGAACACAAGACAGAGGTTAGTCCACACAATGACCACAAATACACCCACTTTCAAAATAAAGGAATTTGGGCCAGGCGCGATAGCGTAGTGGTTGAGGTCCTCGCCTTACATGCGCCATGATCCCATATGGTCGCTGGTTCTAATCCTGGCAGCTCAACTTCCCATCCAGCTCCCTGCTTGTGGCCTGGGAAAGCAGGAGAGGACGGCCCAAAGCCTTGGGACCCTGCACCTGCGCGGGTTACCCAGAAGAGGATCTAGGCTCCTGGTTTTGAATTGGCTCAACTTGGCCTTTGTGGTCACTTGGGGAGTGAACCAGTGAACAGAAGATCTTCCTCTCTGTCTCTCCTCCTCAACGTATATCTGCCTTTCCAATAAAAATAAATAAATCTTTAAATAAAATAATTTACATGCCATGTGCCTTTCCTACAAAACATTGAGTCACACAACATTCATATTCCTATTTGGAAGGCAAATGACTCCCCTTCAGAGCAAAGTGAATACTGTGCAGGAAGGGCCGGAGCAAGGTTTCTGGACAGTCTGTAACGCCTTCCTTTGACCTTGCTGCAACTCAAGTAGCCAGATGGACAGATCTTATAGGTCCAATCAGAAAAACTGATTTGACAACCATTCTGCTGCTTTAAAAGCAACAGCAAATAGGGTTTGGAGCCTTGGCCTAGAGGCTGAAGTCCTCGCCTTGCACACACCAGGATCCCATATGGGTGCCAGTTCTAATCCCAGCAGCCTCACTTCCCAGCTGAGGTCCACCCAGAGCCTGGGGACCCTGCACCTGCATGGGAAACCCGGAAGAAGCTCCTGGCTCAGGATAGGCTCAGCTCCAGCCGTTGTGGCCGCTTGGGGAGTGAACCATTGGACGGGAGATCTTCCTCTCTGTCTCTCCTCCTCTCTGTATATCCACCTTTCCAATAAAAATAAATAAATCTTTTTTAAAAAAAAGTCATACTTGGTAAATAAAGAAACTAGATTTTTTTTAAGTGGGATGAAGACTTATTTAACTTGAGAATCAGAGATACAGAACAGGACAGAGAGATGTTCCATCCACTGATTCGCTCCCCAGGTGGCCGCAATGGCCAGAGCTGAGCTGGACCAAAGCCAGCAGCAGGAACTTCTTCTGGTCTCCCTTTGAGCGCAGAGGCCCAAGGACTTAGATCACCTTTAGTTGTTTTCTCAAGGCATCAGCAAGGAGCTACATATCCAAATGTAACAGCTGGGACTCAAGCTGGCACCCACGTGGGATGCCAGCACTTCAACTGGAAGATTATCGTGCAATGCCACTGTGCCGGTCTCAACAGCCAGATTTCAAGCATGGTCTGGGTGGGCATGACACACCCATTCCTCACATCAGAGAGACTGCATTCCCAGTCTGGCTCCAGCTCCTAACTCCAGCATCTACCAATGCAGATCCTTGCAGGAAGCGGTGAAGGTCCGAGACACCCGCCCCGAGCCCTGAGCGGGGTTTCCAGCACTCGGCCTCGAGGCAGCCCAATACCTAGAGATTATGGCCATGGGGGAAGTGAACCACCAGAGAAGGCTCTCCATCTCAAGGAAACATTTCTAGAAAACAAGCCAACCTCCTCCTCTCTGTATATCTCACTCTACAATAAAAATAAATCTTTAAAAAGAGTAAATAAATCTTAAAATTAAAAAAAAAAAAAGATAAGAAACTTACTCTTACGTTTTTCTCCTTTAGAAAGGCCAGACTGTACCATCGCATTTTCCGAAGGACTTTTTACTTCTTTGTTGTTGGTTTCATCTTTAGTCTTTCTTCTCCTTTTTTTCTGACTGATTTCCTGACCTGACACGGCCTGTTCTGAAGCCTGTCCCGAGCTCGCAGTCTCTTCTGCTGCTGCCTGAGCGCCCTTGGGAGAGCCTGCTACCCCGACCGCGCTCACTGACTCCTCTGCTCCATCAATGACATCTCCACTGGCAACTTTTTTTGCTGAAAACAAGATGGATGGTTATAAACAGACAATCTGCAGAAAAATTAACAGACAAATACTTAAAAATGTCTTCCAGGGTATTAGCCCCGTCATCAGGGAATGACAAACTATACAGTTCTGTAATAAAGAATTATGCTGCCACTAACTGCATTAAAGGAACAAATAGGTTTACAGTATAGTAAGTTGGTATGGTACGCTGCCACCATGGTACATATGGTAAGTTGGCATGGTAAGTTTACGGTATGGTATGGTACATGCTTGCAATGAAAGATTCTTGACTGGATTTGACTGTAATACTGCAACAAGGTGGAGGGATCCACCATGGGAGGGAGGGCATGGGGAGGGGTTGGGGGCATCCCTGAGCCTATGAAAGTATGTCATAAAATGAAATGTAATTAATTTTAAAAAAAAGTATCTCAGAACATATTTATACATTGAAATAATCAGGTGGCAGGGTGTCTAAGCACCACAACCTAGTGGCTAAACTCCTCACTTTGCATGTGCCAGGGATCCCATATGGGTACTGGTTCAAATCCTGGCTGCTGCATGCTTGCGGCCTAGGAAAGCAGTCAAGGACGGCACAAAGCACTGGTACCCTACACCTATGCATAAGCTCCGGGCTCCTGGCTTCCAATCAGTTTAGCTCTAGTCATTGTGGACATTTGGGGAGTGAACCAGTGGACAGAAGATCTTTCTCTTTCTCCTTTTCTCTTTTCTTCTGCCTTTCCAATAAAAAAATTTTTTTAAATCTTAAGAAAAAAAAAAACATGGTAGAACACTATTGATGGTCTCATTTTTCTTCAAAACAATCAGAGGGCAGGTACATGTAGCCGGTTCAGCTTCATTTGGTGGTCCCAGCCTCCCATGAGGGGCCTGATTTGAGTCCCAGTTGTTCCACTTCCCATCCAACCTCCTGCTTACACCCTGGGAAAGCAGCAGAGGACGCCCCAGGCCCATGTGCCACTGCACCCACGTGGGAGACCTGGATGCAGCTCCAAGTTCCTGACTTTAGAGCAGCCCAGCTACAGCTTTCGGACCCTTCAGGGAATGACCAGGGAGGGAGGATCTCTGTCTCTGCTTCTCAGGAAATCTGCCTTTCAAGTAAGTATGTGCTGGGCAGCGCCAGGCTGGACTGCAACACCCATCAGTTCCAGTGGAAGTCGGGGCTGGAAACAGAACCAACCCAGCGATTGCAACCACCAGCTGATCAGGGCGATGGACTGTGCCGGGCCCTGTACCTGCTAGTACATACAAGAATCTGGTCCGAGAACACCTCAGACGGAGTTTCTTTAGTCTTTAGAGATCTCCCCAATTTAACTGCTGGACTCAGAACCCTAACCAAGAAAAGAGAGAAGACAGAACAGGTCAATCAACCATCTCAGCTATATGTTGGCAGCGAAATACGGGGCAAACAGAGACTCTATGATGGACTATGTCAACCAGTGGATTCTTCAAAGACCTCATAGTGCCTGGAGTGGCAAGACTGGCAGCAATTTATAACTGTTGAACTATCAAAACCACGTGAGCAAGACCCTCGGAGCATGCCCCACATCAGGGACGTGGGGAGGGTGGGAAATTGGGTGGGCCTTCTCCCTTAATACCCCCCTTTAAACATGAAGGAAACAATATGAAAATAATAGTCTTACCCAATTTCCTATAGCCCTTGAACCTTTTTACCCCAGTTAACTATGTAAAGATTGTCAAAAATATAATTTAAAAAATTTAAAAAAAAAAGAAACTCAAAACAAAAAATAAGCCCTTAAAAAAGTCTAGACTGTCTTTGTGCAAAACAGTTACTAAAGCCGACTTGACTGCTACCCTTTGAAAGGCTAACCCAGGGGCTTCGTCAAGGAAGCTTCAGACAGCTTCACCCCTCGAACTGTTAAGGCTGCTTCTCACTGCGCCTCAAGTCAAGCTGTTCTGCTAGGAGTCTGAACTGCGCTGTGCTCCAGGCAAGCAGAAGGGACTCCTGGGAGCCCTGCAGTCAATCAGCAAGGCTCGTGTGGCCCTCAGGAGCCCTGCAGTCAATCGGCAAGGCTCACGTGGCCCTCAGGAGCCCAGCAAGGGTTCTCACAGTTGCACGTTTCAGTCCAGCCTCGGCCACTTACACTGTGCAACCACAGGGTAAGTAACAGGATCTCTGGCGGAGTTCCTCAGCCATTCAGCCAAATGGAAAAGAAGAGTAAGACGTGGACCAGCTAACACATAATGTCTCTTACAGTCTTAAGGTTCTGGAAATCATGTAATTCTGGCTGCACATTATCTTCACAAACTAGAGTTTGAACAGCTATGGAAATATAAGCCCTGCAACTAACAGTATGTAACTCGACACAAGCCTTTTCAAATTCTGCTCAAGCAATACAACCGAGTCATCACCTCCAAATACGAGAATTGCATTGCACTAAATATTAAAATTCAACAGCAGAATGGTATTACAGAGGAAGTACACTAGATTCTAAGGCTCTCAAGAAGCCTCAAGGCCGTCTGACAGCCCCACCAGGTGAGCTTTAAAAAGCTGCTGCTGCTTCAGCAGGGGGCTGGCAAATGCACAGGGGTGAAGCCGCGCCAAGGCAAGCTCATCTTAGTTCCCTGGACTTCCAAGGACTCGCCAAGACCTGAAGACAAGGCTTGTGGGTTAAGCAGGTGATTAGTGCTGGGCAAGAACAGGAACTGGGCTTGTGGCTAGAAACACCTAGACTAATTGGACTCATCTGTATCCAATTTCCTGGCTAAATTAGGACTGGAGGGGAATAGTATATAAGGAGAGGTGAAGGAGCAATAGAGAGAAGACTTCGCAGAGACTTCCACCATCAGTGGTCTCCTGTCGGCACTATCTCCAGACCCTCTCCCTGTCCACGTTCCTGGTTCTGCTGGCTGGAGCAAAGGCTTACGCCCACCACTGCTAAATAAACAGCACTCCTTTCAGACTCAGTACCTTTCCCGTGTTTCGTTGATTTGGAGGCCTCCTTCTCCTTTACACTGTGGTTTTTAACCGACTTTTGTTTTCTTTTCTCTTCCTCAGCAAGAACTTTCTGAAGCAAATGAGCAAAAAAATCGAAGTCAAAAGGACGCTTTTCCTCTGTTCAAAAAAAAAGGAAAGAACTTTCAAGTTTTTATTTTTTTTTAAAGAAACTTTTCACCTTTAAAAAAAAAAAACCACAATTTCAAAACCAAGTGGGTCTATCAGCTGGACCACTGGAAAACAAGGCCACAACAGTCTACTACTTAGCAACGAAAGGGACAGAAATAAAATTATTACTACCACCACCAGCATTAACACAGGTGAGTTTCAAAAACACACTGAAGGAAAGAAATCAGAGTACATTCTGTATGATCCCATTCATCAGGTGCTAATTTAAGCAAAGGGCTTGGGGGATGGCAGCTGAATGTCGGTCGAGAAAGGGAAACGCCTGCAACAAGGAACCCGCTCCACACACTGTCGGAGCTGGGGCTTCCAAAGTATATTCTTTGTCAAAATGCAAACTACACTTTGAACTGTGTGTGTGTGTGTGTGTGTGTGTGTGTGTATGATTTGTTTTTTTTAATATACAGATGACTCAGACCTCGTTGGGGGGCCAGCAACATGGCACGGCGGCTTGAGCCACCATCAGCACCTCCGGGATCTCACATGCGAGGGGCAGCTCAAGTCACAGAGGCTGCTCTTCTTCCAATGCAGCCCCCTGCCAACGAGCCAGGCAAGGCAGCAGAGGACGGCCCAGGTGGCTGAGCCCCTGCAACCACGCGGGGGACCTGGATGAAGTCCTGGCTCCTAGCTTTGGCCTATAATCTCTTCAACTTAGAACTCTATGCTCTTGGTGTTGTGGCTAGTCCCTCTTCTTAGACTTGTAGCAATGGCAAGATCCATATTGATAAACACAAGAATGTTGACTGGAATTCGTGTATCCACACAGGGACAAAAACGAGTCCAACACACAATGGGGACAAAAATAAAAGGCTGGCCCTTTACCAGGCTCCCCAAGAGGCACACAGTACAAAGGTCTCAGTACTTACGGAAGGCTTTATCAATTCTCCAGCCATTTGTTCTCTCTTCACGTTTAAATTTATTCTGTCAACAACAAAAAAGTCTGTAAACATTTTCTCCAAGCAAAATCATTTTAGTTTTTTGTTTTACAACATCATTTTAATTGAAAAACAGCATACATTTAACATGCAATTCTTAAAAGTAACAAACTACTCTCTATGAAATGCTAGGCCTTTGCCAAGGCAAGTTACCAGTTAGACCACTAGCTTCTCGTTTGTCTGTTTTTAACAGAAAAAGCAGATATACAAACACAATGAGGTACAGAGAAGCTCCTGGCTCCTGGCTTGACTGGCTTAGCTCAGGCCATTGCAGCCACTTGGGCAGTGAATGGGCGGTTCTCTCTTGCTCTGTAAATATGCCTTTCCAATAAAAATAAATAAAAAACAAAAAATCCTAGAAGTGATTGGTACAGTGGTTAAGTCACTGCCTAGCATGCCCACAGTCCAAACTGGAATTCTGAGGCTCAATTCCTGGCACTGCTCCCCATTCCAGCCTCCTGCTAATGTGCACCCTAAAAGCCAGGAGGTAGAGGTTCAAGAACTGGGGCACCTGCCACCCAACAAACAAGATCCTGACCGCTTTGGGCTCCTGGCCCAGCCCTAGATGTTGCAGGCATTTGGGGATTTTCATTTGCAGGCAGATGAAAGGACCTCTCTCTATATATTTCTATCTCTCAGTCTTCCAAATTTTTTTTTTTTAAATCAATGTTTCAAAGTTCTTACAACCCGAGGTCTGCACTGTGGCGTGGCAGGCTAAGCCTCTGCATGCACACCAGCATCCCAGATGGATACCAGTTCATGTCCCGGTTGTTCTTCTGACCCAGCTACCTGCTTAAGGCCTTGGAACGCAGCACAGGATGGATCAAGTCCTTGGGTCTCTGCAACCACGTGGGAGACCAAGAGGACGCTCCTAGCCCCTGACTGCAGCCAGGCCCAGTCCTAGCTATGGCAGCCATTTGGAAGTGAATCAGTGTATTAGGAACTACAGACTTACAGGCCTTAGACTTGTTGGCCTGCCTGACAACTTGCTGCACTGCAAAACCCACCTTGGGCAAGCAGGGCCGCAGCAAGCAGGATATTGCGGCTAGAACATCCCATACAAAGCAAGCGGAAACAGAACCTCCACCCTTATTCCTGCTCAAATAATTAGTTCCTCCCCATTTCAATACAGATGATTAGTTCCAGGAAAACCCCACTTTACCCTCCTCCCCTAGAGAAGAAGATATGTATACATAAGGAGTAAAATAAAGAGCATGGGACTTTCTCTTTCACCAAATACGTGTCTGTTTCTTGGGCGAGCAGCCCAGCATTCCCAGTCCACCCTGAGGGTTCGGACATCATGTCCTGCAGGTCGGGACACCAGTAGATATCCCTCTAAGTTTCTGTAACTTTGCCTTAAAAAAATAATAATAAACAAAGGACCCAGCATGACAGCCCCTGCATGCACTGGTATCCCATATGGGCGCCGGTTCTAATCCCGGCAGCCCCGCTTCCCATCCAGCTCCCTGCCTGTGGCCTGGGAAAGCAATCGAGGACAACCCAAAGCTTTGGGACCCTGCACCCATGTGGGAGACCCAGAAGAGGATCCGGCATCCGGCATCCTGGCTTCAGATCAGCTCAGCACTCACTGATGGGTGCCCATTTAAAAGATGCAACAAGGATCTGGTGCCATGGCCTAGCAGCTAAAGTCCTCGCCTTGAACGTGCCGGGATCCCATATGGGGGCCAGCTCTGGTCCCGGCAGCTCCACTTCCCATCCAGCTCCTTGCTTATGGCCTGGAAAAGCAGTTAAGGAGACCCAGAAGAGGATCTGGGCTCCTGGCTTCAGATTAGTGCAACATCAGCCGTTGTGGCCACTTGGGGAGTGAATCATCAGACAGAAGATCTTCCCCTCTGGCTCTCTTCCTCTCTATATCTGACTTTGCAATAAAAATAAAACTTTAAAAATATATATATATGTTATGCTTCAAATAATAAAGAGTCAAAATGATACAAAAATCTAATACCAGTGGGGGGGAAAAATCAAAGGAATTAATAATAATGATCATCATGTCATTTTGAACTACTTACAATCAACAAATGTGGAAGATTCACTTTACCTTAATTTCTGTTCTTGCTCTGTGAGGGAAAAGCTGTCCAATCATAGAAAAGTCAGTTCCTACCATGCTGATGGCTAGAAAAAACATATCTGTTTCTGTAAACACAAAACATTTACAGTGACTGGCATTAACCTTGTGAATGCTGCAGACGGAAAAAAAAATCTTACATGAGCATTTTGAATTTAAAATAAACTTGGTGAGATTTAATTTCATCAGAAACTTATGCAACAGTGTTTTAGAAACACTTTCCTTAAATACTGGGGAGCGGAAACAGCAGATTGCAGATCTCTCTTGCTCGCTCTCTTGCTCTCTCTTCCTGTCTTGCCTTCTTCTGTAATTCTGCCTTTCGAATAAATAACTCATTAAAATATCTGTTTTTCTTGGGCAGGGAGGTGGCACGGCAGTTATGGAGGACAGGACTTGGGATGCCGGGTTGTGGTCCCAGTTACTCCAGCGGGCAGCCCAGCTTCCTGCTGGGGGCTGGAGGCAGCAGGCCAGCACTGGATCCTGACCACACACAGACAGTACTTCTGAGCCAATCCGGAAGGCCCTGGCTCCAGCTCTGAGCCAATCTGCCTGCAGGATCAACGAGTAGATGGAAGATCGCTGCCTCTCCACCTTTCAAATAACACACAATTTTTTAAAAAAAAAAGAAACAAAGAAAAAATGAAACAGCAAAAACACACTTTTACATAGGAAGAGACACAATTCTGTCACGGACTGGGGCAAGCAGGAGGCAGTGCCACGGCTCGATGGGCTCATCACAACCTACAACCCATACTGGTGCCAAATCAAGTGCCAGCGGCCCCGCTTCCCATCCAGCTCCCTGCCTGTGGCCTGGGAAAGCACTCAGGGACGGCCCAAAGCCTTGGGACCCTGCTGCACCTGCCTGGGAGACCCGGAGGAGGCTGCTGGCTTCAAGTTGGCCATCTGGGGAGTGAACCAGTAAGTGGAAGATCTTTCTGTTTCTGTTCTCTGGAAATCTGCCTTTCCAATAAAAATAAATAAATCTTACAAAAAAAAAAAAAAGTATAGTGGGGACAGGAGCAATACATAACATACAATTTCAAACAACTCTTGGTTACCTTTGTTTGACCATGGTTTAGAGTAACAGCTTTTCCTAAAGCTGGAGTATGTAGTTGTAGAACCACGCTCAAATATAGGGTCATTCTCCTCAACAACACAGGGGCCTTTTGTCCTTAAAACCTCTACCGTCAAACTGAAAGAAATTTCCAAATAAACCCACATCAGAAAAAAGTCAGAAAACAAAGGCAAAGGATATTTAAATGGTTCCATTTTGACCTCTGCCACAGCAACCACCCCGAGGTGTAACAATGCACATCTCCCAGCGTCTATTTCCATGCTTGCTTCAGCAGCACATACACTACAACGGGCAATAACCGTATTTTCTAAGTTGATCCTATTTTTTACTTAATATATGATTCCAACAAGGCAGAAGAAAATATAGATTAAAAATTCTTATCAGCAACATGAAACTCACAAAATATCTTTGCGCTATCTGAAACACACTCTGTTTATACTTCCTATAGTCAATATACAGTACGTGGCAGGCACATGGCTAGACTGAGAAGCACAAGCATTTTATGCTCACATTTTATATACTTGCAGTCAAAGCAGTTAAATACTGCTTTAATAACCAGTGAAATTATCAATACAAATTAAAATTATGTGAAAACATGTATTTACATTATCATAGAATTTGCAATATTTACAACAATAAAATTTAACTGCAAAATTTTTCAAACTGTCAAAATACATACTATTCATTTTTTAAAAAAATATAGACTTTAAAAATGAAAAACATTTAAAAAAATACAAACTATAAAAGTCAAGGGCCCAGCAGCGTGGCCAAACAGCTAAAGTCCTTGCCTTGAACGCACCAGGGTCCCATATGGGCGCCGATTCTAATTCCAGCAGCTCCACTTCCCATCCAGCTCCCTGCTTGTGGCCATGGGAAAGCAGTCAAGCACAGCCCAGAGCATTAGAACCCTGCACCCGCGTGGGAGACCTGGAAAGAAGTTCCTGGCCCCTGGCTCAGGATCGGCAGAGCTCTGGCCATTGTGGTCACTTGGGGAGTGAACCATCAGATGCAGATCTTCCTCTCCGTCTCTCTTTTCCTGTCTATATATCTGCCTTTCCAATAAAAATAAATAAATCTTTAAAAAAAAAGTCAACTAAATTCCACCATGTCAAATATGAGACTTATTATAATTATTGAAAACCAGAAGATGAATTAGACTGCATAATATGAAAAGCCACTGGATGTTAAGCATAGGTCTCACTGCACATAAGACTTTGGTTGGTAATATGAAAACTTGCACATTAAGTGCAAAACTTAATCCAAGACACCTACCCTCACGGACCCCGGTGGAGCCCAGGACATGAATATTCAACTCAATGACCAGAACGTCAGCAGGACAAGGGTAAGATAATTGATGATAGAACACAGTAACACCATATTCAAATTATCACACATTATACATGAATATATAACCCACTCTGCCATTACAACAACCACTATGCAAATACAGCAGAGTCCATAACAGACACCAGATCAGTATTCTCTCATTATAAAATATACAACTGTTCTTACAAACGTACAACTTTTTGCCCCCTTTTTTTAACCTACCTTTCTTCATCCAAAATAATAGAACCATCTTCGGCCACTTTCACTCGAGGGACCAGCAATGGCCCCTCATCCGTCTCCTCTTCCACTTCTTCACTGCCATCTGCATCAGCAGTATTCTTATTTTCTTGCCTAACCAAAGTAAAGACAGGCTTAATTCACAACACTATGAAAAGGGTTTCCAGAGGAGTTGTGACGTGGGCTGGTGCTGCAATGCAGCAAGCTAAGGCCCTGCTAGCAAGGCGGGAAGCACACAGCAGAGCACCAGTTTGAATTCCAGCTTCCCTGCTTCTGTTCCAGCTGCACACCCACGCACACATGCACCAGAACCCGGGAAGGCAGCAGTGAACAGCAGTGAATGGCAGTGCATGGCAGTGAATGGCAGTGCATGGCAGTGCACAGCAGTGAATGTCAGTGAATGGCAGTGAACGGCAGTGAATGGCAGTGTATGGCAGTGAATGGCAGTGAACGGCAGTGCATGGCAGTGCACAGCAGTGAATGGCAGTGAATGGCAATGAATGGCAGTGCATGGCAGTGCTCGACAGTGAATGGCAGTGCACGGCAGTGAATGGCAATGAATGGCAGTGAACAGCAGTGAATGGCAGTGCACAGCAGTGAATGGCAGTGAATGGCAATGAATGGCAGTGCACGACAGTGAATGGCAGTGCACGGCAGTGAATGGCAGTGAACAGCAGTGTATGGCAGTGAATGGCAGTGAACGGCAGTGCATGGCAGTGCACATCAGTGAATGGCAGTGAATGGCAATGAATGGCAGTGCATGGCAGTGCTCGACAGTGAATGGCAGTGCACGGCAGTGCACGACAGTGAATGGCAGTGCACGGTAGTGCTGGGGCCCCTGCCCCTCATCTGGGAGATGCAGTCAGAACTGCATGTTGCTGGCTCTGCCCTGGAACAGCCCCACCGTTACAGCCATCTCAGGGGAAGCCAGGAAATGGAAGAGCGCTCGCCTCTCTGTTCTGCCTTTCAATAAATAAATTAACGTAAAAAAATGGAAATTTCAGTATTTCCTTTTATTTCTTTTGAATTCTGTACCATATAGCTATATTATTACCCTAAAATCATGATTGCTTTGGCAGGAAACGTATGCCCTAAATTAAAATAGCACCTCTGGAGGCAGAGTTAGGGGCACGGCAGGTAAAGCCTCCCTCTGTGATGCCAGCTTCTCACGTGGGCACCTCAGGAGTCCCTGAGCCCCAGCTGCTCCACTTCCATCCAGCTCCCTGCTCATCGACCTGGGAGAGCAGCAGAAGACGGCCCACGTGCCTGGCCCCCTGCACCATGTGGGAGATCCAGGAAAAACTCCTGGCACCCGGCTTTGGCAGCAGTCCAGCTCCAGCTGTTTTGTCAGTTGGGAAGTGGAGCAGCAGCTGGAGGTTCTCCTCTGTCTCTGCCTCTCTCTAGCTCTGCTTTCAAACGAATGAATAATCTTAGAACAAAAACCCTTTCATTCTAAAAACTTTAATTTAAATCAAAGTGACCAGTTTTACAAGTAGCACTTTTATACTGACTTAAAGAAAGCAGCAACTTTTATTCTTGTTAAGTGAGTCCACTTTCAAAATTCAGCAAAATATCACTTGACAACTATTTATTTTCTGTTAAAAGATTTTTCTAAACAATTTCATTTAAAAAAAAAGTACCCATACGAAAACACATGGAAAAAAGAAGATGGAACGCTTACTCTCTTGTCTGCACTGAAGGCAACGCTTTCTCCGTTTTCTTTTCTTGTTCCAGTGAAGAACTAGCAAATGCAAACAACAGAACTTATTTTAACACATGAACAATGCACAGCTTATGAGTGTGATCTGTAGGTAAGAAGGAAATGATTTTAACGTCCCTTTTGTTTTTAACACGCCTCAGCACTTCACTAGTAATGGCATAGGCCAAAAATCAGCTTTCCAGTCAAGAATTTGTTACAGCATAGTTACGAAACAGTCTTACCCTCTAATTCCTCAAGGAAAGGAGGCGCCTAGTCCCAAGGCATGAAGCAGCCTATCTGGCTCTTCAACCGGGCCAGCAACCTAGTCCTCTGAGTATGTCACTACTCCTCCCTCTACCTGCTAACAATACACCTATTATGCAGCTGCTGGCGGCCCTGTCCTCCACCTGTCCGGGCTAGCTTTGATTAAAGCAGCTTTGCTCTTGAAACAGTTGGTGAATCAAATCACCACTGTATTTCATTACAATGCAGCCCAAAAAACTAAACTACTCCTTTAGATCAGATCATGGTATACAATACAAACTGCGGATTTTTTTTTCTAATTTCCATTCTTTTTTTTATTATATTTTTGACAATCTCTACATAGTTAATTAGCAAACTGCAATCTTAATTACAAAAAAGAAAGTGGCCTAGTTGCCTTTAGTAATCCTGGTACTAAAGATAACAAAGCTATCTTACTTTTAATCTCAGAGGTAAAGAGTATCATTTATCACTGCCACAAAAAAGTTATTTGAGATACTGCAACTGTACAATGAATGCTCTGCTGAAGTCACGAGGTAACCTCAAGAGTCTGCAAGAGCACCTGATGCGATGGCTCAGCAGCTAAATTCCGACCTTGCTCACACCAGGATCCCATATGGGTGCCAGGCAGTGTCCGGGCTGCTCCATTTCCCATCCTGCTCCCTGCTTACGGCCCGGAAAAGCAGTAGAGGATGGTCCAAAGCCTTAGGACCCTGCACCTGCTTCAGGGACCTAGAAAAAAGCTACGTGCTCCTGGCTTTGAATCAGCTCAGCTCCGGCCATTGTGGCCATTTGGGGAGTGAACCAACAGAACGGAAGCTTTCTCTCTGCCTCTACTTCTCTCTGTCAATCTGCCATTCCAATTAAAAATAAATCTTTAAAAAAAAAGGAATCTACAACAGAAATAAATTTTATTTACGTCATTGGATTGCTCTCTGGTAGGTAATATATGAAGTCTCTCATAGTCATCTTTGAACGATCCAGCGGCTTCTGGCATTCAGTTACAGCACATTTGTTCTTCCACTGTTTCTGTATGCACACAGATTCAATTTTATGTTAAAAATACAGAGTTTCAAACAGAGTAGGTTCAAATATGCAGTTTAGATTTATATTTACATTCATTACAAATGTTTTAATAAATACTTCTAATATGCCTAAGTTGGGAGGAAATTTCATGAAGTATTTCAAAATTGTAGCATATTTTCTTAATAGTTTTTAAAAACCGAAAGTGGGGACTGGCGCAATAGCCTAATGGCTAAAATCCTCGCCTTGTAGGCACCAGGATGGACACTGGAGCCTACTCCCGGCGGCTCCACTTCCCAGCCAGCTCCCTGCCTGTGGCCTAGGAAAGCAGGGAAGGATGGTCCAAGGCCTGGAGACCCTGCACCCACGTGGGAGACCCAGATCGGCTTAGCTCAGGTGGTGCAGCCACTTGGAGAACCAAAGGAAGGAAGATTTCTCCCTTTATAAGTCCTTCTCTCTGTATTTTCTTTCCAATAAAAATAAATCTTAAAAAAAAAAAAAACTAAAACTAAAAATGACATGTCAGATCTAGTCCCCGTTGCTCCACTTTGCTCCAGCTCTCTGCTTATGACTCCAGAAAGCAGACTACACCCAAGTCCTTGTGCCCCCACACCCGTACAGCAGCCCGAGGAAGGCCCCGGCTCCTGGTCACAGAGCAGCTCAGCTGCACCACCGTGCCCATTTGGGGAAAGAGCCAAGGGATGGCAGATCTCTGTATCTCTCTATATATATTTAACTCTGTCTTTCAAATAAATCTTTAAAAAAAAAAGCTGCCATTTGTTGGATATTCTGTATTTATCATAAACTAGTCCAAATGTGGTTCACACCTATTAATTCATTTAATCTTCAGTAATATCAGCCCTACTCGACAGATGAGGAATTAAACACAGAAAGGAAACTGGCCACATCACGTAGCCAGTCAGGGATAAGTCTGCACTTCCAATCCGTATCCAACTCCTAGATGAGAGGGAGAAATAAACATACCTTCATGACCCACAAGAAAATGGATTTCATTATAGGCACACCACAAATTCTTCTCATTTGTAATTTCCCACGTCAGATTAGAAAACACTAGGACGCTGGTGTTCAGCTCAGCCAGTGAAGCTGCCAGCTCCCAGAGGATATGCCTGGGAAGCAGCGCAAGTCTGCCGAGCACTTTGTCCCTGTCGCCCTAATGGAACAGCTAGAAGGAATTCCTGCCCCAGGCACAGCCACTGCAGCCGCCTGCAGGGTGACCATGCAGACGCAAGACTTCCCCCATCTCCCATCCTCCCCAGCGTGCCTGGTTCATGTCCCAGATCATTTGTTTGCAGTTTAGCTTCTTGCTAAACCACATCCACTCAGGAACCAAATGATGGCTCGGACCGGCGTCCAGTCCCAGGCTCCTGGCTGCAGCGTGGCCCAGTCCTACAGTGCAGGCCTTTAGGGAATACTTAAAAATAACACCCAGGAGACCTTTCTCCGGCTCCCTGATTCTACAAAACTAAACCATAAAAATAATACACATACAATATTTAAAAATTACTATCCAAAAATGTAAGATTATGACTTCTTCAATCATTTTAGCAACAAAATGAAATATTTTATTCACTTAAGGAATGTGGGGCTAGTTCAATGGCTCATTGGCTAATACACCACCTGCAAGCGGGCATCGCAAGCAGATACCGGCTCATGTCCTGTCTGCTCTATTTCCCATCTACCTCCGTGCTTATGGCCTGGGAAAGCGGCTAAGGATGGGACCCAACACCCACAAGGGGAGATCCAGAGAAAGCTCCTGGCTCCTGGCTTCAGATGGACCCAACTCCAGCCACTGTAGCTACGTGGAGAGTAAACCAGTGAATGAAAGAACTTTCTGTCTCTTTCTCTATGTAAAAGCTGTGTTTCTAATAAAAAAATAAAGTTTTTTTTTTAAATGCTTAAAAAAAAAAAACAGAACTAAACTTATTTGGCTTTATTGCCCAGTAGAATGCTAAGGCGGCTTATTTTCTCGCCGAGGACACCTGCCCACAGACAGACAGCAGTGCCCAGAGGCCAGCAGCCCTTCACCTTCACCTTCTCTTTGCGCAGCTCTTCTTTTAACATCTCCCTCAGCTTCTGGGCTTTGTATATCCGGTAGCGGTCTGAGCATGGCGCCTTCTCCTTTGCTGGAACGGGCTTTGGCTGTGCAGCATCCTCACTAGCGGTGGACACAGGAGGACATTCTGAAGGAACAGTCACATCTGCCTTAAGGACACTAGACGTGCCTGACACTCGCTTTCTTCTCTGCGGAACGGGAGGAGGTTGACTGGATTCTTCAACATCATTCCCACCATCAATCTTTTCATCACTGTTGAAATGGAAAAAGGAAAAAAACAGAAGACACCATGGATCTTCTTTCCTATGTGCTGGTTTTAACACTCTAGTACGAAGGGCTGGTGCTCTGGGATCCCAGCACCCCACACCCAGTGTCAGCTAGAATCCGGGTTGCTCCACCACCGATGCAGCTCTCTGACAATGCACCTGGGAGAGCAGCAGCGCATGGCCCAAGCACTTGAGCCTTTGCACCAACAGGAGGCCCAGAATAAACCTCTGTCCAAACTCTGCGCTGATCCAACCCTGCCAACTTTGGACTTTGGGGAGTGAAACAGCAGGTGCAAGATCTCTGTCTCTCCCTTCCCCTCACTCTCGAACCACCTTCCAAAGAAATAATTTTTTTTTAAGATGTATTGATCTTTATTAGAAAGTCAGATATACAGAAAGGAGGAAACACAGAGAGGAAGATCTGTCCGCTGTCTCACTCCCCAAGCAACCACAACAGCTAGAGCCGAGCCGATCCGATCCAAAGCCAGGAACCAGGAGCTTCTTCCAGGTCTCCCACATGAGCACAGGGTCCCAAGGCCTTGGGCCATCCTCGACTGCTTTCCCAGCCCACATGCAGGAAGCTGGAAGAGAAGCGGGGCCACGAGGAAACAAACCAGCGCCCTTATGGGATCCCAGTGCATGCAAGGGGAGGACTTTAGTCACTAGGCTACCGTCCTGGGTCCAAATAAATAAACTTTTAAAAAAATAGATATACTAATTTGAAAGGCAGATCTCTATACAGAGAAAAGGAAAGACAGACGAAGTCTTCCAACTGAGCTGATCTCAAGCCAGGAGATCCTTTAGGGTTTCCCAAAATAGTGTAGTCCCAAGGACCTGAACCATCCTCCATTGGTTTCCCAGGCCAGGAGCAGAGGGCTGGATCAGAAGTGGAGCAGCTGATACCTATAAAACTGTGACACATAATTCAATGCAATTATTACAAAAAAAAAAAAAAAGTGGAGCAGCTGGGACATGAACCAGTAGCTATAAGAGATGCTGCTGCCACAGCTGGAGGTTCAGCCTGCTTAACCACAACATTGGCCCCTCAAATAACCTTCAAATCCCCCAAAATGCAACTGTATGCACAGCTCCCTCACGACTACAAACACAAAACATCAAAGTTACAGAACAAGGCTTAATTACTCTAATCTGAATTACTAGGTAACACTTTGCTCTTTAAATCGAGTTTACAAATCACAATGACTTTTCAATAAACTGGTCTGAAAACACTATCAACATAAAATCGGTCAAATCAAATACATGAAATTCAAAGCCTCTGAAACATCTGCGTGAGAGCAACTGGAGTTATCCATTTCTCTACATCAACCAAGCAGATCAAATGTATCTTTCAACAGGTGCAACTCATGCATCCTCAGAGGCAACCCTTCACTCCAAGCAAGTACTAAGTCACTCCACATATAAGATATAGATTACAACGGCCTAAAATTAAATCAAGAAAAGAGAACAGGAATGAACTCAGATAGGAGAAACTTCTAATGTTCTACAAACTTGATTGACAGCAATTAGCTACATTTTTCAAAATAGCAGAGACCGACAGCATCCAATGCAGAGATGAAAATCGTCTGAGGTGATGGATGCAACATGCACCCCAATCTACCCATCATTACATATTATATATGTGTGGATGTGTGTATTAACACAATGTACTCCACACATACAATGAACTGAAAACTTTAAAAATATTAGAGGTCACTCCTCCCCTTTGGGTTACCACTCCCACTGGAGGGCACGAAAACCAGGACAGGGACTGGGGTAGCTAGACAGAAAGACACCCAACAACATCTGTGTGGGTTGGATAGTCGGGCTGGTTGGGTTGAACTAGGCTTCATTACCCATTGACATGTACGAGAGCCGAATGAGATGTGGGACAGCCTGGACTAGTCTGATGCACATACTGGCAAACCAGGGTAGGGGGTGGGCATGGTGGGGGTTTTTGTGGGTCGCTCTGACTAGGCTGCAGCTCCCACTGGTTTATGTGAGGGCTGAGTGTGTGCTGGGCAGAACCATGGTGGACTGCAACACCCATTGGTTCCAGTGGAAGACATGGATGGAAACAGAACCAACCCAGCAATTGCAACCATCAGCTGATTGGGGTGATGGACTGAGCTGGGCCCTGTACTTGCTAGTACATACAAGAATCTGGTCCAGGAACACCTCAGACAAAGTTTCTTTGGGAATCTCCCCAATCAAACTGCTGGACTCAGAACCCTAACCATGAAAAGACAGAGGACAGAACAAGTCAATCAACCACCTCAGCCATATGTTGGCAGTGAAAAACTGGGCAGAGACTCTGTGATGGACTATGTCAATCAGTGGATTCTTCAAAGACCTCATAGTGCTTGGAATGGCGAGACTGGCAGCAATTCATAACTGTTGAGCTATCAAAACCACATGAGCAAGACCCTTGGAACATGCCTCAAATCAGGGACCTGGGGTGGGTGGAAGACTGGGTGGGGCTTCTCCCTTTACCTCAGATACAGGAAAAATACAATGTGAAAATAATAGTCTTACCCACTTTCCTGTAACCCTTGAACCTTTTACCCTAATTAACTATGTAAAGATTGTCAAAAATACAATTTAAAAAATTGGAAAAAGTTAAAAAAAATTAGAGGTGGGCCCAGCACGTTAGCCTGGTGGCTAAAGTCCTCGCTTTGCACATGCGAAGATCCCATATGGGCGCCAGTTCTAATCCCGGCTGCTCTGCTTCCCATCCTGGAAAAGCAGTGGAGGATGGCCCAAAGCCTTGGGACCCTGCACCCACATGGGAGACCCAGAAGAAATCCCTGGCTTCTGGCTCCAGATTTGCACAGCACGTGCTGCTGAAGTCGCTGGGGAGTGAATCATTGGATGGAAGGTATTTCTCTCTGTCTCTCCTTCTCTCTGTATATATCTGACTTTAACAATAAAATAAGTAAATCTTTTAAAAAAAAGAAGTATCCTCTCAAAGTCAGATTTAAAAAAAAGATCAATGCTAACGCACTAATGTCTCCAGCCTGCAGATTTAAAGTCATTTATTCCTCATCAATTACACAATCACGCAAAGTTGGCAAAATCTGAGAATTTTATTAACAGTGACTAATGGGGGCTGGGCTTCGAACATAGAGGGGTAAACCCACAGCCTGCAATGTTAGTGACCCATAGGGATGCTGGTTCCAGCTGGGCTGATCCATCCACTCCTGGGAAACGCACTGAAGTGCTACCCACATGGGAGACCAGGAAGAAACTCCTGACTCCCCCCGGCCCCCCACCCTCACACCCCACCCCACCCCCACTTCCAGCTGGCCCAGCCCTAATCCTCATGGCCATTTGAGGAATGAACCAGAGGATGGAAGATCTTTCTCTCTGTAACTCTGCCATTCAGATGAATAAATCTCAAAGAAAAAGTGATACTGGTATCTCCTTTTTAGGGCAGAAATTTTGAAACAGGTTCACATAAGAAACTTTGGGATCTGGCCTGATACAGTAACCTAGTGGCTAAATCCTCCCCTTGCATGCACTGGGATCCCATATGGGTGCTGGTTCACGCCTCAGCTGCTCCATTTCCCTTCCAGCTCCCTGCCAGTGGCCTGGGAAAGCAGTCAAGGATGGCCCAAAGCCTTGGGACCCTGCACCCACACACATGGGAGACCCAGAAGAAGCTCCTGGCTTCTGGCTTTGGATCGGCTCAGCTCTGGCTGTTGCAGCCACTTAGGGAGTCAATCAGTGGATGAAAGATCTGTGTCTCTCCTTCTTTCTGTAAATCTGCCTTTCCAATGAAAGTAAATAAGTATTAACAAAACCAAAAGGAAACTTGAGGATCACAAGCATGGGAGAGACACTGCTGATATATCAGCCTAACCCCCGGAAGCAGTAACAGTATCTCTGCATAACAGGAAATGCTGATGTCTTTCTCAACATCCACAAAGTTTGTACCACCACACTGTGATTCAGAAGTGTGTTTCGTGGCTTCCTCCAATGAGAACATCCTATAGATACTGACCTTCACACTGACAAGTCTGTTACTCAAAAAAAAAAAAACTTTATCAGCAACCATTCTGCCATGTCCTCTGTTCTTATTTGAACCTGTACAATGATTCTCCGTATAAAATAATATTTGAAATATATAGATCTTCCCAGCAATGTTCAGCAGAAAAAAAAAATTTTAAACTAGGTTAATTTCTCCAGCGGATATACCAGGAGCATCACACCGGCATCTCGCCCAGAGCCAGGGGAAGGCGCGGGTTTGCACCCCAGACCACAGCCTCGCTGTTCGAGCTTGCTTGCAGCCTCCAGCGGCCGGCTCAGCGTGCTCCCCTGCTCCCGTCCCCGACGGCGGGGCGGGCGATATGGGGCCGCGGGCGGGGGATGTGGGGTCTCGGGTGGGCGACGTGGGGTCACGAGGCGGGGACGGGGGTCTCGGGTGGGCGACGTGGGGTCTCGAGGCGGGGACGGGGGTCTCGGGTGGGCGACGTGGGGTCGCGGGCCGGGGACGGGGGGTCTCGGGTGGGCGACGTGGGGTCGCGGGCCGGGGACTGGGGTCTCGGGTGGGCGACGTGGAGTCTCGGGTGGGCGACGTGGGGTCGTGGGCCGGGGACGGGGGGTCTCGGGTGGGCGACGTGGGGTCGCGGGCCGGGGACTGGGGTCTCGGGTGGGCGACGTGGAGTCTCGGGTGGGCGACGTGGGGTCGCGGGTGGGCGACGTGGGGTCGTGGGCCGGGGACGGGGGGTCTCGGGTGGGCGACGTGGGGTCGCGGGCCGGGGACTGGGGTCTCGGGGCAGACCCAAGGGCTCCCTCCCCAACGAGCCTACCTGCGCTCGGGCGCCTTCTCCGGGGGCTCGGCGGCGGGCGCCTCGGGGGGCTCGGGGACTTCGGGGGGCTCAGCGGGCTCCGGCGGCCTGCGGGGCTCCCGTCCACGAGGAAGGACGGCGGCGCCGGCGGCCCTGGCACCGACACCCGGCCTGACATTCGGCTTCACGCTAAGGCGTGCCCTGCGGATCATGGCGGAGCCCGGGGGCCCGGGGAGGAGGCCCCGAGCCCCGGCCCCGGCCCCGACGCCAACGGGTTAGGAACGACTCTCCCCTCCCCGAGCAGGCAGCTACCGCCGCTGCGCGCCCCCGCCACCGCCGCCGTTCGCCCACCGCCGCCTCTTCTTCATGACCCTGCCGCAACAAGCTACCTCCCTCCTCCCCGGCTCCCCCACCTTCAGAGGGCGACGGAACCGCTGCGTCATCAGTCCGCGCCGCGGAGAGCGTCAGGCGCTGGGCGCCGGGAGTCATGGCAACTGCCAAGCGCCTCGGCCTGGAAGGCGGGTGAGCGGGAAATGGAGAAGCTTTCACTGCGCCTTACCGCCTTCTCGAACGCGTCCTGAGGAGTTTTTGAAAAGAGGGAAAGGAGGCCGCCTGCCCCTCAGATGGATGCTGGTTTTTAGAGGCCCCTGAAAAGCAATTTAATCGCCCGCTCACCAGTATGCATCAGGGATCAGAACTTCCAATGGAGGAAAAACATACATGAGCATCGCTGCTGTGAAGGAACTGGTAAAGGTTACCGCACGGGAGAGAAACTGGGTTTCGGAGAAACATCCTTCAACGTCTGCCCTTGTGTGTTTTTTATTTAATATTAATGTATTACCCTCCCACAAGCCTTCATTAAGTCGAGTATTCACCTGCCCTGGGAGGTTGCAGGAAAAAGCTGAATGGAACTTTCTGGCTAGAAGAGGCGAGCATACAGCAAGTAAATAAACAATAACTGAAGAATGTGATACATTGCCGTAAAAGTATTTGTTAGGAAAAACAGCTAGAGAAGAGAGATGAGCTTATCCCTGTCCCGCCGACAGGACCACAGAAATGGTGATGCAATTTCCCCCCATACGTTGGAAAAAAAAAGCCCTGGCCCTCTCCTTGGAAGCAAAGAGAATTCTGCCGGAACATCCTGTTACATTTGTAACAAGAGGTCAGAAGCATTGGGCGGTGAACCTTTTCTTCCATTCCAAGGGAGGAGACAAGGGCAGTGGCTCTGAGAGCAGCGGGGCCAGACTGCGCTGAAGCAGCTGTTCCTCCGAAAAAGGGGCCGCTCCGAGGGCTGGATTCCTAGCAACGCGACAGACTCCAGAGGCGTGGAAAGAAGCCCGAGAACTTGCGGAAGAATGCAACTGAGCTTCCTGGGGAATCCTGACTGCCAGGCCCAGGCACCTCTGAACAGACTTTTGAAACAAACTACAGATGAATAAGGCCTTTGCACTGCAAAGTCCAGGACATACCCACAACCTCGCAGTCGGGCAGTCATTAATGAGGAGAATTTAACTGCCTACCAGGAAAGGGGTGGAAATGAGATCTAACTTTTATGATTGATTGTGAAGCCATAATGTGTTTGTTCACACACTCAAGTTATGCAGCATCTGATATTCTTTTTTATCTCTATTTTTCCTTAGTAATACATCCAATGTATTGTACCTGTCATGTGTACCCCTACATCTAAAAAACCTTTCAACTGTAAATAACTCAAGACTATAAACCGAGGAGAATACAGAAATAATGTTATCACACTCACCTTGCTTTCCCCTGTATGAGCAGCTATCTCAAAGTGCAGCCCCTCTCCCTGCCCAAGAGGAGGTTTGCCAAGTGGAGAGGAGGAGCGGCGTGAATGAGTAATAACAGCCAGGGTGGCTGGCTGTCATTGTGAGATGGGCACTTTGGTACGTTACACACTGCCAATGTGTGAAGTGCAATGACCTGCTGCTTTTAGAGCTTGAGGAGGCTCCAGTGCAATGAAATCATCTACCCAAGGTGACATAACCGCTGACTGGTAGAGCTAAGCTTTCAAAGCTGACGTTCTAATTGCAGAGCCCTCACTCTGCTTCCCACCTCTTCTGAAGTAGGTAGTTTAATGACAGACTTGTGCATGTGGAAACGCTGAAGTCTGGCCATGCGCACTTGGAAGTACACTACAGAACCTTCCATACTTCTGCAGCTAGTTGAAATCCTCCAAAACAAAGAGTTTGGAAAAAAGTAAGCGGGCATTTGTCCTGAGAGCCATGTTTGCGGGTTTAAGACACCCACATCCTATATCAGAGTCGCTGGGGGTTTCACAGGCTGCCCTGGGTCCTGCCTCCAGCTTCCTGCAGTACAGACATGTGAAGGGGCAGAAATGACAGCTCGAGTCACTGGGTTCCTGCCACCCCATGGGAGATACAGGGCCTCCGTTTCTAACTTGGCGAGCGCAACAGTGGATGCTTTCTCGAAAATAAAGTTAAGAGCAAAAAAAAAACCCACTTTGCAATTTTAGGGTGTCCACACCATCTTTTACTATTATTCATTTTTATTTGAAAGTCAAAGACCAAGACCGGAGACCACAAGGAGGTAGGAGCTTCTTCTGGGTCTCCCACGTGGGTGCCAGGAGGCCAAGCACTTGGACTGCTTCCCAACAGAAAGTTGTATCAGTAAGTGGACAGCCAGGACACACACCAGTATCACATAGGATGCTGATGTCATCGCAGAAAGAGACTTCACTTGTTGCTCCACAAGACAGCAGGCCCCCACTCTGCTTCTCAATAACAGAACCAAAGAAACCGCTGGAGCATTCTTACAGGTGTTCAAAGGCAGCCTCCTTCCTGCGTCTGAATGAAAGCTAACATTCTTCGATAAGAAGTTTGATGCCGCTGAACGGCTGGTGCACACGCGCCTAGCTTTGCATCGCGCGGAATGCACCCTGCAAGCAGAGCAGCGCGGCCACTCGGTGCTCGCGGCCAGCACCTGCCCTCGCGCGCACGCGCAGCGGCCCTTGGAGCGCGCCGAGACGGTTGGCAGGGGCCCCCGGCCAAATGCCCGCGCGGGTGTCGCCTTCCAGGGAGGCCGGTGGCGACTGGCGCTGAGTCGCTCCCTTGCAGGCTCCGTTCGGCATGGCCCGTGAGTCTGCGGAGCGCTGGGCGAGGCGTCCGACCAGGGAGCATAGCAGGGAGGCGGGGCGAGGACTCCTCGCTACCGGCAGTGGAGTGACAGGGACGCACGTGGCTCCCATCCTCCTCGGGTGGTCGTTTGCACGGCCCCAGCGAGGATCCGGACCAGGAGCTCCTGCTGAGTCGTCTTTGGTTACAGGGCCTTGAAGATTAATAATGTTTTAATAAGGTCTGCCCTTGCTGGCTTTTAACAGTAAAGCTGTGATGGGCTGAACTTGTGTAAGCCGTGGTCTCTGTATTTCTGACCTTTGTCTTTCTACCCCATGCCAGCCATAAGCCAAAACTGACTTTGGGATACTGGCCCCAACAGTATCCCAAATGCCAGTTGTCCAGGGTAGCTTTGGCTTGATATTACTGTTAAACCTTTAAGCTACCTACCTCCTGATCTGATCAATTGCAGTTCTTGACTCAAAAAGCAAAGCAAAGTTCACACGCTTTTTTTTTTTTTATCAGAACTTTTTGGTAGAATCACTTTGGGACATGAGAGAAAGAGCCATGACTGTTTGCCTTTGCAGGTGGAAATCAACGGGAACTTGCCCGCCAAAAAAACATGAAGAAATCCCAGGAGATTTGCAAGGGGAAACGAAAAGAGGACAGCTTAACTACTTCTCAAAGAAAGCAGAGGTGAGTGGCATGAATGGCATTCTGTAGTGACAGCCAGGCCTTCGAAGATGACCAGCATTTGTTCAAACACTTGGTGAATTGCAGGAAAAATGGGCGATAAGGGGTAACCAAGACATGAACATGGGTTTTGTTCTGGGCCTGCCCAAAACACGTGGGGTAGTTAGGATCCAGGCTCGCAGGTGAAAACAACTCTAAACAACGTCACGCAGCTTCTCCAAGTCCAGCTGTTAGAACTTCATCTGGCAAGATAATGGTATGCATGATATTGTAAGACACTGTCTTGTATTTCCAGGAAGCTAGGAGCCAGTTCCCAAAGCAGACAGCCTACCCCATTACACTGCGTGACAAGTATATGTATGTTGTTGCCTGGAGACCAGAAGACTGGTTCAGAGAGGGAAGGCAGACTGTATATGACAAATGTTACAAAGCTGCTACAGAGATAGTTTGATGAAAAACCAAACAGAAAAGGTTAAAAACAAAGTGATGTACTTAATGAAACTTAAATAGTCACTCTCTTTGAAAAAAGGTAACTAGACACAGGACGAGGGGTTAAGATGCCAGCTGCCTGGGTTCAATACCACCCAGGCCCCTGACTCCAGCTTGCTGCTGAGGTCAGTGCCGGGTGGCAGTGGGCACAGTGTCAGCTCAGGTAAGCGGGACCCTGGTGTGTTTGTGGGAGACCTGGCTCCCAGCAGGAGTGAACCAGCGGATGGGAGCTCTCTTGTTTTCTATTCCACCTTCTATCAAATAATTTTCTAAAAGATGACCAAAGCTCAAACTCATTCTAAAATCTTGCCATCCAGGTGGATATTGGAGATGAGCTGGACAATTGGCTGCCCATGTTCAGTGTGGGCCATCAGTGGTTCCACTGGCCACGCGCACTAGAATCATCTGGGGCACGCCTCAAGTCTGTGTCCAGGTGTGATGAAATGCCCTGAGGTCAGCAGAATGCTACGTCTCCTAGGTTATACCTTGCACAGGTGGTTCTCCAATGCAGTTTCCATTAGGAGTCAGCATCAGTACCAACACTGTGGCACAGGCAGCTTACAGCAGTGATGGGGGCCGCATCCTCTGTTGGTGGCCAGTCTGAGTCTTTTCTGCTTCCAGTCCAGCTCCCTACTAGTGCCTGCCCCATAATGGGCAGTAGGTGATAGCCAATTCCTCGTGTCCCTGTCACACTGATGGAGCTCTGAGCTCCTGGCTTCAGCCTGGCTCAGGCCACCTCTAACTCTCATGGGCATTTTGGGGGATTGAACCAGCAGATCAAAGATCTCACTCATTCTCTCTTCCTCATATTCCACCCTGCCCCTCCCCTCTCTACCTCTGTCAATCTGGATTTCTTACAAAATAAAAAAAAATAATAATAATAAGGTTTTTATTTCATACTTTGATTCAGAGATTTTAAAAAAGGTTTATTTATTTTTATTGAAAACGCAGATATACAGAGAGGAAGAAAGTCAGAGAGGAAGATCTTCCATCTGATGATTCACTCCCCAGCCTGCCGCAATGGCTGGAACTGAGTTGATCCGAAGCCAGGAACCAGGAACTTCCTCCAGGTCTCCCACATAGGTACAGAGTCCCAAGGCTTTGGACCATGCTAAACTTCTGTTCCAGGCCACAAGCAGGGAGCTGGATGGGAAACGGGGCTGCTGGGCTTAGAACCAGCACCCATATGGGATCCCAGCGCATTCAAGGTGAGGACTTTAGCCGTTACACTATAACACCGGGCGCATTCAGTGATTTTTTTTTTAATATTTTTTATTGGAAAGTCAGAAATACAGAGAGAAGACACAGAGAGAAAGATTATCTGTCTGCTGGTTCACTCCACAAGCAGCTGCAATGGCTGGAGCCAAGCTGATCCAAAGCCTGGAGCCAAGCTGATCCAAAGCCTGGAGCCAGGAGCTTCTTCTGGATCTCCCATGTGGGTGCAGTGTCCCAAGGCTTTGAGTCATCCTCTACTGCTTTCCCAGGCCACAAGCAGGGAACTAGAAGGGAAATGGAGCAGCTGGGATATGAATCAAGATATTTATGATCAAAGTAATGAGCTTTGCCTTAAATTTGTTAAATTTGTTCATATTCCAATATGAGCATGGTATTGACCAGTGGATCCTGACAGTATATTTTCCATTTGAGAACGTGTCCCTCTCTTGAGGTGGAAAGGACACAGTCACTTCAGCCATGACCCACGCCCTCCTGGCATCTATATTAGCAGGAACCTGGAGGTAGGAAGCAGAGGTGAACGTTGAGGCTGGGTACTTCAATATCAGATGCAGGTATATTAACCAGACCTTGACATTTTTCAATGATTTTTTTTTTTATTTGAAGTCAGATTTACAGAGAGGAGAGACGGAGAGAGCTCTTCCATCTGCTGGTTCACTCCCAAATGGCCACAACAGGTGAAGCTAGCCAATCAGGAGCCAGGAGGCTTGTCTAGGTCTTGCATGTGTGTGCAGGGTCCCAAGGCATTGAGCCATGCTGCATTGCCTTCCGATGCTGCAAGCAGGGAGCCAGGTTGAAAATGGAGCAGCCAGGTCTAGAGCCAGTGCCCATATAGGATGTTGGTGCTGCAAGGCAGAGGATTGGCCTTATGAGCCACCATACTGGCCCCTGTACCAGCATTTTAACCATTAAGCCAAACGCCCATTACTGGATATACGTTTGAAAATGGGGTTTATGGAGCACCTGGCCTCAAATGTTTGTAGTTGATACGACATGTAGTGATTCAGCAAGAAATGCCAAGAGTAAAGTCGGGGCCCAGCTGGGCCAGTGCCTTGGCTTAGCAAGTTAATTTTCCACCCTGTGGCGTCAGCATCCCAAATGGGTGCTGGATTGAGTCCCAGCTGTGCAACTTCTAGTACAGCTCCCAGATGGAACCAACATATGGAAAAACCTCCTTTTCTTTCTCTCTGCAAATCTGCCTTTCCAATATAAACAAAACAAAGTGAGCTGCTTTGCTATAGTGCAGTTTGTGAATCACAAACTGTTTGGGGATGGGCACATATGAGAAACCTTAATTCTGGGTACCAGGTAGAATATCTAGGAGTCGTCTTATCTCTTCTTTCAGGGGTAAAAAAAAAAAAAAAAAGAACTAGAGTGGGGCCAATACATTGGCTCAATTAGCTGACTGTCAAGCACCTGTCATGATGGCATCAGATTGTGTCCCTGCTGCTCCACTTCAGATCCTTGCTTGTGGCCTGAGAAAGCAGAAGATGGACCAAAGCCTTGGGACCATACACCTATATTGGAAACCCAGAGGAGACCTCTGGCTCCTGGCTTTGGACCAGCTCAGCTCTGGCCATTGTCACCATTTGGGGAGTGGACCAATGGATGGAAAAGTTTTCTCTCTGTCTCTCCTTCTCTTCTGTATCTCTGATGCTCAGGTGAAGTAAACAAATCTTTAAATTCCACAATATTAAAAAAACAACCTAACTCCTATATCCTTTTAACACCATATGGCATGAAATTTCCACCTTTTTAGTGCTCTTAATTTTTCAAAAAAATGTTTATTGCTTTATTTATTTGAAAGGTATTGGCCCGGCGTGGTGGTCTAGCAGCTAAAGTCCTCACCTTAAATGCGCCAGGATCCCATATGGGTGCTGGTTCTAAGCCCAGCAGCTCCACTTCCCATCCAGCTCCCTGCTTATGGCCTGGAACAGCAGTCGAGGATGGCCCAAAGCCTTGGGAGACCTCCTACACCCGCATGGGAGACCTGGAAGAAGTTCCTGGCTCCTGGCTTCGGATCAGCACAGCACTGCCCATTTGCGGTCACTTGGGGAGTGGATGATTGGATGGAAGATCTTCCTCTCTGTCTCTCTTCCTCCTCTCTGTATATCTGACTTTGCAATTAAAATAAATAAATCTTATTTTTAAAAGGTAGAGTGACACAGGCATAAATACAAAAACCAAAAAAAAAAAAAAATTCACAAAATTTAAAAAAAAAGGGACACAGGCAGAGAGACGCAGAATAATCTCCTGTCCTTTAATTCGGTCTGCAAATAGCTGCAAGTGCTATGGCTGGACCAGGCTGAGGTCAGGAACCAGGAACCCCATGTACTTGGTTGATAGGAACTTCAGTTATTAGAACTGTTATCTGCTGTTTCCCAGGTGCACTAGCAGGGAGATGGCTAGTACATGGAGTAGCAGGCCCTGAACTGTCCCTCTGGCATGGACTTTGCATGTTCCAAGTGACAGCACAGACTGTGACCTCACAGTATGCACCCCCTAGGACCATTAATGTAATACTTTAGGGTCCTGCACAGTGGCTCAATTGACTGATTCTCCTCTTTAAGTGCCGGGATCCCAAATGGATGCTGGTGTGTGTCCCAGCTGTTTCATTCACACTTCATTCAGTTACCTGCTTATGGCCTGGGACAAGCAATGAAAGATGGCCCAATGCCTTGGGGCGCTGCATCCACATGGGAACCCTGGAAGAAACCCCTGGCTTCTGGGCTGTAACACCAAATAGTAAAAACCAATTAGGCGAGGCCACTGTTCCTTGCCAGGACTGGAGGTAGACTAAGTCAGTCTGGGCAAAGCCCCCACCTGTGTGCACACAAGCTCTGCCACTGGGAGGAGGCCTGATGGAGGAGCTTAGAGAACTCCTCTGTCAGGACACAGGCTCTGCAGGTGACCACAAGGACCACAGCTCGGAGCAGCCCAGCCCAGGCCAGGTTACAGTACACTCCAGCCTACGCGTGAGTCAGGTGTGTGGACAGGCTGGGTCGAGCCAGTTCATAACACGCTCTGGCATATCTGAGAACCAAGACAGGTTAACTCTGGTAGCCAGATGGTTGTCATTGTTTCTGTCTCTACCTGCCTGATATCAAATACCTTGATTTATATTCATAGCCAGGTCTTTGAACAGCCGCGATAGATATTGCTTCAATTTTGAAAGGGCTTTCAGGTTATTTTCTCAAGATCATGGTAACAATAGGGATGATATCCAAATTAAGTCAGCCTTTGAAGATTTTGAGTGTTTTTTTTTTAAGATTTATTTATTTTTATTGGAAAGGGAGATTTACAGAAAGAGAAGGAGAGACTAAGATCTTCCATTCACTCTCCAAACACTTTGCGATGACTGCAGCTGAGCTGATCTGAAGCCAGGATCCAGAAGCTTCCTCTGGGGCTCTGATATGGGTGTAGGGACATGAAGCTTTGGGCCGTGCTGTGCTGCTTTCCCAGGCTGTATGTAGGGAACTGGATGGGAAGTGCAGCATACAAGAAGTGAGGTGGCGCCCAGATGGGATGCCTGCCCTTGAAGGTGGAGGGTCAGCATGTTGAGCCACCATGGTAGCCACAGCTTTTTCAGTTTTTTTTTTTCATTCTTTCTTCCTGCATGAAATCAGGCATGTCATTTTCGTTTTCTTTTGAATGTCATGTGTCATCTGCTAAATGGGTCCTGTGTAGAATGCAAGTCCTCCCATTTCCACTAAGAGACTTCTGTCTTCTTGTAGGGACTCTGAGATCATGCAACAGAAGCAGAAAGTGGCTAACGACAAGAAGGCTTTGCAGACAAGAGAAAAGTGAAGTGTCCATGCGGAGCACCTACTGCCAGCTGGGTGCACCATCAACTCTCACCGGAGCAAGATTTTACAGGAGGCACCAGCACTCATTACATGTGCCATAACTTGTTATAAGCTGTCTGTTTTAAAGTTTGTGTTTCACTCTGGCTGTGATGTCTCTGAACCATTCACCAAAGAATAAAACACTACGCATGCACGTGTCACGTTGCTGAACATTGTTTTAGCAGCAGTGCACCTTTAGATGAGTGGATTGTGTAACGTGATCAGACGGTAGTACTTCTTGTCATAAACCTTTAAAGCAAATTTTATTTAATAGAACTTAAGATCCCTTTATATAAGTTTGCTTTGTAAATAAGTGGTTACTGCACAAACCAGATAGCGCAGACCACCTGCAGGGGTACATAGAAGGATTCACTAATACTGATCTCTGCTTGCACTGGTTTTTTTTTTTTTTTAATTTATTTTTATTGGAAAGTCAGATATACAGAGAGGAGTAAAGACAGAGAGGAAAATCCTCCTTCCGCTGATTCACTCCCCAGTGGCTGCAACAGCCAGAACTGAGCCAATCCAAAGCCAGGAGCCAGGAGCTTCTTCCGGGTCTCCCTTGTGGGTGTAGGGTTCCAAGGCTTTGGGCTGTGCTCAGCTGCTTTCCCAGGCCACAAGCAGGGAGTTTGATGGGAAGCAGGGCCACCGGGGTTTGAACTGGCGCCCATATGGGATGCTGGTGTGTGCAAGGCCAGGACATTAGCTGCTAGACTACCACACTAGGCCCAGAGTTATATATATAGTGTGTGATTAATGACCAAAAGCCTCATTTATTTGTACAATGGGTGATATGAGCATAGAGACTTTTCCCAGCGCTGCCATGATGCTAGACCTCAGCCGCAGGTAGGATGAAAGGCTGCAAAAATTCCAAAGAAGGCCCGCAGCAAAGCACGCAACACTGGACACTGTGGCAGTCCTGCGATTTGGAAGCTCCATGTTCTGCATCTTCCTTCCTGGAGCCTGAGCAGTCTAACCCTCCTCCTTAGGAGGAAAAGCAGGCCTCGCGGTCCAACTTTTAAATCTACTTGTACAGACACTAGCTTTTCTACCTTTGTCTGTGCTGACCAGGTCATGATACATGCAAGTGGCAGAAAGTTAAACTTGTAACGTGTACTAAAATACTATATATTATTGTGATCATTACTATGGTGGGGAGGGTGGTGAGAGAGGAAAAGGAGAGAGGAAGGGGTGGGGTCGATTTCTGTATTTACAAAAATGTACTGAGGAAAGCAAAATGAAAACAAACAAGCAACTACGGGAAAGGAACTCCTCATGGTAGGGATAAAAGGAGCCCAGTCAGTACCGGCTTCCACCTGCTGGGCAGCACTATAGAGACCAGGTATCAATAAGCCCTCACAGAGGACGGCGCTTGAGTGACGCATGCCCTAAGGGTGCAGGTTCGAGTCCCTACTGCTCCGCTTCCCATCCAACTTCCTGCCTGAGGCTCAGGTCCCTGGGACCTTGCACCGGCGTGGGAGACGCAAGAGAACCAGGAACTTCTTCCAGCTTTTCCTCCACGTGGGTGCAGGGTCCCACGGCTTTGCGCCGTCTTCTGCTTTCTCAAGCCACAAGCAGGGAGCCGGATGCGAAGTGGAGCAGCTGGGATGGGATCCCGGCGCGAGCAAGGCGAGGACTTCAGCTAGCGAGCCACCCCAGCACGTTAATCCGCGCGCCTTTCATGTAAACACAACCACAGAAACTCTGGCAACTGGATCCAATAAACCAGGACGCGGAGAGACGCGCACTTCCGCTCCCAGGAGCCCCGGCGGCGCCGGAAGTCGTCACTCCCACAAGGCCCCGAGCGGGCGGCGCGCTGCCTTTGGGAAGCTCACTTCCTTCGGGGAGCTCGCCATGTCGGTGAGCGGCGGTGGAGCTGGCTGCGGCCCCGAGCCCGAGGACTCGGTGCTGTTCCGGCGGGGCACAGGCCAGGTGCGCGAGGTGGCGGCGGACGCGGGAGGCCCGGCCAGCTCCGGCCTGCCCGGCTGGGCCAGCCGCTGCCCGCGTGGTCCGGCTCGAGCAGGGCGGCGTGCGGGGTCGGGGTCCCTGGGTGCCGGGTGTGTTTGGGCATCTTGAGCCGGCATCCTCGGAAGAGCTGGAGGACGGGGAGGTGGGCGGAGGTGGGGCAGGGAGGATGCCCGTGACCGCCTGTCGTGGCTGCTTGTGCCTGGGCGCACAGCGTGGTCGACTGCGCATCCTGTCCTCAGAGAACCCCCATCCACTGTGTGGCACCCCCACATTAGCCTGCCTTTTCCTGCGGCGATAGAACAGTGCACCACGCGACGTCTGACTTGTCTGGCCGTGTACTGATGTGTTGGATAGTAGTATCCTATTGCATATTGCTATGCTGTTACTGTTTTCGTTTGCTCGTTCATGAGCATTTGGGTTTTGTTTGTTTTTTTTTTTCTCTTCTTGTTTTCAGGCAGTCATATGCAGAACTGCTGTGGGCATTCGTGTCCGACACTTACTTGGGGAAATAGTTAGGCGGTAGGATAGAGGCCACTTCTCCACCTGCTGGTTCACTCCCCAGATGCCTACAGTAGCAGGTAATGGGCCGTGGCAGAGCCAGGTTCCCAGAACTCTCAGATGAGTGTCAAGCATCTGAAGTCCTTCAGCCCTCATCTGCTGTCTCCTAAGGGTGCGCAGGATCAGGAATGCCCGAATTCAGACCGGAGCAGGCCCTCGAGTATTGGGTGCTGCAGCCTTTGTCTTTGCTCAATGCCTTCTCTCAAAGGCCGCCGCTCACCGTGTACCTTTGAGAAGTTACCAGGGGGTCTGCGCGGTGGCCCAACTGGCTAACCCTCCACCTCCAAATTCCAGGACCCCACATGGGTGCCAGTTTGTGTCCCAGCTTCCCCGCTTCCCATCCAGCTCCTGCTTGTGTCCTGGGAAAGCATCAGAAAATGGCCCAAAGCTTCGGGACTCTGCACCCGAGTGAGAGACCTGGAAGAAGCACCTGGCTTTGGGTCAGCTCCAGGTGTTGCAGCTACTTGGGGAGTGAGCCAGTGGATGGAAGATCTTTGTCTCTCCCTCACCTATAGCTCTACGTTTAAAGCAGGTGTAGCACATTCCAACCAACAGTGTGTAATGTTCTATTTGTTCCACATTTTGGGAATGCCTGGTATGGTCAGTCTTTTATACATTGTAATATTAGAGTCTGCCATCTTTTTATTTGAAATATTTATTTGGAAGGCAGAGCTTCAGAGAAAGAGATTTTCCATCCGCTGGCTCATTCTGCAAACAGCAGCAACAGCTACAGCTGGACAGAAGTCAGTAGCTAGGAGCTCTGGGTCCCCTGACAAGAGTGGCAGAGGCCCACGCATTGAGTTCATCATGGAGTGCCTTCCCAGGTACAGTGGAGCCTTGTGGAGAGAGAGCTGGTTTGGAAGCAGAGATATTCCAGTCCGGGATGCAGGTGTCCCGAGTGGCAACTAAACCCTCCGCACCAGAGACAGGCCCCTCCACTGCACCTTTAGTCTGATCCGAGAAGGAGCTGAAATGGGCGCTGGGCTTAAACTACCTGCTCACAGTTGATGAATAGGAACTAGATTGTGGCACATTCATTTGGTAATATACCTCTCAAGATATGGATTCATGTCTGGCTGTGGGGGTGAGCTTACTGATGGCATCTCAGCAGGTCGGCTGTGGCTTTTCCCTGGGTTTAAGATGCCCGTTGTTGGTGTGGTTTGGCCACGCTGCGTTAGCACGGCTGTGGGTTCTGTCGCGCGCGCACGTGTTCACAGCAGCCTGTGTGAGCATGAATGGTGTGTTTATTTCTTCCTCTTCCCAGAGTGATGATTCTGACATTTGGGATGACACGGCGTTGATAAAGGCTTATGACAAGGCTGTAGCATCATTTAAGGTATGGACTTGTTTATTCACTCATTTGCTTTCTTATTCAAGTTGGATCAGAAGAAAAAGTCATCAGTGCCATATAGCAGAAGAGTGAAAGTTATCTTGTTTAGTTTTCATTTTGAATAGAAGATAATGTGAGTTAAATCAGATTTTTTTTTCTTAAGATTTGTTTACTTGACTGGCACTGACGGAGAGGTAGAGATAGAAAGATCTTCTCTGTGCTAATTTAGTCAGTCAGATGCCACAGCAGGCAGGTCCGGGCCAGGCCAAGGCCAGGGGTCAGGGACTCCAGCTGAGTCGCCCAGTGCAGGGCCGTTCTCTGCTGCGTGTCCAGGCCCATTGGCGGGGAGCTGGATGGGAAGCAGAGTGGTCAGGACTTGAACTGCTGTTACACACTGTGGCTTAGCCCACCGTGTCGCAGTGCCAGCCTCTAGAAGTTGTGGTTTTCTTAAAGTGTTGATAACCTGTCTAGAACGCCATTCCATTTGCAGAGGCAATTTAAGTAAAATGATTACGCATTTATTCCTCTTCATACTTTTTTATACTTAATACTTTTTAAAAGTGTTAAAGTATACAGGTCTTTACCATCTAATTAATAGGAAGTGGACAGTCCGAACTACAATTTGTTTAAAAATTGTTCATTTTTGTGAGAATGGAAGCTCAAATTTATAGACAAGAGGAAATACAGAGAGATCTTTCATTTGCTTGGTTCTCTTTACAAATGGCCATAACGCCAGAGCTGAGCTGAGCTGAAACCAGAAGCCAGAAACTTTTTCTGGGTCTCCCACGTGGATGTAAGGTCCCAAGGCTTTGGGCCGTGCTAGACTGCTTTCCCAGGCCACAAGCAGGGAGCTGGATGGGAAGTGGAACAGCTGGGACATGAACTGACACCCATGTGGGATCCTGGTGCATGCAAGGGGAGAACTTCAGCCACTAGGCTACTGTGCCGGGTCGGATGGGAAAGTTCTGTGAAATCCATGTTGAAATGGGTTTCACTGCGGGCTGTGATTGGTGGTATTGCACGGATAGATAGTCTGAAGAAAGGAGGGGAAAGCAGATTTTGAGGAAAAATAGTTTGGTCAGTCTCAATTTGACTGTGAAAATGTGAAACGGATCATTGGAAATGTTACATTGGGCCAAGGAGGAAACACCAGAGGTGGTCAGTCGCTTGCCTGGAAATCGTAGTTGATGCGCCAGAGGTGTATGGATTCAGCAGGGGAAGGAAGGCTACCCGCTGTTGAAGGCCTGCAACCCTCCCTCGGCGGGGAAAGTGCCGTGGAAACGAGGCCGGGAGCGAGCCGGCCTGACGGCAGGGCCTCCGGAGCTGCCCCTCGAGCTGTGAGGCCCACACACAGTTCCCACGGTGTGACCTGGTGAAGCGGGGCAGCCAGGGCCTTGGGGGTGAGAGGCCTTGAGACAGTCACAGTGTCCCGTTGTGTGACACGGCCGTTCCTGCTCCCCTGATCATAGCATGCGCTGAAGAACGGTGACGTCTGTGAAACTTCAGAGAAACCAAAACTCACACCTAGAAGAAAACCTGTGAAGAAGAATAAAAACCAAAAGAAGAATACCGCGGCGCCCTTGAAGCAGGTCTGTATATATTGGTTTTTTATTTATTTGAAAGTCAGAAAGAAAACACCTTCCATCCACTGGTTCATTTCCCAGACATCTGCAGCAGCTGAGGCCGGGCAGGGACAAGATGGGGAGCCCAGAACTCAGCGTCTGTGCCTCTCCCCCGAGTTCCTGAGCTGTCGCCTGCTGCGTGTCGGCAGGACGCTGGATCAGAAGCAGGGTGTCTCAGGCACTCCTGTGTTGGGCATTCCCACTGGTACTTACTCATCGCATCACATGCCTGCCCCGGAAACAGGTGCTTTGGTTTTGTTTTCCATAGGCTCAGGGATTTCCACTTCCATCCAAGGATTTCTTGTTACTGCCCCTAGTAAATAGTATAATAGAAAATAACTTCAGTAATTAGTACGTGTTATCATACAACTCCCAAAACAACTACTCACCTCTCTCTTCCATAGAAGTATGTGCTGTCAATAATAAAAAGCGTAGGGGTTAGGTGGGCAGGCTAGCTTGCTGGAATCAGGACTCTGTTTCCTCTGGGGTGGCAGCATGGGGGATGAGCAAGGGAATGCTATTTGGGAGTACTGAGGGCCTTGTTGTGTTTCTTTTTTTTTTTTTCTTAAGATTTATTTATTTATTGGAAAGTCAGATATACAGAGAGGAGGAGAGACAGAGAGGAAGATCTTCCATCCGATGATTCTCTCCCCAAGTGAACGCAATGGCCGATGCTATGCCGATCCGAAGCCAGGATCCAGGAACTTCTTCCGGGTCTCCCACACTGGTGCAGGGTCCCAAGGATTTGGGCCATCCTCAACTGCTTTCCCAGGCCACAGGCAGGGAGCTGGATGGGAAGCGGGGTCGCCGGGATTAGAACCGGCGCCCATATGGGATCCCGGTGCATCCAAGGCAAGGACTTTAGCTGCTAGGCCACCAAGCCGGGCCCTGTTTTGTTTCTTAAAGCTAAGAGATGGGTACCTTCTTGCTTCAAGAAGTTTTAAACTGTTATTTCCAAGGAACCAAAGAGCCTAAGTAGAATTCATGTTCGACCCCTGAGCAAAGAGACTCGGTCAGCTTTGTCATCGCCTCGGACGGAGAGGTGTGCCATTGGATGAGCATTTGCCTGTGTCAGAGCAGAGCACGGGACCGATGATGTGTCTCCTTCCTGCACACAGCAGGTGCAGGGGGTGCTCTCGTTAGTGTAGCCACTTCCAGTTGTGGAGAAGCCTTAAAGAGATGGAGGATTCCAGTGGATGTTTTGGGAGGCCACCCGTCATGCTATTTCATTGCTCCTTCCACATGCGTGAGTTGGGCCACTTCACCCTCTGCCCTCCCACCGACAAGGTGCTGGGCTGCCGCCTTTTCAAATCGTGCGTGCATGTGCGTGTTTGGGATGTGTTTTGTAGTGGAGAGTTGGCGACAAATGTTCTGCGGTTTGGTCCGAAGACGGCTGCGTGTACCCAGCTACCATTACTTCGATTGACTTCAAGCGAGAGACATGTGTTGTGGTTTACACTGGGTACGGGAACAGAGAAGAGCAGAATCTGTCCGACCTACTTTCCCCAACGTCCAAAGCGGCTGATGGCGTGGACCGCACGGCTCAGGAGGTGAGGGCACGGGTGCTTCCTTCCAGGGCGTGCAGCGAGCTGAGCGCCGCAGCAGCTGTGCGTCGGGAGGTGTTCATGTTTTCTTCCTACTGATTCCTGTGTAACAGAAGGACTTTTTGTTTTCCTTTTTTTCAAGAATGAAAATGAAAGCCAAGTTTCTACCGATGAAAGTGAGAATTCCTCCCGGTCACCTGGATGGAAACCCAATCACATCAAGTCAAAATCTAATCCTTGGAGCTCTTTCTTCCCCCCGCCACCCCCGGTGCCAGGGCCAGGCGTCGGCTCGGGCAAGGTAAACCTCCCAGCCAGGATGAGTCTCTTGGCAGCAGCACTGAGACATCGAACCCTCCATTCACGGATGTGTTGCTTTCCTCTGAGATGCCTGTCGCTGTCTTTGATGCTATGAATATGTGTTTTTTGAGAAGAAAATAAGTTTGTGGTTTTAAATAGTTGAAAGACTTGCCCAAATACTCCTGGGGGTCAGGGAGGGGGGCGGTGGAGTTGGGACTGATCAGTCAGCGAACTTGCTCAAGTTACAAAGGATAACAATACTTTATCCTCTGGGGCAATGTTACGCATGCGATGCATACCTGCAAAGGAGTGTATAAGTCACGTGGAGAAACTCTTGAGGTCTTCTGAGATTTTTTCATTTATGGCTCTTTTTGTTATTTATTGAAAGAAGGCGACTAGATTGTTATACGCTATGATATGACACCAAAAGCTATGTCCCAATCCACTTTTTTTTTTTTTTTTTAGTAAATCTGGTTTATTTTTCCTTGAATACTGTATGCTATTCAGACAATACATTTTTTTAAATATTTGATTTTATTGGAAAGTCAGATATACAGAAAGGAGAATAGAACTTCCATCTGCTGACTCACTCCCCAAGTGACCGCAACAGTCGGTGCTGTGCCGATCCGAAGCCAGGAGCCAGAAATTTCTTTGTTTTAACTTTTTCCATTTCTTTAAATTATATTTTTGACAATCTTTACATAGTTAATTTAAGGTAAAAAGGTTCAAGGGCTATAGGAAAATGGGTAAGACTGTTATTTCCATATTGTTTCCTTCATGTATCTGAGTAAAGGGGGGTATTAAGGGAGAAGCCTCACCCAGTCTCCCACCCATCCCATGTCCCTGATGTGGGGCATGCTCCAAGGGTCTTGCTCAGGTGGTGTTGATAGTTCACCAGTTCTGAATTGCTGCCAGTCTCACCACTCCAAGCACGATGAGGTCTTTGAAGAATTCACTGATTGACATAGTCCATCTTAGTATATTAACAGGAAGCTTAACTCACTTTGTCTCATTGTCACCCCCCTGTAATTTTTTTCCCCTAAGATTAATTTATTTTTATTGGAAAGGTAGATTTATAGGGAGAGAAAGGACAGAAAGATCCTCCGTGGGTTTGTTCACTCTGCAAGGGGCTGTAGTAGGCACAGCTGAGCTAGTCCAAAGCCAGGAGCCAAGAGCTTCTTTCAGGTCTCCCACGAGGGTGCAGGGTCCCAAGGCTTTGGGCCATTTTCTTATGCTTTCCCAGGCCACTTGCAGGGAGCTGGCTGGGAAGTGGAGTGGCCGGGACACGAAGGGGTTCCCGTTACCTGGAAAAGGGAGCATTAGCACTGGGCCTATGGTGTTTTTCTGTTGAGGTTTATAACATTAAGGTCTGTTGAATCTCAGAGGATCGGGGGCAAGTGTTAGATGCACTACTGAAGATGTCACTTGGCACGTTTGCATCCTGTGTTGTATCTGGGTTCTGCCCCAGGAGCTGCCCACAGGGCAGTGCCCGCAGTTCCCCTGCCAGGCCTGTTCCCAGCCCCAGATCTTGCACTTTCAGTTATTGCTGATACATAGAAAGGTGCTTTACAGAGTTTGTGGGAAATGGAGGTAAAAGATGTTTATTTTAGTGCATAAAATTTTGAAACACATTCATGAGAGGAGCTCTTTCAAACATTTATGGAAAGTGCACATTATGAAAAAATGGAGTTCAGAAATTTTTTTGCACAAAAACTTTTTCTGGGAATGTTTTAAAGCAATCATTTCATATTCTAGATAATTATTTATCATTTTGGTTTTGAACTGACATTGATGAATTAATTTGCTTTTGAAATATTCTTTGCAGCCAAGCCTAAAATTCAGTGGTCCACCGCCACCACCACCGCCCCTGCCACCCCATTTCATGTCATGCTGGCTACCCCCGTTTCCTTCTGGACCACCAGTGAGTACAAAAGAATTTAGAAAAACTACTTTCATATGTCATTTGTGTTTGAATGGAGTACAGGAGATTGGAATATATCTTTGACCATCCGTAGGGCTGGGATTTTTTTTTTTTTCTTTTTTTAAGGGGTATTTATTTGAGATACAGAGTGACAGAGTAAGAAAGCACTGCTTCCATTTGTCTATTCCTCAGGTGGCCTGGGCCAGGCCAAAGTGACGCGCGGTCCACCGCGCGGGCTTGAATCCTGTCTGCCGCCTCCTTCCTGGGGGTCTCAGCAGGAAGCTGCAGCAGAAGCTGACCAGCTGGGATTGACCAGGGTTCCAGTGGCCTGCCCCACGGGGCAGCGCTCTGATGGATGAAAATTAGAACTCAGCCTCCAGGGTTCGCTTTTTAATGCCACCCTGTTACCCACATGCTGGGCTTTTAAAGCCTCAACTCTGAGCTTCCTTCATTGACGTCTGTCCAGCTGGGAGGTTGTTCTTGTTAGAAAGCGTTTAATATGCACTATATATGAAGGTTTGATATTTTGCCTTCCTGCATATATTGGGATATTAGTTTCTGATTTTCCTAATGGCAGATTTTTAGGTATTACTAACTGTAGCAACACATTTTGACAAGCCGTATCTTGGGACAGATGTTCTACTTAAAACTTCAGCTTAGGTTACTCCTGGTAATGCATTCTGGTGTGTGGGTTTGCTTTAAGGAAAAGCAAGTGTTTATACTTGAACATTGATTGTCTGCTTTCTCATAGAGCAAAAAAAAAAAAAAAAACAATGTATTCACACCTAAATGTCCGAAAAGTGTTAAATACCACCTCTTTTTGTCTTTTAATCCCTGTGAAGGTTAGTTAATTTAGTTGATAGTTTTTGTTGCTATTGTTGACTCTCTCCAAACGTGGCTTTTTATTTTATGTGTATGTTTGAAAGGCAGGACGACACTGATTCAGTCCACGTCCACCAGATCTGCACCGGGCTTGAGGCAGAAGCCAAGTTCTCCCCCGTGGGTGGCAGGGGGCCAGGGACTTCCTAGGCGTGTTGGTAGGAAAATGCACTTGAACTGGCACTCCCATGTGGGATACCCACAGTGTAAGCAGTGCCTAAGGCTGTGTCGCTACAACGGCCCCGCCTGCCAGATGTTACTTAAAAAAAAAAAAATAGAAAAAGTACTGTGAGAAATAGGAAAACATAAAGTTAGCACTCAGCGAACCCTAGGTAGAGGGAATGTCCGGACTTCACAGTTTTGTTCACTGGATTTGAAATGTGCTTGTTTCCGTTTCCAGGTAATTCCCCCGCCCCCTCCCATGTTCCCCGACTCCCTGGATGATACGGACGCCTTGGGAAGCATGTTAATCTCTTGGTATATGAGTGGCTATCATACTGGCTACTACATGGTAAGCAAGCATTTTGGGGGAATTTCTTTGTAGTTGTGGCTTATTTTATGATATAAAAATAGCTTTTGTTATGTCGATCCTAAGAATTGAAAATTGCTTTGACGTTTAAAAAAATAAAACTATCAAAAGGCCCAAATTACTCCTTTTCAGTATATTTTTACATGTTTGTTACATAGGTGAGGGGGCTGCAGGCCCCTTGCCGGTCTCTGGGTGGGATGGGAGGGTGAGGGAGCAGGTCCCGTTCTCCATCCCTTGACCGTGGGGTCAGGGAGATGGAGATGTTCCAGCACTCTGCGTGTCTGGTCCCTTCAGTGTCAGGGGGCACGGCTGCTCCCCCTGGCTTCACCCAGGGATCCTGCCGGGGAGAGAATGGTGTTAGCTTCCTGGCATCAGCAATGAAACACCACTTCCCAGGCTTGCCAGCTGTCTGCGTCAGTGTATCCGTAGCCTTAGATGCTTGATGGAGAGCCTGTCCTGTAGCGTTGTTCAACCTGTGCTCTTTCTACTTTCTGGTGAGGCACCCAAGGTCTCTGTTGAATCAGAGGCCGGCTGTCCCATCCTTCGTGTGTATCACAGTATGTTGTCTCTCCTCACATGGGGTCAGCAATGGGGCAGCCCATTCCCACGGCCTGTGCTCCAGGGCCAGCTCAGGTATCTGGTGTTCCCTGAGGTTAGGGATCTAGTGGAATGGATCCCTGGCCCACTCCTAAGAGCCTCTACTGGGTTGGTCCCCAGATGTGGGTCTCATGGATGCTGTATTCTAGCACACTGCCAGACCCACTCTGCCCACTCAGTAGGACTCAGTAGGACCTGAGGCCTGGTCAGGGTGATCCTCAAGAACCCCAGCCAGGACTGTACCCAGACTGACCTGCAGCGCATGCCAGTGAGTGCTCTGGTGGATGCTATGGGTCTAACCTGACCTGCCCACAGACCTGGCTCTCACACACCAGGGAGTGCTGCGGCCTGGTCAAGGTAACTTCCCAAAACTTCATCCAGGCCTGTGTGCCAGTGGGTGCTGCAGACTAACCAAGACTGGCCCACCCCCAGCTCTGGTTCTTGCATGTGTTGGCAGATGTGACCCATAGATCCCATACTTGGCCCACTCCAAACCCTGAGTCTCTCATATGCCAGTAGGCACTGCGGCCTGGCCCAGCATAGCCTACCCCCAATACTCACTGATGGGTGCACATTTGGAAAATGTGACAAGGGCTTGGCGCTGTAGCCTAGCAGCTAAAGTTTTCACGTTGAACGTCCCGGGATCCCATGGGTGCTAGTTCTGGTCCCAGATCCTCCAGTTCCCTGCTGGTGGCCTGGGAAAGCAGTGGAGTACTGCCCAAAGCCCCTGCACCTTTGTGGGAGACCCAGAGGAGGATCTGGGCTCCTGGCTTCAGATCAGCGCAGCACCGGCTGTTGCGGTCACTTGGGGAGTGAATCCTCGGACGGAAGATCTTCCTCCATCTCTCCTCTCTCTATGTATCTGACTTATTTGCAATTTAAAAAAGTGACAAAAGTATTTTTAGGCCATTATATGTAGTATATGATGAAAGTAAGTCGTAAATGAGCTCAGAATGTTGTTGAACTTGGAGAAAGAAGAGAAATGTGTCAGGCGACAACCGCTGTGTTTACTTTGAAGGCCCCGTGGAGGCAGGAGCCGCCAACGTGCTTTGAGGTGACACTCATCAAAGGCTGTGGGTGTCCTACGGGAGCACGCCGAGGAGCCGCGTAAGCTGTGTGGGCTGTGTTTCTCACGTCCTTTCTTTCCCTTGCAGGGCTTCAAGCAAAGTCAGAAGGAAGGAAGATGCTCACATATCAATTAAGGAGTAAGTGGTGTCATTTTTTTTTTTTTTTTTTTTTTTAAAGATTTATTTTTATTATTTTTTATTGGAAAGGCGGATATACAGAGAGGAGAGACAGAGAGGAAGATCCTCCATCCGATGATTCACTCCCCAAGTGAGCGCAACGGGCCGATGCTATGCCGATCCGAAGCCAGGAGCCTCCTCCAGGTCTCCCACGCGGGTGCAGGTTCCCAAAGCTTTGGGCCGTCCTCGGCTGCTTTCCCGGGCCACAGGCAGGGAGCTGGAAGGGAAGCGGGGCCGCCGGGATTAGAACCGGCGCCCATATGGGATCCCGGGCGTGCTAGGCGAGGACTTAACCACTTGCGCCACCGCGCCGGGCCCAGTGGTGTCATTTTAAAGTGAACTCTCGCTCCACGTGCTTCTGGTTTGTGGTACACAGTGGTTGTGAGCATTTAAGCAGCAGAGTGTGGGAACATTTAACAAGGTAATGTAAATCATCAGGAAGGCACCTGGATGACAAAGCTGGTGAACCCAGGATGGAGCTGTGCCTCGCTGGGATCTTCATGGTGTTAGCGCGTCTTCACCAGCTATTTGGTTCTGTGAGAAAACAAAGCCACTCCTATGACGTATTGCATCCTGGCTGTGAATTGCAGTGCAGTAAGACGTGCAGCTTATTGCCTGTGGCGTGATCTGGTCTTCCGGAGCGTCACTGGGACCGAATTGATCCTTTAGAACTGATTCCCGTTTTCAGGAAGGCCAAGGGATGAGGCAGCCAGTGTTGACGTCAAGTAAATGGACAGATCCAGTTCCACATGGAATTGCAGAAAATAACAGCCCTCCTTTGTTCATATCCTCTGTTGTTTTACTATTAGGTAAATCATCACTTTTGTAAAAAGATTTATGTATTGATCTGAAAGGCAGAGTTACAGAGTTCGCTCCTACGATAGCCACAAAAGCCAGAGCTGTGCGAGGCCAAACCTAGAGCTCTTTCCTAGTCTGCACGTGGTGCTGAGGTCCAAGGGCTGCGTCATCCTCCGCTACTTTCCCAGGCTGTTAAACAGGGAGCTGGATTGAAGTGCAACAGCCAGGACTTGCGGCATCCTTGTGAGATGCTGACCCTCACATAACAGCTTTACCCACTGGACTACACGGCTGGGTGCACTGTGTGTAATGCTGTCCTGCCTTCTCAGCTACTGCTCCAACTGGGTACTCACCCATCTCCCCTGCCTTCTCAGCCACAGCCCCGCCCCTGGACACGCCCCCACCTACAGCCCCGCCCCTGGACACGCCCCCAGCTGCAGCCCCACCCCTGCACACGCCCAGCTACAGCTCCGCCCATGGACATGCCCCTTTCTGTACCTGCTGTAATGCATGGCTTTTCACATCATCTTTATTACTTACGTCTCTTCCTAGTGCTTAGTAGGAAGAACTTGTGGTTAGTGGAGGCTGCCATCCTATTCTTCCTTGTCTGCAGTATCTGGTATTATTTTTTTGTGAGATTGATGATGGGCTTAAAGATCAGTCATTTAACACCATGAGGAGTTGGGCATTCGAGCAGTTTCTTGCTAGTTTTCAGCGTTTCTGTTACGTTGTGCATGCACTAGGTGAATGGTTTTGAGAACTGAATTCAGGTCATAGTGTTTGACTTAGGGTTAATCTTAGGAACAATCTAACTTAAATACTGAGTAAAGGAGCATCACAGGCAGAAAAGAGCCAAGCCAGCCCGTCATCTGATGGACCAAGCCTGGTCACAAAGGGAAGACAGGGTTAGCTTTCTGATTTTTCTTGTTGTTAAGGAAAAAAAATCCTGGCTTCGGATCGGCATAGCATCGGCCGTTGCAGTCACCTGGGGAGTGAATCATCGGATGGAAGACCTTCCTCTCTGTATATTTGACTTTCCAATAAATAAATAAATCTTAAAAAAAAAAAGAATTTATAAAAAAAAATCCCAAGGTCTGTTCGACAGCTGCAGCATTAACTGTATTGAGCAGACAGACAGGAGCCGGGGCGATGGAGAGGCTGGTCGTCCCACGTGGCCCTGGCTGCTGCTCCGTTCCCCATCCAGCTTCCTGCTAACGGCCTGCAACAGCAGACGAGGATGGCCCAAGGCCCTTGGGGCTCCAGGCTTCTGCTTTTGCATCTGCTTAGCTCTGGCCATGGTGGCCATTTGGTGAATGAACCAGTGCATGGAAGACCTTCTCTTGAGAGAACCTACCTCCCCAATAAAAATAATTTTAAAAATTGTGAGTGGATAAATCACTGAGTTAAGTCAGGTTCTAGAGGTTAGCTTCTGTCAAAGTTTTGTTACTTTTAAAGATTTATTTATTTTTATTGGAAAGTCAGATATACAGAGAGGAGGAGAGACAGGAAGATCTTCCATCCGATGATTCACTCCCCAGGTGACCGCAACAGCCAGAGCTGAGCTGATCCAAAGCCAGGAGCCAGGAGCTTCTTTCCAGGTCTCCCACACGGGTGCAGGGTCCCAAGGCTTTGGGCCGTCCTCGACTGCTTTCCCGGGCCACAGGGAGCTGGATGGGAAGCAGGGCCTCCGGGATTAGAACTGGTGCCCACATGGGATCCTGGTGCAGGCAAGGCGAGGAGTTTAGCTGCTAGGCTACTGCACCAGGCCTTAAATGTACAGAGTTAGTGAAGAGTTTGAACATTATTGCCAAAGAGATGCTCTCCCTTGGCCAGACACCTCAAGCAGGAGGAGGTTCCCTCGCCCCAGGAGAGCTCCGTGCATTTCCGTGCCAGCCTACTCTGGCTTCTGTGAGCCAGGATGCCTGCCGCCTCTGGTGGCCCTTACGACCGTGGAGTCACCTGGTAAGGCAGAAGGTTAGTTGGCCTGAGGAGAAACGCGGGTGTGGCATGCACTCCAGTCCAGTCTTGTTTTTCAAGTATGATCGCTTCCCGGTTCAGCTTCAGCTGTTATCCTGAGATAACACATGTAGCATATTTCCAAGAAAAAAAGAAAGGTAATTTATACAGTTGGAGAAACTTTAAAAGCGATCTCCTAGGTTTCTATGTTCTGATGCATTTGTTCCTGGTTCCTGTGAGGCCGAGTTAGCTTTGAGCTGGGGTCTGCTTGCAGTGCAGTATTCTTGGTTAGCAGTGTGAAGAAGCTGTGCAGCTGGGTGCCTGAGCAGGACGGGGTCTGTGCTGCAGTAAGGAGTTAGAGGGAAAAAATTAAACCCTCATTTCATAAGTCTTGGTTTCAGGACACCATTGAGCATGAGTGAATATGAGTTGGGGTTTTATTGCAAATATTTAATATTTATGTATTTAATATTTATGTATGCATTTTTTCAAGAATTTTAAATAACACATGCATTTATAAGTAACATTAGCTATATTTTCTGAGCGATAGTATGTAATACTTATTTAATTCTGTGACTTGTCCAGTCAGATATAACCGTCGCATTTTACTGATGACAAGATGGTCTCGGGGAGGTGACATGGCTTTGGTCAGCGGGCTCCGTGTGTCTTCTGAATTCTCCCTGCAGCTCCCGGCGCCTCCGGTCGGCGTTGGCGAGGACCTGTGCACCCGGCTCCCCTGTCGGCCCCGCGGAGGATCTGGGCACGGCCCCGGGGGGAGCAGCCCGCACGGACATCTAAAGCGCCTTCTCCCCAAGTCCCTCGTCCCCAGGCTGCCCCCCGAGAGCCAGCTGTCTTGCCCAGGACCTGCACTCCGGCCTGCCTCTTCAGGACTCAGGAATGCTGCCGGGTCCCGGGGTCCCGGGTCTATGCTGCCGTCTGAAGTCACAGCCAAACGGAAGGGCGGGATGTCACGGGATGTCACGTTCACTGGCTGTGTCCATTGCTCGATGCTCGAAGATGGCCGACTGTGCCCTGTGTGCCATCTGTCCAGCAGCCCTTCCTCTCTGACTAGTAAGACTGGCTGGCTGGGACACAACGTTTTATCTTTGTCTTCGTGAATACCTGATGGGACAGCACACTTCCTCACAATTAATTTCCAGTTGTTGCGGTTCTCTAAAAACATTAGTCTCTTGTGGCTAACAGAAAATCTACTGAACCAGTGGTACTGTCCACGCGAGACTTCCCGAGCTTATAAACTTCAGCTGCGACATTGGGGGTCACTGGTGTTTTTCTACTTGGCAATAAAAAAGTAAAAAATTAAGTCTAGCCTCTGTTGAGTAGTTCTGTGGAACTATTCTTGTCTATTTTCGTATCTTTGTGTATTGTGAATTTGCATCCTGCCCTCGATTCCAGATCAGCACGCAGCACGCCTAATACAAACAGCATTACATGTCGTCAGGAATGAACTAGTTACTGCGGTGCTATTCATGCTTATCATTTAAAAACTCTCTCTTTCCATTGTTATTTTTCAAATAGTTTGAATCTATTCTTTAATATTTTAATGTTCTTTCATTTTTTAAGCACTGTTGCTCTGTTATGTCTGATAGTAAGACACGTATAAGTGGAAAGTGTAAGATACTATTATTTAATGACCATTGTGTAAGTATACATTTCACGCATGGATGGTGGGCCCTGTGCCATAGCCTAGTGGCTAAATCCTTGCCTTGCATCCTCCACCATCCGTATGGGCTCTGGTTTATGTTTTGGCTGCTATACTGCCAATCCAGCTCCCTGGCTGTGGCCTGGGAGAGCAGTCGAGGACGGCCCAAAGCCTTGGGAGACCAGAAGTAGATCCTGACTCCTGGTTTTGGACTTCTCGGCTCTGGCCATTGCTGCCATTCGTCTTTCTCTTGGGTGCAGGGTCCCTAGGCTTTGGGCCGTCCTCGCTGCTTTCCCAGGCCACAAGCAGGGAGCCGGATCGAAAGAGCATTCGAGACTCAGACCAGCACTCGTATGGAATGCTGGCACCACAGTGGAGAATTCAGGCCAAACTCGGAATGACTCATAAATCCCAGGTCTGGGTTTCAAGTGTGTCTACTGTGTTGTAGCTTACTTCTTTGATTCTTCCACATGCACCTCTTGGTCAAAGTGCAAGTTTGGAAAAAATGCGAGGTTAGGACTTTAGCTGTTAGGCTATCTTGCTAGGCCCCTATATTTAATTGTAAAAAAATGAAATTATCGGGCCCAGCTTGGTGGCCTAGTGGCTAAAGTCCTCACCTTGAACATGCTGGGATCCCATATGGGCACTGGTTCTAATCCCACAGCTCCACTTCCCATCCAGCTCCCTGCTTGTGGCCTAGGAAAGCAGTCGAGGACAGCCCAAAGCCTTGGGACCCTGCACCCGTGTGGGAGACCTGGAGGAAGTTCCTGGCTCCTGGCTTCAGATTGGCTCAGCTCCAGCCTTTGTGGTCACTTGGGGCTGAATCATTGGATGGAAGATCTTCCTCTCTGTCTCTCCTCCTCTATATATCTGACTTTCTAATAAAAATAAGTGTTTAAAAATGAAATTATCACATCAGCTTAATCATTACAAATGAGTTACATATAGTACATAGGGACTGAAAACATTATGACTCTAAACAACAGAAAAAAAAAACAAATGAACCTCTACAGAACTGCAGGTATTCTGGTGACAAATAAAAAAATTTAATAAAATATTATATTTTCTTAGCAAAGAGTTTCTCGGGGAGATTTCTTCTGGCTTTATTCCTTGTGTCTTCGCTGAAGCTTCTTCTGAGGATTCATTTACACATGAATATGTTCTGTTCTGACACACACCGTACACTACAGGCTGGAGTCCGGTCCTGAAGGAGTCGGCACTTTATGAATACAGCCAGGACAGCAGTGCAGCGTGTCGTGGGCAAAAACATCACAGTCCACGCAGAAGACGCTCCGGCACGCGGAGCACGCGTACACCTGCGTTGGAGAGACAGGGAGGGAGTGCCTTCCGGCATTCAAGTACGTGCAATTGCTATGTTCTCTGCTGATCCTCTCAAGAATTTCCCCACTCACCCACCTAACTCCACTGTGTACACTCTCCAGTGCAAGTTAACTGTGGAGGGGCGGTTAAGACCATCTCTCGGGATGCCTACATCCTGTGTCAGAGCTTGGGGACCAGACGCTCCCATCCCAGCTGATGGGAACACACTTGTGTGGGGAGGTGAGCCCACACTGACTTTTGAGCTTCTGACTGAAGACCTGGGTGGGTCCCAGCTACTGTGGCCATGGAGGGAAAAGTGAAAAGGAAGAAGAAAAAAAAAAGGCTAAGGCATGCCGGGTCGGTAGCCTAGCAGCTCAAGTCGTTGAACGCGCTGGGATTCTGTATGTGTGCCAGTTCACATCCCAGCAGCCCCGCTTCCCATCCAGCTCCCTGCTTGTGGCCTGGGGAAGCAGTCGAGGACGGCCCAAACCATGGGACCCTGTACTCCCACGGGAGACCCGGAAGAGGCTCTGGGCTCCTGGCTTCAGATCAGCTCAGCTCTGGCCGTTGCGGCCACTTGAGGAGTGAATCAGCAGATGAAAGATCTTCCTCTCTGTCTTTCCTCCTCTATGTATATCTGACTTTCTAAAAAAGATAAATAAATCTTTTAAAAAAAGATTTTGAAAACGAGTCTATACTATGACAGGACTGCCTCGGCTACTGTCAGGAGCTCTTTGGGGCTGGTACAAGAGCTCGACTGCAATGTTAGGGACCAGACAGGATGGCCGATTTAAAATGACCCTACTTTCAGGCCCAGTGCGGTGGCCTAGCAGCTAAAGTCCTCACCTTGAACACGCCGTGATCCCAGATGGGCGCTGGTTCTAATCCCAGCGGCCCTGCTTCCCATCCAGCTCCTGCTTGTGGCCTGGGAAAGCAGTCGAGGACGGGCCAAAGCCTTGGGACCCTGCACCCGCGTGGGAGACCTGGAGGAGGTTCCTGACTTCGGATCTGCTCAGCTCTGGCTGTTGTGGTCCTTTTGGAAATGAATCATTCCTCTCTGTCTCTCCTCCTCTCTGTATATCTGACTTTGCATAAAAATAAATAAATCTTAAAACAAACAAACAAACTATTCATTTGTTTGAAAGGGAGATGAAAAGACATCTTTCATCTGCTGGCTCAATCCCCAAATGCTGGCAACAGCCAGGACTGGGTGTCCCACTGCACTGGGGTGTCTTACTTGGGCGACGGGGCACCCAGCATCACCTATGGTTTACTTAGGCGCATGCACAGGGAGCAGGCTCAGCAGTGGAGCACCTGGGACCAGCTCGCCGACGGGCTGCTAACACTGCAAGTGGCAGCTTGCTCCGCGGTATCCCAGTCCCTACACGACCGTATATAGTCAACGTTTTAACAAATATTTCCTTACTGGCACAACAGGAGGATCCCTTTTTATCTGTCGCCACCTTAAATGGTGACTCCACCTTAAATGGTGAATTCAACATGAGTTATAACAGAACCTAAAGAATAATGTGAAGAAAACAGTTTATGCACTTATGAATAAAATTCAGTTTCACTTAAAAATCAAGACAATGGATCAAAATATTTGTATGGAAAAATCAGAAATCAGAATTATGCAGCTAATATTTATACCATTTTGCTACCATTTTATCTCTACCTACTATAGTAATATTTATGATTAAAAAAATCTGATTTCACACTGGTATTTAACAACTTGTAAAAAAATTCGTTACACTACCATGTTCTCAATGGTCCTTGCATATTATTTACTATGTAGAAAATCAATGAACTTACATGCTGGTCTTTCAATTCCCCTTGACATCCATAGCAAAATCTGAAAAAGACAGTTGAAGAATCATTGTTTTAACAGAATGCAATATAAAGCAATTTAGCAAATTTAAATAACTAGAATCATTTAATTACCCAATAATTCTCTTTAAACTTTTTTTATTATCATTATTACTTTTACTGGCGAAGTAGAGTGAAAGAGAAAGATCTTCCATATGCTGGTTCACGCCTCAAATGGCCGCCATGGCCAGAGCTGAGCTGATCTGAAGTTAGGAAGGAGCCAGGAGCTTCTTCCAGGTTTCCCACGTGGGTGCAGGGGCCCAAGAACTTGGTCCGCCCTTTGCTGCTTTCCCAGGCCATAAGCAGGGAGCTGGCTGGGAAGTGGAGCAGCCGGGACATGAAGGGGTGCCTGTATGGGATCCTGGTGCTTGCAAGGGGAGGGTTTAGCCACTGAGCCATCGCACTGGGCCCCAGCTCTGTCTTCAAATCTTTTTACTAAAATTTTCACTTCTAGTATATTTAACCTTATCCAAAAATAAACAAGTATAAGCAAAAAGGATGAGTGTAATTCTTACTTGTCAGTTTTGGCCAATATTAAGAAATTTCATAAAATTTATGTTGGTGAATTATGGGAAAATCTACATGAAACCTCTTTGAAGGCCAACTTTACAAAATCTGTCAGGAACTACCCAGTCTTTGCTCTCATCTTCAACAATTGATACTTGCTCTTTCGAAGACACAAACATCATTTTGGACCGTAAAAGAAGTAATCTTCAATATTCCACGGAAGGCACCTGGCTATCAAACTTCCCGGCTGCCATTTCGCCATGAAATACACAATGGTCCATCTTCAAAGATAAGTCTGGTCTAGACATGGCGATATGAAATTGACTTCCAGATTATTTTTTCAGTGTGAAAAGAAACGATAGGTTGAGACATAACGTTCCACTGGGTAATAATGACTGAACGTGGCTCCCCACAGCGGGTTGTTCAAACGAGTCCATCTGTGTTTCTCAAAAACTATTCTACAACACACTACCTGCCTTGATTTCAGCCCTTATTTCACAGGAGAAACATGAAAAACAATTTGACTACTTCCGTCATCCGGCCTCTCCTTTTCAGTGGTATGCTGGCGCTGTACTGTGTGACTTTTAGAAGGTCAACTGTGACAATACTCAGAAATGTTGAGAACTGGTTGTTAAACAGCTGGCATTGAGACACTGGTCATGATGGGAGCATTTATCCCATGGAAACCAGCAAATCTTTCGGGGAACAGCTATACCGCTATACCATCCATTACTGATGCTACCAAGGTGGGTGCAAGGAGATCCACGGGTGTCTGGAGAGACAGAGCCCTCTAGTGCTGAAGCATTTCGATCATAACCCGGGCGTGCTGCAGGCCACCTCACCCGGGTGACTCTGAGTGTCCTGGGTGAAGCACCAGGCGTCTACTCACTCACTGCACCACTGAGCTAACAGACAAGACTCACGTACCTTTCTCCTTTGTGTTCTTCTAGCGGTATTTCTTGGAAAGGATCCAAAGGGAAGAGATGATGGTAAGACCGTGCCAAGTGGGGAGCAGACACCAGCGTGAGGCCTAACAGAGGAAGCACAGACTTGGTGAGGAACCCAAGCAGCAGGGTACCCGGACTTTGACCATCATCCAGAGACACCTGCCGGTGTGCGGGCAAAGCAGGTCCCAGCAGGACGCCTTAGCTCCAGCACACATAAAGCCAACCTCTCAGTTGGCCTGTGCTTCTGACTAGATATCATTAATGTTACATGTATGTGTCATCTATGTAAGTAAGGGAATTGGGAAAATGTCCACTTGCTCTATTGCATTGCTTTTAAAGATCAGACTTTCCTTCAGAGAGGGAATCAAGAAACTTTTCTAGAACATTAGGTCTAACCTGGAAACAGATATACCAGGTACTCAATGAAAATAATTTATTCTTTTTCCACCTGTTAAATCCTGAAATATGAACAGAATTCACACTTCCCTCAGCAGGGATACAGATAAGAAGTTATTCGAGATTAATCGATTGAATAATGAACAGGTGGTCCCTTACCGCAGATTTTGCATTCCACAGGAAGCTCGGAGTACTTGGCCCGACACTGGGGACAGAAATAGCCTCCTAATGTGAGCCCTGGCTCAGAGCTGCTGTCCAAATGCCTGCGGGGAAAAAAATGACCTCAAAAAGCTGACACATAAAGATGTGGAGTGTTACAGCCAAAGAAAACATGCGACCTCAATCTTAACACCTGGGGGCCCGGCGGCGTGGCCTAGCGGCTGAAGTCCTCACCTTGAACGTGCCGGGATCCCATATGGGCGCCGGTTCTAATCCCGGCAGCTCCACTTCCCATCCAGCTCCCTGCTTGTGGCCTGGCAAAGCAGTAGAAGACGGCCCAAAGCCTTGGGATCCTGCACCCATGTGGGAGACCCGGAAGAGGTTCCTGGTTCCTGGCTTCGGATCAGCATAGCATCGGCTGATGCTATGCAAATGTTGAACAGTTTGCTCTGTTCAACATTTGCTCTGGGCACCGTAAGGCTGAGTAGTCGTCACTCCCGGGATAGCTTGGTGCCATCACTGGCACTTCCACTCACAGCGTATCAGGGGCACATCTCCCCAAACACACTGAGAATGGGCACCATTCCATGCCCTACGGGAGCATTACTCGGCCTGCTGCAGCTCAAAGGGTTTTTCTCCTGGCTTCTAGAAGGTTCCACTGGCATGGGCAGCTGACTGCAGGGCAACTCTGTGCACATGTGCAGCTCGACCCTGTGGGAATGCAGCCACCCTTCAACTCAGCAGGACCTCCAGGCTCTGCAGGACAGCTTGCAAATTCCGCCTGGACTAGGAAGCCAGAGCCCCACAGGGTCCCCCTCTCTGGTTCCCCTCTTTTCTACATTGTTGCAAAATGCCCCACTAAATTCCTGTAGCTGGAGACAAGTTTTGTTGGTGAATCTTTAGGATGAAGCTTTCGTTGTACAGTTGTGTAGCATCTAAAGCTCTGGGGAACCAGTGCTGTGGCACAGTGGGCAGAGACGCCGCCTGTGACAACACCGCACATCGGTGCCGGTTCTGTCAAGGTCTGCAGTTAAAAACAGATCTATTCAGTAAAGCCTGGGCTCATTCCTTTCTTTCCCCAACAAAGTCACTTTCAGTTTTTACTTTCGATTTCGATCACTATTGGTTTTTTCATCAACGTAAACAAGGATGCGGATCTAATCTCATGTCCACCTGCTTCTCGGATGTCGAGTGACACCCCTGCCTTGCTGCTTTACTGACAGCCTCTGCACAGGAGCATACAGGGTCGACCCTCAGCCCTGGTCACTGCCCCACGGGAGGGTTGACCCTTAGCCCTGGCCACTGCCCCACGGGAGGGCCGACCCTCAGCCCTGGTCACTGCCCCATGGGAGGGTTGACCCTTAGCCCTAGCCACTGCCCCACGGGAGGGCCGACCCTCAGCCCTGGTCACTGCCCCACGGGAGGGTTGACCCTTAGCCCTGGCCACTGCCCCACGGGAGGGCCGACCCTCAGCCCTGGTCACTGCCCCACGGGAGGGTTGACCCTTAGCCCTGGCCACTGCCCCACGGGAGGGCCGACCCTCAGCCCTGGTCACTGCCCCACGGGAGGGTTGACCCTTAGCCCTGGTCACTGCCCCACGGGAGGGTTGACCCTTAGCCCTGGCCACTGCCCCACGGGAGAGCTGACCCTCAGCCCTGGTGACTGCCCCACGGGAGGGCTGACCCTTAGCCCTGGTCACGGCCCCGTGGGAGGGACTCTCTCACAGAGCCCTCACACTTGCAGCTCATCTTCTGCATCAGTAACTTAGAGGGGGGATTCACAGTTTATCACTGACAGTTCGCACGTTTACTCACGCCATGCTGAAAGAGGGTTTTGCGTCTTGATCAGACATGGAAGCAATGGTGTGCTGGGGAAATCCTTCACAGGAGAAAAGGTATTAGTGTCTGCTTGTAAGCAAAGCACAAGACAGAAAATGTAAAGATGGCTCTAACAGGATATCGACAAAGCTGTACAGAAATGCCCAGTATCACCACTCAGACATAGCTGCGTATGCTTACGATAGCCAAAGGGAACTCGCTACAATTCCAAGCTACAGGAAAAAGTAAACAAGACAGCTTAAAGGGCTGTCTCTCCCAAGGACTTTGGATTCAAATGTTCCTATCTATATTCTCTAATTGAATAACTTCATTTATTTATTTTAAGATTAAGTTAATTGAAAGGTAAAGACAGAGAGCGCAAAATCTTCCCTCCACTGGTTTACTCTGCAAACAGCTGAGATGGCTGAAGCCAGAAGCCCACGAGCTGCTTCTGGGTCTCCCACCTGGGTGGCACGGCCCACGCGCCTGGGACATCTGCAGTTGCTTTCGCTGGCGCGATGGCAAGGAGCTGGACTGGAAGTGGAGTGGTGTGAACTGACACCCCTATGGGATGCTGGCAGGGCAGGTGGAGCTATCTCACACCCCTGGCTCCCCAATGCCGCTTTTGTAAAAATCTGGGACCAGTGCTGTAGTACAGCTGGTTCAGCTTTCCCTTTGCTGGCAGCCAGCCATACTGGACCATCAGTCTGAGTAGTCCCAGCCGCTCCACCTCGCTACCCCTGCCTGCCAGGTGACTGGGACGGCCGTGGGTGACGGCCTGACTGCGTGGGTTCCTCCACCAACTGGAGAGGCCCAGAAGAGCTCCTGGCTTCTGGCTACCAAGGCCACGTGGGAAGTGAACCAGAGGATGGAAGAGCTCTCTTTTCTCTGTCTTCTCTGGCAGAAGTCACTCTGCCTTGCAAATCAATCAGGTAAAGGAAGTTTGTCAATTTTACGTAGTTTCTGATGGAACTGCGGTGTACATTAGTCACCTGACTACTGCCTTACGTTACACGTTCACCTCTCTGCAAGAGCACACGTTTCTGTTACATTTTAGAAACTGCAACCCCTACATGTATTTTTCACATTTAATTTTAAATTCTCAAATATGTTCACAAAAAGAAAAAAACATACAAAACATTTTATTATGCAAGACTAAAAACCTACACACACAGGAAAACTAAACACGTAACTGGAAAATATTTGCATCAGAAACTTGATGTTCCTAAAGCCATCAAGTCAATTTGAAAAATAAATTATAAGTTTAAATGATACTTATAAAATGGAGCAAAAAAAAACATATTAGTAAACCAAAAAAGATGAGTCAACAGAACACTTAAAATCTATCCCGTGTTTCAGCACGCATTATTCTAAATGCCCCGTCTGTGTGTGGCACACACAGCGGATATTTGAAAGTAAATGAACACAGGCTGACCGCTGATTTAAAAACATGCCAAGGATGGAAAACCCTTTCACTTCACTGAGAAACACAATTTGTTTCCTGGTTTTTTAGTTTACCACTGTTTTCATGAAGAAATTTTTGGAAAACAAAGAAGATGAAATATTTTGTAGATGATCTAAAATTAATCATTCTTTCTCCTGAAAAAAATAAAAATCACTTAAAGTAATCTGACGTTTCTCTAACACATCTGTGTTTATACAGTTTGCATTATACAACTTGGTCATACAGTACAGAGTGGATACTGTAGGCATTTTTTTAAAAAAATTCTTAACAAAAGCATTTTTCTACAAACACGGCAACTTTTTTTCTTCCACAATACAGAAAGTCAGTAGTGTTTTCTGGGCAATAGGGCCTGATTCTTTTAATCCTTTCACATCTCTGCATTTCACAAAATTCTTGCAATAATATTTTTTCCTACATAAAAAATAAATAACGATTAAAAAAAATCTATTTTTGTTGGAAAGGCAAATTTACAGAGAGAAGGAGAGACAGAAAGATGTTCCACCAGCTAGTTCACTCGCCAAGTGGCCACAATGGCTGCAGCTGAGCCAATCTGAAACCAGGAGCCAGGCGCATCTTCAGGATCTCCCACATCAGTATAGGGTCCCTTTCTAGGCCACAAACAGGGAGCTGGATGGGAAGTGGAGCAGCTGGGGCATGAACTCGTGCCCATATGGGATCCTGGCACTTACAAGGGGAGGATTAGCTAATTGAGCCACTGCACTGTGCCTCATAATTTAAGAAATTCTTGGGCTCAGTACATTGGCTCAACTGGCTAATCCTGCACCTCCAAGCGCAGCATCCCACATGGGCATGGCTACTTGGGGAGTGCCAGCGGACGGAAAATTTTTCTGTTTCTGTTCCTCTGTACCAATCTGGTTTTCCAATAAATACAAATAAATCTTAAAAAAAAAAACTCTTCATTGTTAAAAAGTACATCCTGTGCAAATGAAAAGAAAGCTTAAAACAGATAAACACATTTTAAAATCCTCTTTTGAAATGACAGAATAAACCCTTACCCATCCGAATGAGTGAGCACTCGGAGCTTGAACTGGCAGGGGGCGGGCTGACGTGATGGGTCAGCAATTCTTTGTAATGACTTTCGTCTAAAATGACGTGGTATGTGCCTACCGGGATTAAGAGGAACGCAAGAGAATCAATCAGTCCCACAGGCGTAACAATGAATGGCAATCCCTACATCAAACGGCAGGCGCTGTAGCCGCTGAAAAAGCTGCACATTTTCCAAAGCGCAACTTAAGCTAAATGATTTTTAAGTTTATTTAAATCATCTCTATAAATTTCTTTAGGAATAGGGGTAATGGCCACTGCATTAAAACCTTCATGAAGTACTGTAGACCCTGGGAAGTACGTACGTCCTCAAGCCCTGACACAGCTCCTGGCAATTCGCTGCTTTTTGAAATGGTGTCCTCTAGGATCAACAGCATATTTTAGCTCATTTACGTTTAGTGGTGTAAGAAAGACTCCAAGGTCCTAATTGAATTACGGACAGGTTTCTACGAATCAAGATTGGATTTCCCAGATACGTACCCCCCGTTTCCCGAGCAAGGACCGTGCACACCCGCACCTCTGCAGACAACCCGATAACAGACACCCTGATCTTTGCTGCCTTGAGGCTCTGCGGGGTTTCAGGGGAAGGAGACATTTTAAGCATTAATATATTCTCCAAATCAAGTGTTGACAATGAGAACGCGTTCTGTAATGCTGGCTCTGGTGTACTGGCCCCACCTTGATCAAATCATAGATGTTGGATGGGTCGCAAGTTGTCAGGCTGCTGAAGATGATCAGGACTTCTCGACTTGTGTGCCCGGGCATGTGCCTGCGGGAGGATAAAATGCTTTGCGATCAGCTGTGACACGTCGCCAGGCGCCAGTCCACCCACACGGCGGGCACGGCCGCCGACTCGCGTCAGCACTGCAAGCACTGCGAGTAGAGTTGAAATATTCTAACGTCAATTTTCCTAAAACGAGATGCACCCTTAAAGAGCTATTCTCTGAAATCGAAGGTTTGGGGCTATGTTCCTGAAGGGTCCCTCACATCTCCCGAGGTACGTTCTAGGAGTCTGAAGTGTATACATGGAGAAATAGGACACTGATCAATAGATCCATTTCCAAGTGTATAAACGCGGCTTCAACAGTAACACACCTCCTTCACAAAGACTGGAATAGTGGCTAATGCTGACTCTGAGTCATAACATTTATGAATGTTGTATACCATTTTGTTAATGCTAGTGTGTGGGTTTTGAGATGTGGTCAGCTCTTATCCCCAATGCTGAACAGGAATTTCGGTGATTCTGAGGGTTATTTGCTATCACAGCCTCCTTCCACCTGCATTGTCATATTCTTCATTGCTGCTTGCAGATCCTGTAAATGTGCTCATCCTTATTACTGCTGCTCCCTCCTTGTCTTCTCCAAAAATAATAGCTGCTATACGTAGAGTGACAAAGTCTGAACCAAGGTGGATGACTGAGAGATAAAATACACAAGCTTCAATGACAGAGGATTTTCTGTAGATTTCTAGTATATTCCTCACAGTTAAACTTGCCAGACCAGTGTGCAAATAATTCACTGACACGCAGCAAGGGAAACTAATAGCTGTCAATAAAGGTGCAAACAATAGAAAAGTTCTCCATCAGCATATTTCTTTTATACAACTGATACTGCCTACAGGTTTTCATGCTTTTGTAAAATCTTTCAGGATACACTTCACGTATTAAAATTACCAACACCATAATAAATATCATGCATGGCAATATGTATCTTTCTTATTTCATGACTTTGTAACAGCTGAGAGCAGGCAGTCCTGTACTGACACCCTGTCATTTCCTTGTAACTCATTGAAAAACTTCCCAACCAACTAGAAGTCATGCGAGGTACTGACTTTAGCGTTTGCATGGCCATACTCAAGGAATTATAAAGAGACGGTTCTCCGTGGCAGGTCATATCTACAGCTTTCTTCAAAGACGTGATATGTTTCCTTGGGTTTCCTAAAACAGAAATGGAAATTATTTGTAAGAAAATACCACGTACTCATCATGGGAATGTAGGTTTATGCTAAGCTTTACAAGTCTGTGATGCTGTGCAAGAGAACCCATGGTGGACATGTGGCACAGTTACAATGCCATTCGGGGTGCTCACGCCCATGGCAGAGCGTTGGTTGGCATCCTAGGTCATGAGCAATGCAGCTCCCTGCCAATGAACACCCAGAGACAGCAGGGCATGGCTCAAGGACTCCGGCCCCTGGAGGCCGAGTGCTAGAGCCAGACGGATCCCTCCTCTGCCTCCTGGCCTAGGGGCCAGCCTAAGCCCTGGTACTGTGGAATGAACTATCGTTTGGGAGTGAACCAGCAGACAAGATAATTCTGCTTTTCAAGTAGCTAAAAGTTAATAAATAAGCAAACATTTAAAAAAAAAAAAAACACACAAAAAAATCCTGCCAAATCCATTGGAACTGAACCCGCTTCTATGGAGCTCCGGTACAGGCAGACAGTCCGAGCTCACCTACAATACACTTCCCTGAGCCACCCACCCCAACTGCTCACAGACAGGCAGACCACGAGCAAGGCCGGCTGAAGCTGTCGACGATAAGGCCCTGGAGACCGGGGGCCGCTATCAGCCAGCGTTCCACCTCACACAAACCTTGCAGAGAGAGAAATCACCAACTCCACACTGCTTTCCCAGGCCACAAACAGGGAGCGGGAAGGGAAGTGGGGCGGCCAGGACGTGACCTGGCACCTGTATAGGGATGGACGACTGGCCAACTGAAGGCCTGCCTTGGATGGACGGATTCTAATAAAACTGTTTACGTTCAACGACGTGCTGTTCACCACTGTGCAGAAGAGACCACACAATTTAGCTGTTTCGCCTAGAGAGCAGAGGAGCTCCTCACTGCATTTACTGGGCGCTCCTAGGGGCAGGGCACAGGGCTGGGTGAACAAGGCCGAGCCTTAGCACCCACACCGCATTTACTGGGCGCGCCTAGGGACAGGGCACAGGGCTGGGTGAACAAGGCCGAGCCTTAGCACCCACACCACATTTACTGGGTGCTCCTAGGGGCAGGGCACAGGGCTGGGTGAACAAGGCCGAGCCTTAGTGCCCAAGCAAGGTGATTTCACGCATACCTGAGAGTTCGGTCAGTTTCTCAGCTCTTTTACTCTTGGTAATGATGATTCCAATCTCAAAATAAAAACAAAAAGTGGTTAATGATAAACGCTTTTTTCTTAAGAACGAAATAGTACGTAGAAAACAGGGGGGAGAGAGACTTCCCCAGCGTTTCGGACAAATTGAGCAGTGAGCTCACGCAGCTGTAACTTCTGCAGTGACTTTGATTCTCATTGATAAGTACTGCAAAAACCAGCACACAACCTGGATCCCATCCTAGCTCAATTTACAAAAACGACTATTGGGAACACAACAGACATTTAATTCTGAATTCTATCATTTCATCCACATACCTGACTAATAGGATTTTGATCAAAATATTCTTCCACGAAGTATTCTAGTAACTGTTCAAAGAAAACAAAACAAAACAAAAAAAATATGATGAGTTCCGGGCAAAGTAAGAATGGAGAAAAGGGTTGATTCGTGTCCTGTGCATTCGGTTGGGCATCACTTCCCGGGATTTCTTTCACTGTACAGGTTCTGCAAGGTTTTCAGTAGCACAATACTAAGCAATAAGGAGCCATCATTTGAAACGATAGGCAGGCGGTGAGCTGGGTTTCCTGGGTGTGTCTGGCACAGTTTTAGAAGCTTACGTCCCATCTCACAGTGCCCACGTGGGCTCTTGTCCCAGCACCAGCTTTCTGCTGCATACCGCACGAGGTGGTCTGCAGGTGCTGGCTTAAGTACCTGGGTCCCTGACACCCACACCAGTCACCTGACTCTGATTCCCAGCCTGGCCCAGTCCTGACTTTGGCAGGCAATGGGGGAATGAACCAGCACGTGGAAGCTCCCCGTGTCCTGTCACTCCGCCTCTCCATCAATCAATCAATCAGCGAAAAATCCAGTGAAGAGATGTGACAATTAGCAGAAGTGACAGTAAGTTCTGAAACAGGAACTCACATGAAGAGTGATATCAATAGATCTTTGTGAGCTGGGAAGACAGATTCAAGGAGGTCAAAGACAAAGGAAAATGAAAGAAACAGCTGAAAAAGCAAGATCCTGACTTGGAGCGAGGGAGAACAAAACCATCAATGTGAGAGCCATCACTCAGAAGGGGAAAGGAATGCGTGCTGTAAGTGTGGACAGTAAAGAGGCCTTCACAGGCCAAGAATCATTCTCACTGTTCAACCCAGAAATGAAAAGGCCCTTGCAGTACCCTATGGGTGTTAATTTCTCGATTAATCAACATCAGGCTATCACCAAACTAAGCCTAGACTCTGTCAGGAACCTTGTCTCCTTTCAGGTAGAAAGCTATGGAGACCCTCCCCCACCCCAGGAGTCCTGCAGCTGTGATTGGTCCCTGCCTGCTCTGACCTCACAAGGACCAGAGGAGCATGTGTCCCAGCACCTGCTGGACCGTGATTGGTCCATTTCTCACTGACGTCATAAGGATCCCTATGGTGATGGAACTCCCGCAGCCTATAGAAGCCCTGCGCGGGCCTGGGCTCTGGTCCACTTTGCCAGGGAGCTGTTTTGGTGACCTGTGTGACTTGGCCCCATCTTCCCTAGCGTTTACGACTGGTCGTGGTAAGTGCTGTTTGGTTGGTTTGTTGGTTTCTTGTTCAATTTGGTTTATCCACTTTCCCACTTTTTTCCTACCTGTTTGTTATCTGACCCCTTCTTAGCCAGAGGGGGCTGCAGACAGCTCGGAGAAGGGGGGTCTAGGGACATGTGGAAGGAAGGGCTACTGAGGGAAAATGTGACAGGTGAGGAGAGACTTTTGGGGGACTTCCACCAACCAGGGTACTGTATTTGCAGGGGGCTGGGACTGGGTAGTTTACAGGAGAAAAACCGAAGTATCTTTCAAAGCAAGAACAACACACCTGCCCACGTGGGCGTCCTGAGGTAGGCTCTTTGCTATCAATGACCACTATTGCTGCACACAAAAGCTGGAGCTGGGGCTCTGCCTGGCAATCTCAGCCACAGTTACCTGCCAGTGAGTGGCAGGGCAGGGGGTGGACCCCGTGGCAAGTGCAGGAGCCAGCAGGGAACAGGCCATGCTGGGTTAGGTTAGGTTATCACACCTCCTGGTTTGCATGAAAGCCAGGGATAGGGGACAGGCTGGGCAGGGCTAGGCTGTAGCAACCACAGGCAAAAATTGATACTGGGGGCTGGTCATCAACGGCAAAGGCCAAGACGAGGGAAGGGCTATGGCTGGCTAGGTCAGAGCAACCATTGGCATACACAAGATCTGTGGCTGGGAGCAGGTCTGATGCGGCTCTGAGTGGATGCCACGGCTAGGCTGCGGTTCCCACGAGTGAGAACTGGAATGGGGGTGGCAAACTAGCCTGGACATGGCTACAGGATCCCTCAGCATGGGTGTGGACTGGGTCTGGGGTGTGCCAGACTGGTCAAGGCTCCAGCACCCGCTAGTGTTTGCAAGACCCAGAGAAGGTATAGAATAAGCTGGGCTAGGTCTTGGCACTCACCGAACCACGCAAGAGCTGGGTCTAGGGGTGGGCCAGGCAGGGTTGGGCGAAAGCATCCAATAGTAAGAGCCATAATGGGTGTGGGCTGATCATGTAAGGCTGCTGTTCCTGCCGGGACAGGACAAGGGCCAAGTCAGGCTAGGCCAAGTGCCCACTACCATACATGAGATCTGCCACAGGAAGGAGACCTGAGAGAAGAGCTTAGGGAATTCCTCTGTTAGGAAGCAGACCCTGCAGATGATTACAAAAACCGAAGATGGGAGCAGCCCAGACCAGGCCACGTTACAGTACCCGTTGGCATACGTATGGCTCAGGTCTGGGGGCGAGCCAATGGCAGATGTGAGAACCAGAACAGGGAACAGGACAAGCCAGGTTAGGCAGCAATGCCAGCCTATTCACACTGACTGGGGGCAGCTGGCCTGAACCAGGCTGCGGTACCCACCGGTGAATGCTGAGTGAAGGGAGATGTGCCACACTGAGCTGCAGCATCCACCAGCACACACACAACATCCACCAGACCCAGGGTGGGAGTGTTGGAAAGTAGGTGGTGGTGGTGGTGGCAGGGTTGTGAAGACTCCCCTGGTGGGCCACTGCTCCCGCTGGTGAGCGCTGAGAGCTGGGACTGGCAAAAGATCAGGCTGGACAGAGCTATAAAACCCATTGGTCTGCATGTTAGCTGGGTTGCCCAGATAGATGCATGTGGGGGACATGACAAACAGTTCACTGAGGCCTGCAGAGGATGTATAATACCATGGAGGGCAGAACAGACTGGACAGCTCTCCTGGCCAAGTGCTGCCAGCGAGTATGTGGCTGAGTGGAGACTCTAAGGTGGACTGTGTCAGGCAAGGGAACTTTTGCAAGGATTTCTTCAACCTTGGAGCAACAAAACCAACAGCATCTCAGAACTATCATAACCAACTGAGCAGTACCCTCAGAGCATGGAGATGCCAGTATGACATTGGGGGGCCCTCCCCCCATTCCTAGGTGCTGATCCTTCCCCTTTTTTGCCTCCCCACTTTCCCTAGATACAGAAAGAAAAAAGCAGACCGAAAACAGTTCTCTCACTCACTTCCCCCATTCCTTGATCCTCCCCACTCTAAACAGGGCTCCACATGGGCATGCATCCTTCTTAACTATGCAATCATCATCAAAAATAAAATACGTTATTTTTAAAAAGAGATAAATAGCCACTTTGGTTTGTCATTTCCCAAACCAATGTAGTGAACTATTACTTAGCTCATACTTATATTAACTGAAAAACAGACCTGCATACACCAAACAATAGTCCCACATTCCTTTTTCTTCATACAGCAGCCATCAGTCCAGGGTGATAGATTCGGGTCATCAACGCGCAGAGCGCTCGCGTCTCCGAATGCAAACATCCTGTGGCCTCAGCAAAGGAGCTTTAGAACCCAGGGTCCTTGTCCGCAGGGAGTGAGTTGAAACGAGCTTACTAACCTTTAAAGTACACGTCAGTCTGTTGGGCTTTAGGTCTTGGTCTTCCATGGTTCTCGATCCATCTACCACCACATACAGGTGGCGCATCTACCAGAGAAGGCGACAGTTGTCAGTACAGATCTGACCGAGGAGTCCAAGGTGCCTTTAACAGTCACATATTCTAGCCACACGCATTAGAACACTTTGACAGACACCACTTATATACTGATATTTTAACTGATGCAGAACATTTTAGGGATATAGTGTCTGTTTATGCCACTAAGCCAAAAAAATTCTCTAACCCAAACTAATTCTGTACCGTAAACAAGCAAACAAAAGCCTTACCATTCCCAGACGAACTTGTCCATGGTGTTCAAACACTCTGTGAAAATCACATAAATATTTTAACGGAGTAGCACATGGGATCCCCAAAGCCAAAGCATGCGTTTTTAGGGCAGTACCCTCTTAAGGCTCACGCCTCACTGCAGGTATCCGGACAGGCCGTGATGACCATTTCCCAGCTGGGGCAGCCCCTCATTGGGCATGCTTCCCACTCAGATAACCACAGTTCTATTCCCCGAAACACAGCCGGGTTTGAAGGAATATGCCTCTCCTTGCCTAACACCATCAGGTCCCCGTACCTTTTTCTCTTTGCCTTAAAGAGAATGTCCTCTATCGTGGCTTTCAGGGATCCCGACTCATCTTCTTTAAGAATCTCCCTGGAAGCAACAAGTACCCGATTGTAAAGAGAGGCTCAAGAGGAAGCCCAGAAATATGAGACCGCTACGTCTACACGGAGATGCGGACATGCAAATCTATAGCAGCACGATTCAGCTTCATAACTGTAAACTACCCAGATGTCCAGATGTTACCTTTCCAGATGTGAATGCTATTCAGCAGCAAAGATGGGGCAAAGGGCTAACCTGGGCTACAACACCAGGAGCCTAAAACCCAGTGAGTGAGGGTCGGCCACAGGGATTAGCCAGAGTAAACCCTCAAACAGCAACTTGACCACTGATTGTGTACGGGTGGGACGGAGTGCTGGGATGGTTGCCCAGCCTCGGGAAATCTTGTATAAAGTCACCAAGTTGTGGCCTGAACCTGGGAAACATCCCATCACAGTATTTGCAGGAAGAAGCTGTGTAAATGCAGAGGGCAGCACCACCCACTCACCACGTCCTCTCGTAGCCGCCTTCCCATCGCTTCGTTCTCTCGGGCTCCTCATCCATTTTTCAAGAAACGTATTCTCTGTTTCAGGCCCTGCGAAAAAAAACCTTGGGTGGTCAACTTCCCGCAGGTGTTAAAAATGCATTCAGCTTAAATTCAAAACGAAAAGGCAACAGGAAACATTGAAAAAGCAGAATGCAAGCTCCCCTTCATTTTCTCTACCCTATTCAGCAATGGCTGTCGTGTGCAAACACAGAATTCTCACCACCTTTTCCCCCGTTTCCAAGAAAGAAGAATGCATATTCATGTACCATTTTAGTACCAATAAACACCATTCTGCAATTTGCAAACACACACACACACACACACACACACACAAATGCACTGTAGACACGTCACAGACCAAAATCACAGAATTCCGGGTCTAGGGGTGGTGTCACCACAGACCACCACTTCAGCAGAGTGATGGCGGCGTGCTGACCCTCCGGGGCCTCCCCGACTCTGACAGTCCAATGTTTGCAAAAGGAAACAGGTGAATAAATGCTAGAACTCGGCACGCTGGGCGCCAGCAGCAGCCGGCTGCACTTGGGGACGCCCTCCCCGACTCCGGGGGAGGCTCAGGAAGCGGCCAGCGCGGGGCACGAGCCTGTCCGAGCTGCTCGCACACAGCTGAAGCTGCTCGGCCTGCTCGGCCTCCTTCCCACCCGGCCCGCGGACCCAGCGCATCCACCGGGCGCCCACGGCACCTGCCGCCTGCAGCCCGCCTCCCGCCGGAACAGCCCTCGGCCGGAAGCGCCGCCCGAGCCCTTCCGCCGCACGCCAGCCGCGCACAGCACAAACGTTCCGGCTACGGCCGGCGGCGGCGGTTGCTGGGAGAGAGGCACCGGGGGACCCCATTTCCCTTGCCAAGTTTAGGGTCACAGACGAGCGAGGAGAAGGGCAGAGGCTCAGCGGCCCTTGATTTTATGAATTCGAAAAGGTTGGCCGGGGCCAGGCACTGTAGCCTAACGGCTAAATCCTCACCTGTGCACAGGCACAGATCCCGAAGGGTCGCCGGTTCGTGTCCCAGCGGCCCTGCTTCCCATCCAGCTCCCTGCTTGTGGCCTGGGAAAGCAGTTCAGGACGACCCAAAGCCTTGGGACCCTGCCAATGTGTGCCAGACCCAAAAGAGGCTCCTGGCTTTGGATCGATTCTGCTGTCGCTGTCCTGCAGCGATGGACTTGGTGCACGGAACCGATAATAACACAAGTGGACTACTGACTGATGATCAATAGCCGAAATTTATTAGGGGCAACAGACTTTATACACTGAGGGTCCTATGGGATAAGGGTGGAGGTATTGAGCCTATCAACAAACCCATCAACGGTTTCTATGTTTTTGTTTGGAACTTCTTTTGTCTTTGTATATTCCACCAAGTGTTCTCATTCACGTGCTGTCCACTCAACTGTTCTCATACAAATGATATCCAATCAGGTATACAAAAGGTAGCCATTCGTTGTTATCACACAAATACTATCCAATCAGTTGTTTTCATACAAATATTGTCCAATCAACTGTAATCCTGTGCCCACCGACCTTCTAGGGTACACTGCTTGGACTCATTTGAGCAGTGAACCAGTAGACGAAAGATCTCTTTTTTCTTTATTACTGGAAGGTCAGGTTTACAGAGAGAAGAGACAGAAGGATCCTCTGTGGGCTGGGTTACTCCCCGAGTGGCCTCAACAACTGGAGTTGAGCCAATGCAAAGCCAGGAGCCAGGAGCCAGGAGCCTCTTCTGGATCTCCCACGCAGGTGCAGGGTCCCAAGGCTTTGGGCCATCTTCGACTGCTTTCCCAGGCCACAAGAAGGAAGCTGGACGGGAAGTGGAACAGCTGGGACACAAATAGGCACCCATATGGGATGGCAGTGCTTGCAAAGTAAGGATTTAGCCATTGAGCTATCATGCCAAGGCCTCAGATTGGATTGGTTTTTTTACTCAAATTGAAATTTAAAATTACTGGACATGAAAATCCTCGAGAAGAGGCCTATTAAGATCAAGTTTCAGAGAAAGATTCATCCAAAACCTTAACAATGGATTATCAGTATCTCATAACCATGACCTTAATATTTTGCTTTCTTGGAAATCTTATTTGTTCTATGCCTGAAAACACTCTGTCACAAAGGCACACATAAAGCACCATCCCTAGAATTCAGAATTTACACGCTAAAGTGCCACGCGACATGGCCCAAGGCCATGAGGTGGGCTGACTCCTACACTTTAAAACACAATCTTTCAAAAAAATTTTTTTATTGGAAAAGCAGATCAAACTATGGCACAAAGGAGAGACAAAGATCTTCTATTTGCTGGTTTATTCCCCAGATGCCTGCAACAGCTGGCGCTGAGCCAGTCTGAAGCCAGAAGTCAGGAGCTTTTGGGTCTCCCACGCAGGAACAGAGTCCCGAGGCTTTGGGTCATCCATCTTTCACTGCTTTCCCAGTCCACAGGCAGGGAGCTGAATGGTAAGTGAAACAGCCAGGACTTGAACCTGCACCTACAGGCGAATGTTAGCACTTGCAAGAGGAGGATCAACTAGCTGAGCCATCATTCCAAGATAAACACAATATGCTTCTTAAAAGTTTTGGGCCGACATATTAAGCTAGTGGCTAAGATCTTTGCCTTGCTTGCCTTGGGATCTCATATGGGCACTGGTTCTGATCCCAGTGGCCCGCTTCCCATCCAGTCCCTTGCTTGTGGCCTGGGAAAGCAGTCAAGGATGGCGAAAAGCCTCGGGATCCTAAACCCACATGGGAGACCTGGAAGAGGCTCCTGGCTCCTGGTTTAGATCAGCTCAGCCAGCTAAGGCTGTTGCAGCCACTTGGGGTGTGAATCATTGGATGAAGGTCTTCCTCTCTGTCTCTCCTCCTATCTCTGGATATCTGACTTTACAAATAAATAAATCTTTTTAAAAAAGTTTCACTTACTGACTGTGGCAGATTAGAATAACTATCTGGGACTCAGCGTGGTGGCCTAGCTGTTAAAGTCCTCACGTTGCAAGCACAGGGATACCATATGGGAGCCGGTTCTACCAGCAGCTGTTTCCCATCCAGCTCCCTGCTTGTGGCCTGGGAAAGCAGTCCTGGACAGCCCAAAGCCTTGGGACCCTGCACCTCCATGGGAGACCCGGAAGAAGCTCCTGGCTTCTGGTTTTAGATCCACTCAGCACTGCTGTTGTGGTAACTTAGGGTGTGAATTATCGGATGGAAGATCTTCCTCTCTGTATATCTGACTTCGCAAAAAAAAAAAAAAACAACAACTAGCTGTATCCTCTTTCAGGCAGGGACTTCGCTTAGCATATTAACTCTTTTCCTACCCAGGAAATTTTCAACAGGTGAGACTGTCACATAGGCAGGCTAACTAAGTAGTCCAAGGGCTGACACCAAAAGTCCAAGGACAAAGATGGTACACACACACACACCCAGGTTCTAACCCCATAGTGCCACTATTGTCATTTACTAACACGCACCAACACAATCTCTCCTAAAATGCTCCCAAATGATGTTAGCATCTGCACTCACTTCTTCCCTCCAGGAGAAAGGTTAACAAAAGCAAACAACAGGATGATGGGTCCTCCCGGGAGAAGGTGTGCTGCAGAGGCAGAATCCCAACTGCTGGGAGAACCAAGGGAGACTTCCCACTGCCCCAACTGAGAAAGTCCCAAAGGAAGCTGCTTTCATGCCAAAGTGGAGGGAGGATGCTGCCCTGGGAGCAGCTCCCGGCACCTGCAGAGAGCGGAGGGCCCCGCGGGCTGTGATGGAAGCGCTGACCCCGGGACGCACCATGCAGGTCAGGTGAATGCTGCTCACGAAAGAATGTACCACGCATGCAAACTCCAGACAACATACTTTATTTACAACAGAAAAAATCTCACATCCTGCAACCCATCGGTGAACAAAATCTACCTAGAACCCCACCGCCTGAGAGCCCACGGTTCCAGTCCTGCCTCATGTGTGAAATGGGACCAAATATCAAATTTACCGGAAGTGGTTATGTAGATAACATGTTGTCGTGATGGTCAAAGGAGCTTTGTGTGTGTGCATGTACCATATGAACAATATGAATTTGTAGCACTCCCTACAAATACTGACAGACTTGATTATATCAAAAACACAAAGCAAGATGTATGTGATCAAGAAGCTAGATGGGAATTGGAGGAAGGACCCAATCCTGACACTCCAACATGTGACATGGGCACATCACGCAGCGGCTTAACCTACAACACCCGGTCCTCTGTGTTTGTTTAAATTTCTCAAAAATAATTAAAATACTCATCCCGCCTACATCTGATCCAAAATGACCCTAGTGAGACAGCATTTTCTATAGGGTTCCTTGATAACATGAACCACATACATTAACACCAAGCTCTTTTTTTTTTTTAAAGATTTATTTTATTTTTATTGGAAAGGCGGATGGATATACAGAGAGGAAGATCTTCCGTCCGATGATTCACTCCCCAAGTGAGCGCAACGGCCGATGCCATGCCGATCAGCCTCTTCCGGGTCTCCCATGCGGGTGCAGGGTCTGAAAGCTTTGGGCCGTACTCGACTGCTTTACCGGGCCACAGGCAGGGAGCTGGATGGGAAGCGGGGCTGCCGGGATTAGAACCGGCGTCCATATGGGATCCTGGGCGTGCAAGGTGAGGACCTTAACCACTGCGCCATCGCGCAGGGCCAACACCAAGCTCTTTGAACCAGAGTTTATAGTCCAAAACAGAGTGCAAGCAGGAGATCAAGAAGGAAAGAAGCCTCTGCAATTGATGCCGAAACTCATACTCCAGACCAGGGGACTTCCTGGGCGGCTTGTCACACTGCCCTCCAGCTGGCTAACGCCAACACTGACCAAGCAGTTCCCCCAATTCTGGCTTCCTTTTGTGGTCTTTGAAGAAGAGTCCAATCTATGGCACAATTTTACAACTTGGCAAAATTTCATAATCCTTATCACTTATTTTGGGCACTCCAGTCCTGCGGTATGACAACATTAGCAGACCTGCCTTCTTACACTGAGCACACTGCCCCCATGGGAGCCAAGGATCCAACCCTTCACAACACACAGCAAGGCCAGGGTTCCTTTCCCTGGATGTGGACCCAGAAAGCTTAGAACATACTCTGTACTAAACCTGTGCAGCACCCAGAAAATGAAGAATTTCTACAGCTTGAAGAAGTGACTCCGTGTTAGACGGGGAACACGGAAGTTTATAATTTGGAAAAGAACGTGGAACCGTATGTAGGAAATTAAATGTGTGAATCGCACACTGAAGACTCGAGACGATGGGGTGTTCAGAGTATGTTGCGCGTGGGCTGGGGACCATCATCACTCGCTTAGCAGAGTACCTGGTTGCCAGGATACGAACAGTGTCTTACCTTCCCAATAACAAGTGATGAGAACTAAGGGCACCATTTGAAATCGTCTCCTGTTATTTGGTACAGTATCCTATGAACCTTCTTCCAGCCACAGGACTAAGCAACAAGCAGGGAGCACCCAAGACAGTTAACACATTCAACTCCTGAGTTTAGTTTTCCTTAGCTTAATTGCACGAATGACGTCAAAGGCTTATATTATGGAAACAAAACACCAGGTTTAATACCTTATAAAATATATACAGACCTTGAACATTCCTGGGAGATACAATTCAAGTCACAACTGAATTATGAAAGTAATTGGATATTTTGATATATCATGAAAAGGTATATAGCTGGTTACCAAAAAAAAAAAAAAAAGCATGTAAACTGGAAGATAAAAAAGTATTTTAAAATACACAAAATTATAACCACTTCATTTTGATTTTGAAAAAGTAAATATATGTTTCTCTTTACAATCTTTAAATTTCACACTTTTACTCAATCTTTATTATCAGGAGGACATAAAAGAAGAAAAAAAAAAAAAACCTCTTTCCAACCACTTACATAACAAAACTTGCATTAAGGAGGCTGCGGAAGGCGATATTCACAATAGTTCAAATACAGAAGGCCGGGGACTTCATTATGAATGGAGTCACAGCAGAGATTTCACCAAAATCAGCTGCTGACAAATGCTTTCACTGTCGACGCTGCATCACAGGGAAACAGGCTCCCGTTCTGGAAAGAAACCCTTTAGGAACAGTGGTTGTCAGACGGGCGCTGGGAGGACCTAGGGAGAGCCACTGCGTGAGCGAACGGCACTTGGGGATCAAGACTTGACTGGGGTGACAAGGTGTGCAGCAATGGTGGTCCCGCAGCCCTTCCTTCGAGGTGGGAAAACCTCCGGGACTATTTTGTTCTTAACCCAAGATCCAGGGTTTTAAGCCGCACCATCCTCCGTCGGAGTGCTCAGCCCAGTTGCCCAGCCAAAGCTCTTTGTAAATATGCTTCAATACTGATGATGATGTTAAAGCTACCAAAATGTGGTCACGGTCATGGAGGACGGCTTCCTGCTGAACGTCCAGAGCCGTGCACCTTCGTCAAACACCCTGGAGCTGTCCAGCCCACACCTGGGTCCTTGAGCACCACGCCACGTGCCCTTCTATGTTCTCCGCCCATCATAGTCCCCAACCATCTTCTTGATGTGCGACAGTCTGCTCTTCAGCTGTTTGCAGTAGTTCCTCTTATTTTTATAATCTGCGGACTGAAAAGGAGGGACAGTGAGTCACGGAGGTGCAGACAGAGCAGGAACGGGCCTGGGAGGCGAAGGGCAGCCAGGAAGGGACCAGCCAGAACTGTCTGCCACTTGGATGTGGCAGCATTACCAGCCACACAGCCAGCCGGCTCTCTCTGTCAACTACAGCTTTAACCTGAGTGAGCACAGAGGATATACACTCATTTCAAAAAAACTCAGAAATCATGGATATGTTTTCTCAGATCCTGAAATTCTGAATTTTTAGCATCGAGTGGCCAGCACAATGACCCAAGTGGCTAACGTTCCACCTTCAAGCACGGCATCCAATATGAGTACCAGTTCATGTCCCGGCTGCTCCACTTCCCATCCAGCTCCCTGTTTGTGGCCTGGGAAAGCAGAGGATGACAAGCCAAAGTCTTGGACCCTGCATCTGTGTGGGAGACCCAGAGAAAGTTTCTAGTTTCACATTGGCTAAGCTCTGGCCACTGCAGTCATTTGGGGAGTGAACTAGCAGACAGAAGTTCTTTCTCTTTGTATCTCCTTATCTCTAGAAATCTGCTTTTAATAATATTCAATAAATAATAATTATATTTATAATTATGTTTATAATTATCATTATAAATAATAACTCTTATTATTTATTTTTATTGCAAAGTCAGATATAGACAGGAGGAGAGACAGAGAGGAAGATCTTCCATCCATTGATTCACTCCTGAAGTGACCACAACGGCCAGTGCTGAGCCAATCTGAAGCCAGGAACCTGGAACTTCTTCCAGGTCTCCCACGTGGGTGTAGGGTCTAAAGACTTTGGGCCATCCTCAACTGCTTTCCCAGGCTACAAGCAGGGAATTGGATGGGAAGTGGAGCTGCCGGGATTAGAACCGGTGCCCATATGGGATCCCGGTGTGTTCAAAGACTTTAGGCATTAGGCCACTGCGCCAGGCCCAAATCTGCCTTTCTAATAAAAATAAATCTTTAAAAACAAAAGAGAAAAAGAAATGAATGCTAACAATTTACCGTAAAAAATGTTAGCATTGAGGTAGACTTTCTATTCTGTCTTCTACAAAATGTTTGAAATTACCCTTGCTTATCTATCATTATTATTTTTTTATTTTAAAGATTTATTTTTATTATTTTTTTTTATAGGAAAGGCGGATATACAGAGAGGAGAGACAGAGAGGAAGATCCTCCGTCTGATGATTCACTCCCCAAGTGAGTGCAACGGCCGATGCTATGCCGATCCGAAGCCAGGAGCCTCTTCCGGGTCTCCCACGTGGGTGCAGGGTCCCAAAGCTTTGGGCTGTCCTCTGCTGCTTTCCCGGGCCACAGGCAGGGAGCTGGAAGGCAAGCGGGGCTGCCGGGCTAGAACTGGCGCCCATATGGGATGCCGGGCATGCAAGTCGAGGACCTTAACCACTGCGCCACCGTGCCGGGCCCATTATTATTATTATTATTTAAGATCTTCCAGGCTACAGGCAGGAAGGTTGATGGGAAGTAGAGCAGTCGGACGTGAACTGGCACTCGCGTGGACTGCAGCACCTGCGAGGTGAGGATTCAGTCACTCAGCCATCGTGCCAGGCCCACCTTCGCTTCTCTAACAGCTGCGTGCACAATGCCGAGACAGCTGAAGCTGCATTAACTGTAAATGCCAAAACCGGGGAGGAGGCTGATGTTCGCTGATCACAGACCGGATAAAGCTGCATTTCAGTTCTTACCATCCAGCAGCAGAAATAAGTGAACCACAACCACATGCCAAAACATGTGCAGATGCCAAACCTGATACTTTGAGAAACCACAGACAAAATACACAGTGCATCACTCCTCTTACACCAAGTTCAAGACGGGATAAACTAGCCTATGACGTCAGAAGGCATAGTGGGTTACCCCCTGGGCAGAGGGGAAGGGCTGGGATGGGTAGGGACTTGGGGTGCTGCTAGGGCCCTGGGAGATGGGGTTCCTCAGCTGGGTGCGGGGGACGCACGGGCAGTCACTCTGTAAACACCTTGCTCAAGCTGGATGGTTTACTCGCGTCTGCGCATTTTTCTGTTTGTATGTCTGACACCTGTGCTTTCTCAAGACGTTTTAAGAAATCAATACTGGTTGGTTGTGGTTGCAGAAAAACAAAGTCAGTTCCCAGTTTCCTAGTAAGTTTCCACAACAACGTGACAGGGCCTTTGTCGGTGACAGGACATGGATGGTCAATGTTCATGGTCATGCCAAAAGTTCATGGGAAGACAGCCCCGGCTCCCTCAAGGAACCGCAGCGCCATGATACTTACGCTCTTCACCTGCTTCAGCCGGTTGTACTCATCAGCAGCCGCCTATCAAGGAGAAACAAAGAAGCATGAGTGAGGCGTCTCCTCCTCCAAGGCCAACATTCCTGATGTCACCCTGAGCAGCTGCAAATGACAGCTTTAAGCCCAAAACCCCTACAGCTCTCAGCCCTCCAGGCCAGCAGGTGGCGCTGCGGGAATCCACGGCAGGAACACTTGTCCCCACCCCACACTGCCCCAGGAGCTAGGACACTCTTCCTGGTCTTCCAAGTGGGTGCAGGGTCCCAAGGCTTTGGGCTGTCCTCCTCTGCTGCTTTTCCAGGCCACATGCAGGGAGCTGGATGGGGAGTGGAACAGCCGGGACTCGAACTGGGCCCATACGGGATGCTGGCACTGCTGACCAAGGATTAGCCTGCAATGCCATGGAGCTAACTCCGTGTCTTAAAGCCGATCTTCACTTTGATAGGAAACAATCACCATAAACTACTGCTGATCAAAGATCAGGAAATAAGCAGTTTTCTAGAAGTCGAAAAAGAAAAGAAAGCCTCAGAATGATGAGGCGAGGTGAGAGGGCCGTGGCAAGCGATTGGAAACCTGTCCCTGGTCAGAGCCAGAACCGACTGCGCCACAGGTCAAGTGGCATTTGGAGTGTAACTCAGAATTGCAAAACGCACATCCGTCGCTCCACACTTAACACGTGACTGATGAATCAAATACATTAGCACTCCCCACACACAGGGAGAAAGAGACGAAGAAACAGTGTGGAAAAGGTAGATTGGAGAGAAAAAGGAGACATTACCAGGACAAAGAGAACCTCAGCCAAGCAGCAAAGACAACCAGAAACTAATGCTGAACCAAACAAGAAGGGCTGGAGTGGTGGCACAGTAGACAAAGCCACCACCTGCAGTGTGGGCTTCCCACCTGTGCACCGGTTCCAGTCCTGCCTGCTGCACTTCCTCCTGCTGCACCTGGGAAAGCAGCCAGCGAGGATCTAAGTGGCTGGGCCCCTGCACGCTGCTGGAAGACCCTGAAGAAGCAGCAAGCTCCTGCTTTCACACCGGCCCAGTGCCAGCCAATGCATCCATTCAAGACATGAGCCAGTGGAGGGAAGAACGCCTTTCTCTAACCCTGCCTTTCAAGTAAATACAAGAAAAATCTAAGTAAGATATAGGACTTTTTACCAATGACTACGTGTTTAAATGGGATCTGGTGGAGTTCGTATTCTGCATGTAATGCTGTCAGGTTCAAGTTTACCGCAGTGAGAACAAAGTGCATTTATAAAGAATATAGCTATTCCTAAGCAGGAAGGTTTAGTTACATGTATCTAGACTAATGCTATGGAATACTACAATTTCCCTTTTATAAAAACTCTTCCTTGGGCCCAGTGTGGTAGCATAGTGGCTAAAGTCCACACCTTGCACACGCCAGGATCCCATATTGGTGCTGGTTCCTGTCCTGGCAGCCCCGCTTCCCATCCATCTCCCTGCCTGTGTTCTGGGAAAGCAGTCGAGGACGGCCCAAAGCTATGGGACCCTGCACCTGCGTGGGAGACCTGGGAGAGGCTCCTGGCTTCGGATGGGTACAGCTCCAGCCATTGTGGCCACTTGGGGAGGTAAATCAGTGGATGGAAGATCTTCCTCTCTGTCTCTTCTCCTCCTTTCTTTCCAATAAAAAGAAAGAAATCTTTAAAAATATATATATTTATTTAAGAGACAGAAAGAGGGAGGGAAAAACAGAGGGAGGGAAGCGAAGTGAACGGAAACACCATGGCTGCTGCCAGGGCTCACAAGCACAGACTGCTGGGACAGTGTTGGGGACGGCAGAGGGACAGTGCTGTGGCCCAGCGAACACCCCCACGGGCGAGGCCCGATGCTCTGCTTCCCATTCAGCTCCCTGCTAACGCGCCAGGGAAAGCAGCTGAGGACGGCCTGAGTGCTTAGGCCCCGGATGAAGCTCCTGGTTTTGACTTGGTCATTTGGGAAGTGAAGCTGTGGATGGATGGAAGCTTGCAACTTCGCCTTTGAAATAAATCAATCTTCAAACAGGAAGGAAAAAAGGGAAAGCTAGAATCAGGAGGAGCCTGGGATCAGGTTGTCCAACCTGAGGGGCAGGTGGAACTACTGGCCAAACACCTGCCACATGCTTCTTTTGTTTCTTTTTAAAAAATTATTATTATTATTATTATTATTATAAAAGCAGATATACAGAGAGGAGGAGACAGAAGGAAATCTTTCATCCACTGATTCACTACCCAAGCAGCCGCAACAGCTGGAGTTGTGCAGATCTGAAGCCAGGAGCCAGGAACCTCTTCCAGGTTTCCTGTGTGGGTGCAGAATCCCAAGACTTTGGGCCGTCCTCCACTGCTTTCCCAGGCCACAAGCAGGGAGCTGGATGGGAAGTGGGGCTGCTGGGATCAGAACTGGTGCCCATGTTGGATCCCAGCATATGTAAGTCGAGGACTTTAATCACTAGGCTACCAGGCTACCTCAGTCCCATGCTTTTTAACTCTTCACTACATCATTACACTCAAGAATCTGAAAAGACTTCCTCCTGGTCTCAATTTCCACTATGAATCAACACTGATAATTACAAGCAAAACTCAGTTGACATTAGAACCCCGTGCCCACAGTATCTAATAAGCAAGTGTTAGTGTCAATGCACCATGTACTCCTCGCTCTCTTCTCTGTAATCGTCCAGCTCCTTATCGAGGCGGGAAAGCTCTCTGTTGACCTCATCGAGCTCTGCTTGCAAGCTCTTGTACTCCTGCAGGCCACTGTCAAAGCTTCTCTTGTAGAGCTGTCGCTGCTGATCCGACGTAATGGGCGGGTACTCCCTAAGGGAGGAGAGGGAACGTGACTTGGATGCATAGATGATACACCTGCCGTCCAGACAGAAAACCCAGCACTGCTGCCTCAAAGCTAATAAAGCTGGTGGGATGAGGCGGCACAGGGAGACGGAGCTGGGGTGACAATAACTTGCATTAATGGTCACATTTTCTGTGGTCCACTGCCGTCTCCCCTACCGCCTGCCAAAAAAAAAAAAAAAAGAAACAAACAAAAACTATGCCTACACAAGTTTCAGGATTGAAGCCTTCCAGTAGAAAGTTATTTATACAAATTCAGGCTAATCCTCAAGTGCTCATTTGTTCCCAGCACACAATACCACCTGCTAATAATTGCAACACTTGGGTTTCAAGTCTTTGAGCCAAAAGTGTGGAATTCAGAGCCTGTTTGGCCCACTGCCACACTGCCCCAAGGCCACAGCTAACCATACTGACAACTGATCCCAATCTGAGTCAGCCCCGAATCTCAGAGCAGGGAGAGGGTGAGGGTGGCCGGAAGGGGCAGGTACCGGAGCTCTTGAAGCCATCGGCACTGCGCAACCCTCCGAGGCCTTAAACAGCCTTTGGGTCATCCATGCGCCCCACGTGTGTCGCTGTCCTCGGAGGACCTGGGTGTAAAAAATTCACCCCACGATTCGGGGTGTCACCAGGGAGGATGCAAAACCGCTACAAGTCACGGCCAAAGGGAAGCCATAGCAGCAGCCTCGGGGGAAAGGCAGCGTGACTGTCTCAGGGACCCGCAGTGAGAACAGAGGTACTGGGGCTGCCCAGTAGCCATTCCTCATTCCACGGAGCAGCTGAAAAGCTGCGGCAAGGCCCTTCCAGCCCCGTACCTGACCCAGTCCTCCTCCAGTTCGTCGCCCGACTCGCCACCGGTTGTGTAGTCCGTCTCGTAGTGGTCCTGCTCGGACCTCCTGGGCCTCCCCGCTCTTCCCTTGGCGGGGCCCTTTTTGGGTAGGGTCTCCAAGTTCCCACTGCTGCTGGAACGGGGCTGCCTGAAGTCGTCCACGGATGCAGTCAACGGAAGCTCCTGGGCCACCTCCGGCACCCTGGTAAAAGCAGAAGCCAGCGCTGAGTGCCGTGGAGTGCCACGGGGTACACCGGATTACCCCTGCACCCCAGAGAAGAGCAGGACCTGTGAGCACGCCCAGAGGTGCTCAACTCTGAGCAGACGCCTACCGTCCTGAGGTCGAAGTTGGCATCGACTCAGATCCTCCAGTACACACAGATGGCCTGGGCCCACGTTGAAGCCCGCCCATCAACCTTCCAAGGAAAATGGATGTCAGATTTCATCTTAGGAAATCGCAGGCTGATCTGCGAGAGGGCTATTGACCAGTAAGATAACGATCATGACTGTGGGCTCTTCCAGTTCGTCTGCAGTGGCTACCGCCTACAGCACTTCACCTTTGAAGATCAAAGCTTTGAAAAACTAAGAAAAGTAAGTATGAAGAGGAAGACACTAAAAAGTTTGTAATGAATAAGAGTTCACCAAGGATTCTTTCACAGCTGCTATTCATCCAGAAGCCTTTGTGGAATGAATGCGAGGGTTACACTTCCTGTTTTTCTGATGTGTTGGATTTTAACTGGCACATAAGCTTCAGAGCCTAACACTGGGGTGGGGAGGGAAAAAATCGAGAGCTGTGCCAAGTATAACCTCCTCCTGGGAGACAGGAAAGGAAAATCTCATGAAAATGCGAACACCAGGGGTCAGTGTGGTGACACCACAGGTTCAAGTCCCCAGGCCCCAGGCCCCATGGTGCAGTTCAGCTCCTTCCTACTGGGTCTGGGCAAGCAACGAAAGAGGGCTGGTGTGTTTTGGAGAAGTGACCTTGGAGTTCCAACTTCCTCCCCTTACCTGGCCAGTCCTGGTTGTGGCTGCCATTTCGGCAATGAGTCAGCAGGCAGATTCATATTCCTTCTCTCTCCCTTCCTCGCTTCCTCCCTCCTTCCCTCTCTGTAGTTTTGCCTTTCAACCAAATATTTAAAACAATATTTATGCGGAGAGCATGGCCTTGTGTATTATGTCAATGCTATTTCCACTGCAGGGAAACCTTGACTTTCTCCCAAGAGTCAATCATTAATGAATTCCCAACACTCCGCCAAAATGGGCAGGTACTATGTATGCTGCTTGCTCTGGGATGGAAAAATAAGACCTTTAGAAGGTAATGGGTCTCTCTGAGGGGGTGGGGACAAAAGAGGGAAGAAGGTGAAGGACAACCAAACTTTGGGGAAAAAAAATATCCTGCAGGTCTCCTGCTATAACCCCATGAACACTGCCTACTTGTTCTATGATGGATGTTCGCCTCGGAAGTGTTCCATCTCCCTTGAAATCACCAAACAGAAACATACTTAAGCTGAAAGAAAACTAAGACCAAAAACACTAAGAAAAGTATTTACAAGCCCAGCAGGCATGTGGTTCACTCGGTAACCTGCCAACGCACTTCCGGAGCAGGCATTTATCTAGCCTAGCAGTTAAGACACCCACACTGTACATTGGAGTATCGAAGTTCACGGCCCAGTTCCTGCTCCTGACTCTAGCTTCTTGCTCGAGTCCCCCGGGAGGCAGCAGTCACTAAGTTTCTGCCCCACATTGCATGGGAGGCCTGGACAGAGTTCCTTCAACTCTGGCTCCAACCCAGCCCAGGGGCAGGCACTGCAGGTGTTTGGGGAGTGAACTGCCAGGCAGGAATAAGCAGCATACTCTCTCTCTACCTCTCTCTCCCTGCCTCTTAGGTAAGTGTGGAGAAGACAAACTAACCTTCAGTTCCAAGTCCTGTTAGGTGTAAATACACACATGGCCAAGCCTTGTGTATATACTTCCCAGCCCTGCCCTCTGGGGGGATCGCTCTTCACTCACAGGCAGGCATACTCAACCTCCTTAGGACTCCAAGGTCAAGAGGCACACATTTGTAGTTTTTGAATTTGCCCTTCATCCTTACTCACACACACACACCCCACGTCTCTGTGGCTCTTACCCTGACGCTCAGTATCGCTGCTCTTCCCTTCCTTCCATTCCTGTTTGGCAACCTTGATGAGAACACGGACTTGGTATTCCCAGGGGCATCTGACCATGGCAGGTGTTCAAGGTAATTACCGAATGAACACACATTCCCAAGAACCCTGCTTCTCTGATGACACACAGTATCAGGAAAGGAAGGAAAACAAGACTGACATGCAGTCAGCATCAGTGTGGGGATGGTGAGAAGGCTGCTCAAGGCATTACTTTAGGGCGGGGGGGAAGGGGAACACCGGCTGAGCTTTGCCAGTCAGAAAACTCCCCTCTCCTGGCCGCTGGGATGACGGCGGCCCAAAGAGGGCCAAGGAAAACCTTTTCTGTTCTCCAATGCTTTAGAAAAGGAGACTCCAGGATTGGAGCACTGGCTGAAAGAGGAGGGAGGGTGTGGGCAGGTGGGCGTCCACAGTGACACGGTCACAGCTATGCTGAGACAGCGCACGGGCGCCCAGCATGCGGCAGGCAGGCATGAAGCCCAACACGGCCCTTGGCCGAAAGTGCAACAATGCATTTCTCTCTTTACCTAGGCTAGTTGAAGCTGGTTTATGAATCCCTCTAACTTGCATACCAAACCTAACAGATGAACAGTCTACTGTGACCAAACAGCGGTCTGCTGTGGCTCTGCAGGGAGTCAGCCTGCTTGGAAAGCTCTGCATTGCAGTGCCTTGCTTCGTATTGGTCAGCTCATCCTGGATGTGGCAGGGTTAGTTGAGTACCTAACAGGGATACCCTAAATTCACTTCATAAGGTTGGAGAAGCAACAATTTACAGCTAAACTATAGTGATCTCTGGGGCCAGATTAATTCAAATTAGCAGACTGTAAGACATTATGTAAAAGAAAGGAGGGACCTGGTATTGTGGCCCAGTGGGTTAAGCTGCCACCTGCAGCCCGAACTGAGTGTCAGTTTAAGTTCCAGCTGCTCCAATTCCAATCCAGCTTCCTGCTGATGAACTTGAAAAGGCAACAGGAAATGGCCCAAGTACTTGGGCCCCGAACACTCACAGGGGACAGATGGATGAAGTCCTAGGTTCCCAGTTTTATCCTGGATCAGCCTTGGAAATAATGGTTATTTGGGAAAAAAAAAAAAAAAAAAAACAGCAGCTGAAGACCTCTTTGCCTGTCTAACCAGTTCACATAAATCAGCACCTCCATTTTGAGTCAAGGTCACAAGAGGCTAAATGATAAGACATGGAAAGAGTGCCCAGGTGTGTGGGCATCAGCAGAGAAACAGCCTAGGGTCAGCGCGAGGTGTCACAGTGAGCCTGGCACAACAAATGAGATGCCACGTGTCACGGTTTGGGCAGGGTCTGAGCACTTCCAGAGCTTCATGTGCTTGGTCCTTGGCGAGGCAGTGTGACAGGTGGTGGGGCTGGCTTGGGAGGTGCCTGCATCCCTGGGGACGCTGCCTCGGAGAGCATCAACAGAGTGCTCCCAAGAGCTCAGCTCCACGCTGACGCCTCACTGCTGTCCAGGTTTCCAAGGTGATCCCTCCTGGTACAGGTGCTTAACCCGCCATGCCAATACCCGTGCCATCGCCCTGGACCTTCTGAACTGTGAGTGAAATAAGCTTCCTCTCTTTATAACGTTAGCCTCCTCATGGAGTTCATTACAGCAACAGAAACACAAACTGATATCTGGGTGCTTGAAAACGTTTGCAGGGCACGGCGCGGTGGTGCAGTGGTTAAGGTCCTCGCCTTGCATGCCCGGGATCCCATATGGGCGCCAGTTCTATCCCCGCAGCCCCGCTTCCCTTCCAGCTCCCTGCCTGTGGCCCGGGAAAGCAGTCGAGGATGGCCCAAAGCTTTGGGACCCTGCACCCGCGTGGGAGACCCGGAAGAGGCTCCTGGCTTTAATTGGCACAGCATCGGCTGTTGCGCTCACTTGGGGAGTGAATCATCGGACGGAAGATCTTCCTCTCTGTCTCTCCTCTCTGTATATCTGCCTTTCCAATAAAAAAATAATAAAAATAAATCTTTAAAAAAACAACAAGGTACCTTCCCAGGGAAATGTATGTGGGTGGGGTTAATGAAAGGGCAGGGGGCCCCATTTAGTCGGGAGGTCTAAGATTCACAAGCAGAGACCCACAGCTGCACTTTGCTCGATTCCCTCACCTTCTCTCACCTTTACCTCCACTTCTATTTATTTAAAGATTTATTTTTATTATTTTTCATTGGAAAGGCGGATATACATAGAGGAGAGACAGAGAGGAAGATCTTCCGTCCGATGATTCACTCCCCAAGTGAGCGCAACGGGCCGATACTATGCCGATCCGAAGCCAGGAGCCTCTTCCGGGTCTCCCACGCGGGTGCAGGTTCCCAAAGCTTTGGGCCGTCCTCGACTGCCTTCCCGGGCCACGGGCAGGGAGCTGGAAGGGAAGCGGGGCTGCCGGGATTAGAACCGGCGCCCATATGGGATCCCGGGCGTGCAAGGCGAGGACCTTTAACCACTTGCGCCACCGCGCCGGGCCCTACCTCCACTTCTAAAGCCTTGACGCAGCACCCAGGGGACAGCACCATGGCACAGGTGCGCCAGACACCAACGGGGGATACTTGGATCCCATACTGGCTTGCCAGTTCAATTCCCAGCGGCCCCAGGCTTCCTGCTCGTGTGCACAGGAGGCAGTGGGTGATGGCTCCAGAAGCTGGGTTCTCGCCATCCGTGTGGGAGACCTAGAGGGAGCTCCAGGCTCCTGGCTTCAGCCTGGCCAACCCTGGCTGCTGCAGGCTTTTGCGGGCAGTGAACCCACAGATGGGGAGGCTCAGTTTCAATACCCCTCTCTCCCTGTCTCTTTCACTTGGCCTTCCAACAATAAATAAATGAACCTTGAGAGAGAGAAGAAGGGCGGATGATGTAAGGCTATTTCACAAACCACTTTGTTAATGGTGTACCCAAGCAGCCCTTCATTTACACCAGCAAGTCAAACGATGCATTTCCACATCAAAGGCAAAGAGAACCTCAACCTCCCACCCTGGTCCACCAGCAGTCCGATCTCTAACCAACAAAGCTTGAAGACACTGCAGACAAAAACTTCCACACGTAAATCATGCTTCTCCAGCTGCTGTGTGCCCTTGCTGGGGGAGGGTTCACGTTTTATAAAAAGGAGAATGTGACACGAAATAACAATTGATTCTAAACGCATTCCTGTTTAGACTTCTGCTAACACACACAGGCAGGGGGAATACTTACAGCGGAGTTGACTTGTAGGAAGATTCTGGATAAGGCCTCTTGCCGTTCAGCTTGCCGTTGGACGAGTAGGCCACGGAACCGTCCATTCTCTCCACAAAGTCCGACGGGGGTGGGGGCATGTCCTGCGTGCCGGCAGACACGTTTTTGACCTAAAACGCAAAAAGCACCAAGAGACGATGATTCTTTGTCCCCCTGGAAGAGGAAGGCATGCAAAGGATCATCGGTAAAATGGAAAAATACTTCCTTGCTTGGTAAAATAAACCAGTCCTGAGTGCTTTTTTATTCGCAGTGAGAACAGCCAATTAGTTCTTTTTATAAGCACGAAAACAGTGACGGGCATGGATGGACGGGACCCCGTGTTACCACGAAGGGAAGTCCCGCCTCCTTGTCATTCTGATGTCATCAGGTGGAATACTGTCCCGCCCCGACACGAGGCAGAGTAGCAGTCACTTTATCCATGCTGTCTTCCCTGTTTCACCCTGGCATGTAAGCGAACCAGCGAATAAGCCTTAGAGGTTACTAGAGGTTAGGCTGTGGTCATACGGAAGGCTCACAGAGCATCTTTTAGGAGGAAAACAGCCTTAAATAGAAAAATTGGATTCCTAACACTGCTAGATTTCATGCAGCATTTTCAGCACTTGTTAAAATTTTACCTCGAATCCTTCACACTGTTTTAAAGTATTCACATGATAAAAGAATCATTTCTGGGGGAAAGAAAAAAACCAAAAAGACCTCAAATGAGTGCAAAATCCAGACAAACCCGTTAGTAGTTTTAGCACAAAGGAAACAGAAATAAGTGCAGAAAGATCAATAATTACACAAGTTACTGTCTTGGAAAACAGTAACTCTGTGAAAATAGGGAGGATGGAAACAATTTTAGCATCTTGCTGCAGGTAGGAACAGCGTCGGGCCCAGCCCTGTGGCATAACAGGTTCAACTGCCACCTGTGGCACTGGCATCCCACAGGGGTCCCAGTTCAAATCCGGGCTGCTCCATTACAGATTCAGCTTCCTGGGAAAGCAGTAAATGATGACCGTGTGCTTGGGTTCTTGCAGCCATGGGGGAGACCTGGCGTAGTCCCAGGCTGCTCCCAGCTGCTGCAGCAACAGGCCATGGGGGGAATAAACCAGTGGATGGAAGAGTCTCTATGTAACTGTGCTTAATCAATACTTGAAAAGAGGGACGGTGGAACATGGCGTCAGGCTGTCCATGTCCCCCCCATGCTCCAGTTCTTTCAGGTTTTAGTCTCTCATTTGCATAAAGTGGGGGGCCTTACCTTCTTTATATTTTGTTTTGAGACACAGATTTCACCTCAATTGCTTGTAATGGCGGGGGAGGGGGTGGCAGGGGGCGCGGAGGGGGTTGGGGCCAGGCCACAGCCTGCAGTCTGGAAATTCAAGCTGAGCCCTCCAGGTGGGTGGCAAGAATCCAATTACTTGAGCTGCCAAAGGAAGCAGGAGCTGGAAGCTGGGATCCCAGCAGAGTGGGGGCTGGGCCCCGGGATTGTCTGGTCGCTGAACGACATGATAAGGTGTCATGTTCACCAGTGCCTCTGGACACAGCAAAAATTCAGAAGATACTGGATTCTGGATTTGAGGCCACTGGACCCGATCAAAGGATGTTTAGAACGTGCGAGAGACTTTTTAACTGACAATTTTGATATTAGAAAACTTTTGCTGTTAGCGTCTGCATCAAACTCCCTTGCAAAAATACACACCTTCCCTCTTGGATGCATTTCCATTCTCGGAGGCATTAAAATGCAGCCTGTGGGCCCAGGGTGATGGCTCTGAGGCTAAATCCCTGTTTGGAAGCACACCCATTCCGTATGGGTGCTGGTTTGTGTCCTGGCTACTCCATTTTCCATCCAGCTCCCTGCCTGTGTCCTGGGAAAGCAGTTGAGGATGGCCCAAAGCCTTAGGACCCTGCATGCGTGTGGGAGACCTGGAAGAAGCCCCTGGCTCTTAGTTTCAGATTAGCTCAGCTCTGACCTTTATAGTCACTTGGGGAGTAAACCAGTGGACAGAAGATCTTTGTCTCTTCTCTCTGTAAATTTTCCTACAAAAATTTAAAAATCTTTAAACACACACACACAGCCAGCATTTCTCCTATCGCAGTCACAGCACACACTGAGCTGTTCTCTGGCCCTTCCAAGGACGCAGGGGACACACTCATTTCCCTCTGCAAGGACTTGGCAGCGACTGCAAAGCCAGTGGGTGGGTTTCCAGGGGGTGTGCCCGGATCACACAGCAGGTGGCCCGGGCGGGAACCATTTTCCGCTCCCACTGAATTCCTAAGTGCAGGCCGCCCAGCCACCCACTGAGGCCGAGGCTTGGGCTGACCCCAGAGCTTCAGCACAACTGTAGAAAACTTCCTCTTCTTCACAGCCCAGCCAGCTTCTCCATGCCCCAGCTTCTCTGGCCCCAGCTGCAGCACAGCCTGCCTGCCCTTTGAAAGACTGTTCTTGTACCCTCCTCCTGTTTACCTGCTAAACGTTGGCTGGCCTGCAGGGCCAGCTGCTGGAGTCCCAGCTGAGCGATGCCCCAGCCTGCCCTCCTATCTCCCCACACCTGTACCTACACACCCGTGGCCCAGGCACTGAGTGCTGTGCCCAGCTGTGGCCAGCTCATAGGGAATGGCTTATCTCGCTATCTCTACCTTCAAGCGACCCATGGGTTGTGCCCATGTACCAGATAGGAGCTGGCAAGATCTGTGCCAGGCACAACTTCATGAATAAACACTCCTCCTCGCTGAGAAACGAGGCAGCTGTGGCTCAGGCAATGGAAGCCTCCCCAAGGGCCCTGCCCTGCGTGGTGAGAATAGCAAGTGGGCAGGGCAGGCTCCTGCTTGCTTCCCTGGGTCCCCGAGGCCCAGCAGGTGCCTCGTACAAATGAGGAGCTGGGGATTAGCTCATAGGGGTTCCCTCAGTGACCGTGCACCACTTCTGCCCACAAAATGACCGTGCACCACAAAATGCCCACCTGGCAGTGATGCCAGACCCGCAGCGAGGGGAGCAGCAGTTCACCCACGAGCCAGGGGGCACGGACAGAGGCAAACCTTCCCGCAAACATGGAGAAGGTGTTTTTCACTGTTATGTTTCACAGCCTATTGGGGCTGGTTCTCACCCAAGTCGTGGCAGCAATGCACGCTGCACACGCTGCCAGGCTGCGGGAGGGAGGCGGCAGGCAGTGCCCAGGTGGGCATCAGCCACCTTGCCAAGGAGGCCCTGCCCGACTTTTGCCATGAGATCAGAAAGCTGCACAAGTTTCACTATCGCCCTGAGCATGCCCAGCCAGTCCACGGGACTCCGCGGTGTCACAAAAGCTCTTCGCGAAGAAAGCGAAGACTCATCCTTCCCACCACCATGGGAAGTTTGCGCTTGCTCGTTTCGTTTCGGTTTTTAGTTAGATGGAGAAGGATCGGCTGATTCACTCTCCAAATGGCTGCAGTGGCCAGAGCCGGGCCAGTCTACAGCCAGGAGCCTGGAGCTCCCGCGGGGGTGCGAGGCCCAAGCACTGGAGCCATCCTCTACTGCTTCCGCAGGTGCGTTAGCAAAGAGTTAATGAGGAAGCGGAGTGGCCAGGACTCCAACTGCTGCTCATGAGGGATGCCAGCACTGCGTAACTGCTGCCAGCTTGCTATGCCACTGTGCTGACCCCCTATTGCAGTGTTTCAGGCTTCAGAGCTTGAAAGAGCCAAGCAGACTTCCTTCTGGAAGGGTAACTCGGCTGCCGGGAGCAGCTCTAAGTAGCAAGGGGCAGGAGGGGGTTGGATACAAGCCAGGGGCGACTTGTCTAATGAGGGGCATGGGGCGGAATGCAGCAGTTTGTGCCCACGGGACTGGAAAGTGGCCGTTGGCTCTCCTGCTGGAAGCAGAGCGGGGTCTCCGGCCAGCTGGGCCTGGGGCACTTGGAAATGAGCATGTTTGTCCCTGGCTGCGTCTCAGAGCCGCCTGCCCTCCACTCAGACTCCCCCAAGGGAAAGACACCAGAACCCCAGAATGGCCAGGCTGCCAAACAGGCTGAGAGTTGGGAGTGGCAAAGACGCCGCAGCAAGCAGAGGACGGTTCCACACTGGCACAGGATAACAGGCCAGGCTCGGGAACGGCATAGGGGAACGCGCAGGTGTTCTCTGCGGTTTCACAGGAGGCGACTAGGGCAAGGACACGTTTATATTTACATTCAAAATGCAATTGTACTTGTTCAGAAGACATCTGGTTCTGCTACATGCGAGGGGAAGAAAATCTCAGAGAAAACCATCTCATGCTCTTGAGTGAGCCACTCTCCAGCCACTCCCCTCCCGCACCCTCGCCTTCCTCCCTACCCTGCCTCCCTGGGGGGGCCAGGGGGATAAAAGTCAGGGGAGCTTTAAGTCAGGGCCTCCCCTAAAAATGTCGCGAATACACTCCTCCTTACTGCCCATGCCACCTGGGGTGATGGGGTCACTGCTCCCCTTCCATTCGCCCTGCCTTCTTTCAGTGGACTCTCAAATCCAACCCCGCCACTGGACAGGGCCTTTCTTTCACTCTATCTGTATTGTGAGAACTACGTCAGTCCCCAGGAATGCACGGAGCACCTGCAGTGAGGGTTCGGAAGCAACAAGGGTAAGAATCTCAGAGCAGGCCTCCCGCTGCTGTCCCGCCTGCCCCACCTCCGCCTGCACCTGCAGCCAGCAGGAAGTGATCTGACTGGTTTTCCTTGTTTGCTGATGCTGCATATGCCCCAAAGAAAAGCCTCAACAGTTTCCTTAAAAGTTCTCTTGGATTTTGGAAAGTTCTTCCTCCTCTTCCGGCCCTTGAAAGCAGATGTTCCCACAGGTAGGGGGCCCCCACAGAGGACAGGGGGCTGGGCCGGGGCTGAGCTGATGGCACTGCCAGGTGGCACTGAGGGTCTAGCAGACCACCCCCCGACTCAGCACAGCACTGATGGAGTTGTGATACTCCCCGAGAGGCTGTGCGTGGAGATGAGGAGACACCCTACACCTGCCGGCTGACCCTTAGACGCGGCCCTGTGCAACTGTCTCAGTACCAGGGCCCAGGGCCAGCACTGGGCAGGTGCACAGAATGGCGGCAGGAAAACACCTCAGTTCTCACGCGGAGCCTCCTCCAGAGCGCTGCGGTGTGCAGGACAAGGCCAGTGCTGTGTAACCATGC